GATTGTATTCTTTTTCTTCCTGCTCTAGCAACTACAATAGAAAAAAAGCTTTTTTTCAGAGGGAGACTGTATACACAGAATTCTGATGGTCAGGTTCAATTTGAAACAAACAAAAGCCCAATTGTTCCTAGGAAGATAAGGGACAGATTGAAGAGAGCATGCTCAGTTACAATAGGAAAATCAGCTCAGATCAGGAGGTTCCTACCTTGTCTTAAGCAATTCTCCTTCCTGCCCAGATTTGTCCTCATTGCAAAGGTTTCGTTAATTTAGCAAAAAGGCAATCACTACTGTCATTCAGTGTTGTGAAAGAGGCTGTACAACTCTTATCATGAGAGTGTATCCATAAACATTTTTGTGAAATCATCAACATACATATTTAGTTAGAACAACCTCTAGGTCTACATTAACAATAAATTCAAGTGCAGTACTTTTCCTCATGTATATGCTTAAAAAGGGTATGAAGTAAGTATGTTATGAGGTAAATATGAATACTAGCATTTTTACCCTTCTGGTCTCGGTGACAGTAACAAAGGTTAATGCTTTTCCCATATGACAATCTTTTACTATCACCTATCCTCAGTGGTCTATCACAAACAGGAATTCCAGTGAACATCTGCTGCCTTAACAGTTAGGACTGTATTGAGGGCTGGCTGGCTATCTATCCATCTATCCATCCATCTATCCATCTATCTATCTATCTATCTATCTATCTATCTATCTATCTATCTATCTCTCTATCTATCTCTCTCTCTCTCTATCTCTCTATCTCATTTGCAATACTGGTCTTTCTGCTTTCAACAGACATATTCACATTTAACAACAACTAATGAATATATTTTTTTCAGTCAAAACTGTATATGTTTTTGACAGTTTTTGATAAATATTCCCCTAAAAAGACAGTACAGCTTATTACCTATTAACTACCCAAGGTGCTGCTCCCAAAGCTTTTGTAAAATTCCCAATAATATGAAACCTTGAACTGTTGGACACAGTGGCTTTGGCATCCCTGTGATGACAAGGCATTTCAATGTTACAGCCTGAAAAGACCCTTCATGCGCCTCAGCCTAAGTGCTTGTGTGAGGTGCCCAAACTAGAAACTTCATTACCTCTAACTGGTGTGCAGTAATGGAAATCCAATAATGTGTCATTTAAATGTACCCCATGCCCTCAGTTCTCTAAGCCCTGGTATCATTCTGTGGCTGTGGACAGTGAGGAGCATGAACAAAACACTATGACAACACACAAAACTGACACTCTGTTGTTGAACAGTGCTGCACAGAACTCAAAAGGTCAACCGACATCCCACAGAAATACTCGAGAAGAGCACTGACTCTCTTTTAAGTATAACATCTACCTTGGTCAGTCAAAGCATAGTTTTAATTAACCTGAATTCAGTTAATGAAGTGCAATCGTAACTAATAAAATACCAAAGGCTGAAATACCAGAAAATATTAACAAGTGTTAACAAATTCAAAGTCTCTCCTTTTAAACAAAAAGCTGTCTCTTGTCTGCCTATGAACAAACTGGACATCTAATTGCAAGCACTTAAAATATCCGTGTAGTACTGGCAGTCACAAAAACAACTTACCTGTTTTTATATGTGATTCCAACACTCCTTTGATGTAATAAAAAAATATTTGTTATGTAATTTATGCATTTAAGCCACCTATATGAAGATCAAAAACAATGGACTGAACAGAAAGTATTCTGAAGTGAAATAGTAAGAGAAAACCTGCTTGGCTCACTTTCATAAACCAACTTGCTGCTGTAACTAAAGAAAAAAATCTTCAGTTGCAAACTAATTAATTTAGTTTGGAAAATTCTGTTGTTTTCAGCTCAGGTATATGCAGCTTTTAGAATTAATATCTTACCAGAATTTAATCTCCTTTCTACTGAGACATGAGAAGCAGTATGTACATTTTTTCCATCCATTTCAAACAATCATTATCACAGAGAGTAGAAAGCTTAGGAAGATTTTATGTCAGGAGAATAAGAACACAGGAACCTCAATCTACTTGGGCATAATTTTCTACTAGGTGTACTCTTCTCAAGTGTTTGAATTGGATCTTCTTACCTGTCATGGTTGCCACTTCCAAGAATACAGGTGGCCAAACTTCACAAGTAAATGCATTACCCTGCAACACCGGCTATGGACTAAAACACATTATATTAAAGATCTACATGTCTGTTGAGAAGCATGCATGATGACCAGTTACAAAAGAAAAATCCACTGTATTCAAAACAAGAAAATACTGTTTACTATTAAAAATATTTACCATTTTAACAAAATTTGTAAAGAATGTGAAAACTTTATTCTAAGTAGCTTCAGTTGGAGCTTATAAGAGAAGTGCCCTCTACACAGAAATATTTTAGATGCTTCAAACTATTTGTTTTTAAAAAGCAAGAAAAAGTGTGTGTAGAAATCTTACAAATGCCCCTTTTCAGTGTCACTCCCATTCTGAGGTAAGGCTTTCTTTGCAAATCACTATTAAATGACCTAAGTACTTCCACATCACTTGCAAGTGTCTGTCACCAAAACAAAACATCCTGACGCTTAACAACAAGGATGACACTCTCTTCTTCTTCTAGGTCTGTAGAATATACAGTTTCTTTTTTTTTTTCCTTAAAAAAAAAAGACTGAATAGATTGAAGGAAAGGGGATCAGCAATAGCTATTAAATTCCAACCCTTCTCTCAGCTGAGAATTAACAATACTACTGCTACCATAAAGCTAACCCAGAAATAAAATCTAACAGAAGAATGAACAGAAAAGCAGCCATGCCAACAATACCTCCTCACTGTCAAGAAATGAAATATGTGCATTCCTATGAATCAGCTGTCCTTTGTTCAGACCCATACTTTCAAAAAGTGACAGTCCCTTTCACTAATACCACTCTAAAATTAAAGTTTTTCATTAATACCACTCTGATTACCCCTCAGCAATACACAGTTGAGAGCTAAAAAAAGGGCTGGATATCTGCCCAGACAATGGGATGGGGCCTTTAAGATGCCAGACTCTTCCAAACCTGTAACATGGTAACATGGAAAAAATGTAACCAAAACCATAAAACTTGGCAGAACTGGCCCACAGCACCTTAGAGGACTAACTCCTGTGACTGGAAAGTTGCACTGAAAACAAAATGATACAGAAAACCAAACATCCTAAGCCTCAAAAGTCTATTACTACATGGTCTAGTGCATGGCAGCCACTAAGTAGTGATCATGCAACAATCTCCTGGCAAGGAGCTTGGGGGAGAGCCCGTTCTCTGAGCCCCAAGCTCCATGGCCCACTATTTTTGTCCCTCATGGCATATCCCATGCCTGAGGGAATGTTTTTTTAACAATGATTAATGCTCTGTTACAAAAAAGCAAGACAGTTTCACAGTTTCATGAATTTGCTAAGAGTTTGCAAGTGCAGATAACATTAAAAAAAATCAAATTTTAGAAGATGCTTTAAGGTTTACATCAAGAGTAATGCCTTTTTTCAACTATTAAATTGTTTTGAATTAATCTTTTGCAACAGAATGAATAATGCAAGCATGCTATTATAAAGCAACTAGTAACAAATCCAGCACTTCACTTCATCAAGACAGTTTGAAATTTATTAATTTAAATCCCCCATTGTGACACAAGAGCAGTAACAAAATAGCTGTACACTACTTCTGTTACAAATATGGATACTATTTAAAGTGACTTTACATACTCTAATGTAGGCATTTCTCACTCTATGCAAGGAATAAGTACAAAAGCAATTCAATAACAGCAGCATCCAGCAATGGTACCATCTAGTTTACTGCATCTTAGCCTACCACAATGTAACTACTAGAATAGTTAAAAAGACAAAGAGTGGGTTTTTTTGTTAATTCACTTACACATAGCTATCAATTTGTTAATACTATTTGACAGACACACCTAATACTGCTTTTGTGACCCACTAAAATGAATGCCAGTCTTTTGTATTATCCCCTAATAATGGCCTGACCATTGCCTGCATTTTCAGTTCATATTTCTTGTAAATGGTAGTTGAAATAAAGGCCTTCTTGCAAAAATTCCATTTTTGCTAATTAACACAAAGCATCCTCCTGCTAAATATCATACTAGTTTGACAGGTATCTTCCTCTCTCAAAAGACTCAGCTAAATCTTTCTGCAGGAAAATAAATCAAGGGAGAAGCATGCTTTATCTGTCAGATATATAAGAGCATGGCAGGCAAGGGCAAGCAGGTTACAATCAGCTAAGTGTTTCATTGAGTGCAGTTTTTAGATAAAGTTTAGGTAACGAGAAAGTGATGCATTTATTGACCATGCTGCTGATCAAAGAAAGCTCCACAGTTGCACTGTACTTACTAGATGCTTTTACCTGTGCCTCTAAAATTAATATCCCCAAAATAATAGTTGTGGCTGTCAAAGCTCCTCTTCTGCTTATTACTGATAATAAACTTCACTACTATCTTACTACTCACCTCCACTGTGAGGCATTTTCAGGTCTTTACCCAACCTGAACCCATCACTCCTGGCTGTATGCCTCCTCAGTTCAAGGAGGACTCTACCTTTGCTGCTAGTGATAATGGCAGCAACACCATTAATGTCAATTCCTTCCACACTGGCAATATCCAGACATCTGCTGGCAGCTAAGCAGAGCTGCTCTGAGAGGTTTGTTCAAGGCTCTGAAGCAAACTTGCAGAAATGTCTGCACTGACCCTGTACGTGGTGTTGCACGTTGGAAGAGGACAACCTTTGCTTACAGACACTTCATATTAGAAAATTTGTTTTCACCCATAAGGACTATAAAATATTCCTACTTTAAAAATATAGTTCTTCTAATACTGCAGTTGCTGGGCATTCTCAATCACCAGGAAGTTTCCACTAGTAATGGATTTTTCAGCCCTGAGCACAAGTCCCACAAAACCCACAAACAAAACAAACAAACAAAAAACAAAACCATCATCACCACTTCCAACACACCTCCCTGACACCAAAATAATGAAACCTTCAAACCTAAGCCAAGTGAAACACAGTGTTCTTTTTTTTTTTTTTTTTCAGATACGCCATGACTTATAAAAATTTAAAAACACAAAAAGACAAGCAAAAAAATCCACCCAGGTCACCAAACTAGTTTCTCCTATTGAGCATTGTGAAATAATATGGTCATTGGACAGTCTGGGTTGAAAGGAACCTTAAAAATTGCCTAGTTCCAAAGAACCATCTAGTCTATTAACCATCTGCCACCAGACTACATACATTTCCCCTTATCTCCCAAATCTCTGATTTAGTAATATTTTCTTTCTTCAATAAACTTATTCATGTTTTCTGCCTACTGCTACCCCTGCAACCTCCGTGCTGACTTGGTGAATTTATCATTTTTCCAACATTATTCAAATATGCAGCCTCTGCTTTTCAACTTTCTTGTGTGGTTATTAATGGCAACATTTTTTTGTGGTGAATTACTAATAAGAAAAATATCCTTGTGTTTTCATTGTCAACATAATTTCATTCCAGTGGTTTGACAGGAAGAGAAATACTTCTAATGTATACAAAAATATGTTTAAATGTTATTTTTCTTCAGTGTTGTAACACAGTCCTGTGAAGCTGAAAGAGCAAGAAGACTACCCAAACATTTCCATTCTCTTTACTATGTGGAAAGTAAACAATATTGTCTTATTGACCCAAGCCTGTCAGGCAGCCAGTTCATGACAACACAGTCAAAGTGACTGTTCCTTTGGTCCTTTTCAGAATAGCAACTGCTTCCTCGTGAGTCACCCCTTCTAAACTCTGCCCATTCACAGCAATGATTTGGTCCCCCCTCTTGAGGCGTCCATCTTCTGCTGCTGCACCCTGGAATGATAAAACAAGTAACTGCAGACTCATATATTTCTTTTTCTCCCTTACACATAGTCCTGAAAACAGTCCTGCAACATTTTTCTTTTTCAGGGATACGGACAGAACCAATTGCTGAGGAGACTGCCAATTTTGCAATACTGCCCAGTCTAAGTTCCACATGTAGAAATTGGAACTACATGATTGTTTGGTTCCCTCAACCCTGTTTTTCCAGCTAGTATAAGATTTAAACCCTAGTATTATAAAAGTAACATTTTCAAGACCTGCAGAACTTTTCATCAAATGGTGCAAAAAGACAGCTTTATAGTTTGATATACCTTAAAAATTTAGCATTTGTGATTCCAGTTTTCTCTGACTCTCTGTTGTTTCCTAGAGCCATCCAAATTATCAAATCCAGGTCGGCATCTGAACTTCTCTGAAGGTCCAGTCTGAGTTCAATAAAACACTTTTGTCTACTACTTGAAGTAAACACACTCTAAATATAAGGCAAGGGAGCTTTTCTTCCTAAGTATTACACAATTCAAGTCTCTACAGGTGGACAAGACTGCTGATAGGCTGAATCATGTATATTTGGATATTCTCAATCTTTTGAAGACTGCAGCCATCAAATGCTGCAAGCACATTTGCAGCCTTTGCACAAAAGAGGGAAAACTGTGAGAAACTGTAACAATCTTTTGACTGCAAAACCAGGCCAAGATTTAGAACAATAACTGCAGTTAACTAATAAATAGATTGATTGGACAAATTTCCACCTACCTTTGCAAACACTGTCTTCACATAAATGGGTAAGTCTCCATGGGGACTGCCATAGCCACCCACAATACTGAAGCCAAGGCCATCTGGTCCTCTGTCCAGAGTAATGGTCTTGTACTGAGGAGGTCTAAGAAAAGGGAAAAGAGTATTTTGTCTGAACTTCGGATTTAACACATATAATATTCAACAAAAAACATTACTCCTTTTAAGCTAACCTATATATTTTTCTTTCCACTACAACTACAAATACTTTTGTTATAAAGAACTGGCTATTGCAGTTAATGTAAAACTCTGTGAACTACCTAATGCTCACATTATTATAAGAAAGCAGCTACTTCAATACACAGCTCAGGGCATAGTTATGGCTGCTATGTGCCACTAATTGTGGTTACTAGTGAACTAGAGAATTATTACCAGTATCTCCAGATTCCCTAACATCTACTTTAAAAAGCCTGTAAAGCCTAAAATAAGCTCAAATAGCTTATGCTATTAAGGTTGAATTGCTTCTCTCCTAATAGCCGACTGTGTATTTGTATATATGTGTTTATTATATAGATCATTTATAGGTGTATTTCCACACATATATTTTGATAGTAAGAAATTTTGGAATTCTATTTTTCAAAGTAGGTATGTGTGGCTAAAGAATACTTCTTCTCTTTCCTCTTTCCTAAAAGAAAAAATGCCTCAGATTTAAGACAGAGTTTGACACAAAACTTGTTTACATAATGCACCTTGCAGAATACCAGAAGCAGTATACCTTGTATATCAGAAACATCTGACACTCCTGATTGCACAGTACTAGAGAGCACAATACAGCAACACAGATACAACAGTGGAAAGAGAATTTCTGGGCATATCAATTAATCCTAGCTACCCAGCCTCAGTGAAACAATAGAGGCTGTAGAAGAAATCAGATCACACAACAAGTCTACAGAGAGTCAAAAATTTGCAGCACAGCAAATTTCATCATGAAAAACACAGAAGAGGACCACAGGTCTTATGTATACCAAACATGTTAATCATGATTAGGCCAAAAATGCCACTCACTATTAGGTAGATTTGTAAGGTTTATAGGTTGATTATCATCCAAAGTAACAGGCTACAGAGGCTGTACATTCTATAGTTACTGACCCTAAATCATCCTGAAAAATGCCAGTTGAAGTTAGTCCTGAAAACGAAAGACTGGGCATAGGTGGATCCTGCTGCTGACCAGTTATGACACTCACTTCTCCTCCAGCTACAACCTAGGAATAGAGGTTGGAAATCAGTGGCATAAGAATGCTGACACTAAAATAGTTCAATGTAGCAGCTGGCAAAACAGTACTCAGAAAATATTCAAAATGTCACTGAGGATTTTTTACCTGCAACTCAATAGTGCCTGAAGCATTTTTTAAGATATTAACAGCTTGGGAATGAGTCATGCCCTCAGTAGATGTTCCACAGATGCTAACAATCCTGTCCCCAACCTACAGAAGAAAATGTAGAAAATCTAACTTAGTTACATAGATTTATTTGTCACTTTCAACAACAGCAGAACTACAAATGGCCCAGTATGAAGGCACGTAATTCAACATTAGAAATAGCAAATTAGACTGGTTTAGTGTAATCAGTGTAAAAAGTACTGATGCTTTACGGAACTGATCCTAAAACAGTAGAAATACATGTTAAAAAACAGAGATGCATTTTGCATGTCACCTAAAGACAGGCAGACTGATGTAGCAAATTATCATCAGAGATTCTGTCTGACTTCATCTTGAAATAACATTTTCTAAGAAACCTGAGCCAAATTCAACCACTTTTGCTGCAGATTGGATACAGCATGCATTTAAGTACAGCTTAAAAATCTCTTTAACTCAGAGCCTAAAATGTACTCTCTCTATCCTAAGCATAGGAAACACAAGAGATAAAACAGACTGCACACCTACATTTGCAGGAACAATCACTACACTCAGCAATGGCACTTGTTTATAGAATGCATGCTTCTGAATCACTTTCTATGCTTTTAACTTTCACAAGCTGACAAACTCTAAGATCCAAGACTGCTTTAGGACCTCCTTTCTTAAGTTAGCACATGTCAGCAATTACACTTTCCCATGCCACCAATCTGAGTTCCTCTTTCATCAATCCAAACAGCAAGAAATCTTTGCACAGCCAGAAGCACTTATGACTGTATCACTGAACTGCTAGTTTACTGCCTGTCTAGAGTAATCACATTACCCATGTAATCTTTACAGCCTTCTTAATAATTAACTTACTCTTAATTTCTGAGTCTGAGCTGCAAGTCCATTCGGGTGCATCATGGCAATAAATATAGGAACATCTCCAAGAGGACTTCCTACACCTCCAGCAATGCTCACGCCTAGTGAATCTGTAGGGTTCTGTTACAGTAATGAAAAAAAGATTAGATTTTTCTGGAAAGAAAAACACAGAGAAAGGCAGGCTTACCTCAAAAGATGGCCAAACTCCCTATTTTATGAAGATTAGAATTCCTGTGTCAAGCCAGTTTTTAAGCCTACACACTTTGCATTACCTCAAGAAAGCAGAGAGACCAGAATGGATGTTTCTTTCTCTCAGTGGTAGGAGAAAATTTGCTGATTTAGTTGTGTGTTTTATCTTAACCAAACGAAATAATTACAGAATTCAGCACCTGACTCTTAATGTGGGCACAGAGGTTTGAGCAAGGAAAACCAACGAGATGGGATTGCTGTCCTTAGTACTGTCTATATGAATATCCTGTTATGAATCTCCTGAAGACTAGAATTAATCTTTATGCTCCCCCTAGTGCCCAAATGTTGAAGGGCGAAACCAGCTGCTTACCCCTGTACCACACCCAAATACCTCACTGGAAAAATTGCTATTGCAAACTGCTATTTGCAGATTCTACTATTAAAAGAATGACTGAATACAATCTGTGTAATCAAGTGAACTAGATGCTAAGCAAAAACATATAAATATTTTGGAAAAAAAGATGCAGTCTGTTACTAAGCACACATGCATAATGAAGGTGACTGAAGTTCACACTTGAAAATCTGGCAGCTGTCATGCAAGAACCTACTAATTAAAAATACGTGTGAAGAAAAATATCAAATATCAAAAAACAGCCGTCCAACTTTGGTACAATTCCCCTGACTTTACCACAACAGAATCTGCACTTAACTCAATCTGGTAACAATAAAACTAGGTCTCAGTATCTCTTCCTTCGTTTACTTTCAACACAACTCACAAAACATGATACCATAAGTCACACTACTTCACATAAAAATATAGGCAGTGCAGACTGTACAGTCCCAAACTGAAAAGACAGACAAATTAATGTCCTGTTCCTTTCCTAAAACAATGAATAGGCCTAGACTTACTTCATGTTGTAAAGACAACTATTGAAAACATCTACAACCTATTCCTGATATGTGCCACTATCTTACCTTACCTCTGCTACAACTTACCTTTTTTATTTCAACTGTTCTTAGTCCCTGTATTTCAGAAGCTGCTGTCAAATGAATTAAGATAAATTAAAAACACAGTTAAACAAGCATTTCTAGAAAACCTTTTCAATAAAGTCATACAAATCAATATGATGATTCTTTCTGCTTGTTTGTTATATACATTTTATTCTGATTTTTATAGTGACCATCATTACAATAATTGGATTCAAATACTTCTAGAGTAGATGAAAGAATCCATAATTTTCTCCGTTTAAATAATTTTTGGAATAAGACTGCTAAGCTCAAATGGAATAGAAAAAACCATTATTTTCTAGCAATACTATGATCAGAAATAACTTTGTTCTAAATTTAAGCATCACATAGCTATAACATAACTATAACAGAAAGATCTTGGCTACCAGTTCACATGTATAAAACACTGAAAGCACCAAAAAACTCTACAACTTACTGGTATGTCTCTTTAGGCCACTTTCAAAGACCTCAGGTGCACCAGACCCAGACACTGGGAAACTGAAGGATGAGAGACTTCCACTTCCTTCACTGACCTACACACAATGTTAGAGTGGGATTAGAGACAAGCTTCACTGACCCAGGTACTAAAAGTAAAACTGTAACTCACTGTATTAATTTTATTTTCTGCACTATTTTATTTTTTTTGTGCCCAGTTAAAACTGAGTCAGAGAACAACACAAATTTTTTGGTCACTGTAGATAACTCTTTTTTGAAGCATCATTGGACCAAGAGAGATTGTACTTCTACAACTCCATGCAAATCTTTGAAGTGCTTCTTCTGAGGGCCAACAAGGTCCTGGTATTTGCACCTTCTATCATCTTATAGAGATCTTCTACTGCAAGTTAGCTACAAGTACTACAGTAAGTACAGAAAACAAAAGACAGATATCAGTACGTCCTCATGTGGGCTCTCAAATGTTCAGCTACTGCATCAGCTGCAACTAAAATTAGGCTCTCCACTCAACTTGACCTCCACAATTTCCAGGATGATTTTCACTACACTTGAAGGGCAAGTAAAGGAACAACATGGTTCCCAGTAAGAATAGTCCACTGACTGTGACACACTTTTCAAAATATTCAACTTTGTGAACTTCATCTTAGAATAAGATCAGCCAGAGTCTGCATGTTTTCATACTATTTAGCAATACTAATTCTGAAGATAGCCAAAAATGTCAGTCCTATCTAAACTACTCACTTGAATTTTAATTATATCTTAAAACTATTTATATTTAATACTTGATAATTTTCATCCCCAGTTCACAATCAAGGGAAGCTACTAAGGTAATTTGTGAGCTTTCAGAACCAGAGCTCCTACTGGATAGAATCACAGTACAAGCTGTTATACCATGGAAGATGCTTTCAAATACCGAAATTGATTTGAGATTATAACAATTCACCATCAGACCAACAATAAAATAAAGAGAAGTCTGACAGAAAGAGCACATGTTTCCTGCTTCTGGCATGCAAGATTACAGTAAGGACATGCAAGGAATGGAGAAATTCCCTATGCTTACTGAAGCAAAACTCCACTGCATGCCAACTACTCAGACGAGTTTAAAGTTGATTCTAACTTCTTCTGGTATTGATGAGAACTGGAGTTCTCTATGCTTCCAAGCTGGAGTCTGGAGCAAAGTCATTTCTGGATTATATTTTTGGCTGGATCTTGTCTATAACAGATACAATATGCTAAACTGAACATAAAATGGCTACTGAAGAGCTGCAAAATTCTTCCATCTCGGATCAGGCATGTAAAAAATAATTGTCATAATAAACCAGATCTTTCTATTTAACATTATTCTTTATTTTATTCTTTGTTCTTTCATTATTTATTATCTTTATTCTTTCATTATTTAACATTATTTCTCCTAAATTAACCAGTTTTATAGTTACATACCTGGCTGCTCTGGGATGTTCTCCTTTCAGAGTGAAACGGCCCAGCTTTTATTCTTCCAACCTCTAGTCTTACTGTACCTAAGGAACACTAAAGAAAGAGTTACTTGTAACATATCTCTCCTCTTTACAAGAGTAAAAACTACAATATTTAAGTGACTTTCTAGAAAGTGGAGGAAGAAAAAAAAACACATGGTCAGGTGGAAAAAAACCCCCATGGCCTAGCAATCCTGAAATGAGTGCTTTGCAGACAGAGTTCATGGCAGGACCAGTGACACACACAAAGCACACCAAGGTACTCAATACCAAGCAGCCTACTTTTTTAATACTGGATTAATCAGTATTACAATGCAGACATGAAAATCACACAAGAGGAATAATTCTATTACATTGCACTTAATAAGGAATAGCTTCTGAACTGAAATGTCAACATATAATTTTTACAATAAAAAGTAAAACCACTGCATCAAAGTCTTAATCATTATTTATCTTAATATGACTGAGAACATGGTAATTGAACTGGAAGTTACTCATCTCTCTCTAACTTTTGAAATTATCTGTTACTCTGGATAGACACCAATATAACAAAGAAATTTTGGGCAGAAAATTTCCTGAATATCTATAGTTTAAGTGAATTTTCTGCCTGCATCTGACTCCCAGCAATAAGCTGGGTGATATGGATTGACTACACATCAGAAAGTCCTTTCACTTGCCTTTAAGATTTTAACTACTCTATTGAGTATTCACACATCTACATAAAATGCATGTCTCAGAAGAAAATTCACCCTGCAATTAAATATTTCAAAATCAAGACGTTATTTTGAAAAAACAGAAAAGTTGTTACCACAAGGCTAAGAAAACGAGACTTTCAACATAATACAAGTAGTGTCAAGAGAAGACGTCGATCTGCAATGTATTAATAAAAAAAATTCAGTTTTGCTGTTATTTTGATTTTTTTCTTTCACTGGGAAGTTGTAAGAGGAAACTTCTGCATTCAATTAATTTAATAATACATGAGGTTGCCTTTATTTGCCATGTTTTAACTTTATTACCCTAAAAGTGATTCATGCATTTGTCAGAAAAATCCACAGTACTAGGCCAATATATCAAAACCAACCAGACATATCCATTCAAACAAAGTTTCAATACCTCATATCCTGTTACTATTCTCTTAGGAATGACACTAAAAAAGATTTATTACTAAATTGCTTTTTATTTTATAAATAATGTTGATTTCTCAATGTCCTGGAAAAGACCTGATCAAAGCTCAGGCAAAACCATTCTTCTCTGCTTGTATGAATCTAGTCACATTAAACCATATGGACAACTCTTATTCAAAGTGGAAAATGGAGGAAATATGTACCTAAAATTACCACATCCTCACGAATACACAAACCCACACATGAGATTTTAGAATTGTGTAAAAGTAGGAGCTAATACTTTCCATTTGGACTCCTGAATAAGTCAATTCACGTTTAGTTTTACTACACCTTTCTCCCTCTTCCTAAAGTCTCCCATTTGATAGATCCAGTAAGTTTAGTGAGGGGAAAAGCTGATAGTTTTTTTACATACTTTAGGGGATACTTCAAAAGAAACACTGCAAGAACAGACAGAATTCTCAGACCGATGACACATTCTATTTGTATCATTCTACTTAAAATACACAGGAATTTTCCAAAGATTATGAAATAATTTTCTAGCAAAATACATTTTAGGTAGTTCACGACAATTCACTCTAGATCCTACTCTCACGAATGAAAACCTAATGGACAGCTGAACAGGAAACAGCAACTGCCTTCATCTGAGTGACCATGTTTTATTCCACTGACACTATGAGAACGAAACAATTATTAACAATAATGTGTCTAAGGAATTTTAAAAGCCCATTCCTCAGGGCTATGACAATTAACTACAAGTACTACTACTGAGCAATGACGAAGTACTTAAAACTTTAATATATGAATGGTAAGTGGAATCAATTAGATACTTCAAAATGCTTGTCAAAATGAAACAAATTTCCCACATGTAAAGGCATTTTTATTCAGAGGAGAGGTACAGCATGTGAAGAAGAAATGCTGTGTTCTTAAAAAAAAACTATCGTGTAAGAAGGGAAAAGTACTATAACCAAATAAGAGTATACTAACAAGTTCAGAGTCACAACATAGATCCTGTTCCGGCATTCTCACTAATGGGCGCAGACTGAAAATACAGAAGTTCTCATATCTCCCTTTCTGACCACTGCTCTCCCCTAGGACCCCTGCTCCCCAATAAATCCAAAATTTCAAGGACCAGCTCAAGATCTGAAAAAATATACCTTTGAATCTGAGTGTTAAGAAGCATGACCATGCGCCTATGTATCCAAGAGACAGCTACAACTAGCAACCGGTAATTTTTTTCCAGTGAAACAGTTTTCCATTGAAAATGCTGACTCAGTGGAATCCTTACCATGCAGCATGTCTCAAAACTCTGGACTGACAAACAGACAAGGCAGTTAACCAGCTGGATTTCTTGGCAGACTACAGGAAATATTGTATTTCTGATTTGCAAATAGAGGAAGGACATCCGAAAAAAAAAAATATCAAGAATAGGTTGGCTCCAAGAGCTGCAGGTAGTTACTTCAGCAAACTCTGAGAAAGAAGTTTCTTACACCGAAAGCTTGGTAACTGAAAAATGCATTGCAGAATTTAATGGATGTAAGGTGGTACAAAACAAACACAATAAAAAAAAAAGATTCACGTCTCCTAGTAGACCAAGTTATTCAGAGCCCCATCCAACCTGGCCTTGTACACTTCCAGGGACGGGGCATCCACAGCTCCTCTGGACATTCTACTCCAGTGCCTCACCATCCTCATTTCATCTCCCTCCTCATTTCTTTCATTAAAGAATTTAGGCCTAACAACTAATTAAACTTACTCTTTTGGTTTAAAACCGTATCCTCTTGTCCTGTCACTACGGGGCCTTGTAAATAAGCTATTAAAGTAGTCATTTCTAGCGCAACTACTCTGCTGAATTCTCCATCATTCAAAGTCAGTTCTGCATATCTTTCTGAAAATGCAAAACAGTTAACCAGATATCAGTGTGCTCGACAGAACACAGTGTTAAGTTTTCAGCTGTTCTAGGTAATGATATTCTATAAAGGTCATCTATCAGCCCCTTGTTCATTAATATATGGCTTTCTGCACCACCACTACTCCCAGTTTTATCAGGCAAAGTATCAAAATCTGAGTGCTCTAGATTTCAGGAAGCTTAAAGCTGGATCCCCAAGTCATCTCATTGACATCTCAGTAACAGTCTCATCTCAGTCTGAATAAAGTTAAAGCTTTCACAAAACCTGAATCTCAGTTTTTCACTCTTATCCATCTTCTCTTTTCCCCAATACCTTTAGCAAAGCTGCAACAGCCTCCTGGTTAGCGTTTCGGACATCTTCTCCATTCACTGTCAATATCTGGTCTCCTTGCATCAATCTCCCATCTGTATCTGCTATTCCTCCTTTGACGATGTCTGACACAAACACACCTGTGTCATTTCTGCAAGTACACACATGAATTTTACATTAAAGTATTGTTTGATGGCAATGTTTATGGCTTGCTATTGGGAACAGAAACAAACAGTCTCATTTTTCTCTTGAATAACACTGGCTTAGTTCCTCCAGGGAAGACTGGTTAGCTTAAGCAGAAAAATAAGATGCATGGCCTTCAAGCCCACAGGATCTGAGCACCAAACCACAATGAAACATGATAAGCAAGTTGCAGACACTGAATCTCCAGATACATTACATACCTTTTCCCAACAATACTCAGCCCAAGGCCTTTACCAGGCTTCTTCTGGAGCTCTATATTCAGCACATCATACATGTCTTCCTCCTTGTACTGGGCTTCATCTCTGTACACAGTCAGGCGAACTTTTTGGGGTGTCTGACGGAGGACATTAATGGCCTCATCATGTGTGGCATTCCTGAGGTCAATTCCATTCACCTGCAATGAAAGTGTACAATGGCAAATCATGCAGCACCTTCCAGCAGACAAATACAAAAGGTTTAGCCAGCAATGAAAACAAAAACAACCAAAGAAATCACCATGCCTCTAGTATCTGATCACCAGCCCACAGTCGTCCGTCTTTAGATGCTGCTCCTTCTTCATATACCTCATGGATAATGATTGCTCCCTGACAACAAAAACAACATCAAAATTTCATGTTGAAAGAACAGCCACCATTTTGAACCAAAAGTAACTGAAAATTGCTACAATAATTCAGCAGTGAAAAGTCAGATGGAATGAAAGTCAGATGCATGATGAAAAATTACCAAAATATTTATGAAGCTCATTTTTACTTTTAATTTTAGAAAGGGTTTTAATTTTAGAAAGGGTTTTTTCTTGTTTTTGTTTCTTTTGTGTCTTTCTATAAATACTTTAGAAACAAATGACAAAAAATCTCTTCTATCAGACTTTATTTTCATTACTGTTATTTCACATGAGTGACACATATTTTTCCAACCAACCAGCAAAGTGTCTGCTCCTCCAACAATGCTCAGACCAAGACCAGTCCTTCCTTTGGAGATATCAATGGTTGTTTCACATCCAGGAATGATGGGACAAGTAGCTGGGTCAGAGGTTAACATGGCTGGAGTTGAAGACCTGCTTGTGTCTAAAACAACAATGAAACACCCTGGTTACAGTAACGGCATTTTTCAGAGTTCACTGACAGCTGTATAGCAGTAACTGAACACCTGATCCACAGAGAATGACGCTCCCAATTCTCCCTCGTCCTCAGAGAAATACTATCCTGTAGTTTTATTTGCCATGCCTCCTGTAGCTTTTATGCCATCAAGTACTTGGATTATAGTCCTGACAGCCAAGGCAGATATTCTACACAACATACTCTATTTAGGATAGAACTTAATTTAAACATCTATATGATGAGTGCATTACTTGAATTATTATTAACTTTGAAGTGTCTTGCTTAACCAATGACTATCATCCATCAGAAACATCTTGATTCTCCACTCTGAAGGAGAAGAGCCAAATGTGGCTAGTCATAAATGGCAAGACATTCTCAACTGTCCATTTTTTTTTGCAAAAATTGACATGACTTTTCTCCCTCACCTAAAGGAATGCCTTCCACTTAGTTCTAGACAACCACGGCAGAGGCACCTGCTGCATATCTGAGATGGAGGAGAAAATCTTTCATCCTCCTGCCTCTACAACAGGAAGCCAAGTAGTAGGTCTTCAGTATGGGGGCACAATGCTTTATTTATACATATATGAGTAGGTAATCTGGAAATACCAGAAAATGCAGAAGACAACTCAGTGCACACAAAAAGGGAAAACTTACAAGCTGGGTCTTTGTTTTTATGTTACAACCCCAGTTGTAATAGACACACATAGGAATACAGACACACAAGGAAAACAATACTTTTGACTGCTTCTGGTTCTGGTGAGCTGGAAGTTGGGACAGCTGCTGCAAGTTGCATATTCCTCTTCTCTGCTGGGACAGTGATGGGAAGGGCTGGTGCTGTAGTCAGGTTATCTGTCTCTGCTGGGTTGATTGTAAGCCTCACCACAGATTTGGATGTCTTCAGGAGACCAATAAACTGAATGATAAAGAGAAAAGCCTATGAAAACTGTAACTGGATTGTTCAGTTGCAAACCAAAAATAGAGTAACAGTTCCGCAAACTGGAGCTACTTGTCACAATCTTGCAGGTTTTATCATAAGGAACAAACACAAATATTGATGTTTTTTCTAAGAAAACTTTTTCCATGAAACTTTGCCAAACTATAGTAGATGACAAAATGGCAGTCTTTCAATTGTTTCTCTAGATAAAATACTATATTGTATAGCAATCATGGGAGAAACAGAACTATTGCCTTTTAATGCTGGGTGGAGCCCAACTCTGATCTCACAGAAGTCAATGCCGAAATATCTAGTGAACTAAAGAAATGTGCAACTGTCATTCTGGAAGAAAAACCTGAAAATACTACCTGAACTATGGAAGGGAGAGATAGACACCCAGGTGTAATGCAAAATCTAGTTCAAAGAGATACTGAAGACCCTTCAAAATCAATTGCCATCTTACAGAACAGACACCAAATCCTCTTGAGACTTTACATTTCAGTAGAGATATTTTCAGAAATTACTTACTCAATCTCTATTCTTACAAAGCTTATCTACCCCTACCTTCTTACAGGCAACTTCACTATTTCTTACTTATTTACTGCCTCAGAGATAGCAGCACACCAAAGAGTAAGATTGATGCCCTCCTAATTGCCCTTTAACAAACAGAAAGTAATCTGCTCATGCCTAAAGAATCACTTTTCTTGGTAGCAAGGTGGGTGCTAGAAAAACAGCCTCCTTGATTTACTGCAGAACACAAATTGAGTTTGCAGAGCTAGAAGCTAGAAATAAATCTTGTTATTTAGGAATGGAGATATTTTTCTCCAAAGGTTTGAAATACCATGCTTGGAATATAATGAGACTGTTACTACAGACAGTTCCCATGGATAAGCACAGTTTATGACTTGATTTACCACTGAAACAACTCACTCATGCAAATTTACACATATTAGTTTTACTGGTTCTAACACCTTTAAAGTGGACTAGCTATGCAGAGTCATTACTGAGCAATAATTCATGGCTTTTATCACACTACTAAGTCTCTCAGTCATCAGGTCTGAACCACAGGGAAAATAAAATCACATTCGAAGCAGAGATAGGAGGATTCATGTAGTGCATTAATGTAAAATAACAGCTGAGCTATAAATTTATTAGGCTTTAGCTTATTTCGCAGTAGTTTTCTTTTCCAGACAGTGCCTGCAGATCTTTGAATTTTTTAGTCAGGTTTGAAAATTAAGTATAGTCATGAGAACCTCACTAGTTTAAGACACAATCACCTCCTACATTAGGCAGTGTGCTTTCTGTAACATTCCTGACACTTCAGAAGCACCTTTTCTACAGGATATCCCACAACAATTTCATCATCCACTGCCAGAATCATATCTCCAACTTTGATACGTCCATCCTGGAAAAACATAAAATAAAAAATATGAACTATGGATGCCACTCCAAAAAACATTCTTCATTCCCTTATTAGATTTTAAATGTATCTCACACCTTTGCAGCTGCACCATGATCTGTTAAGCTTTTAATAACTACTCCATTAGTTGTGTCTTCTTCACTAATGGCAATTCCAAAGCCTCCTTGATCCTGGGGCAAACAGAAAATGCAAATGGTTAAATATTGTGACATCAAAATGTTAGAATACAATCACTAAAGACTAGTGAAGCCTGCTGATATATCAAGTCTGAGGTTCCACAATGCACCAATATTTTTGTTTTAAACTATTTCTGGAATAGATTCTGCCAAACAAACAGTATACTGACTACCAAGATAAATCTGAAACACTTCTAAATTCAAATCCATTCCTTTGAAATCTACAAGGTAAAGTGTTATTCACTTTTTACTTTGAACAATTAAGGCATTGATTTCACCTGAGGAACCATCAGTAGAGATGGTTATAAGAAGTTGGGCAAATAGAACAAAAGAATACTTCTTCCAGAGACACAAAGCAATTAGCAAATCAGAAACAATCTTTCTGTGAGGAAAACTTTGAGATCCATTCCCAAACAGGAAGAGTAGATCTCTAGAAATCTCTTTTCCAGCTTCTAGTAACTGAGAGTCTGTTTGCTGTAAGAGGGACAGCATTACAAAATTGAATGGCTATTGACTGATGTAAATTCAGTACATACCTTAGGAAGTTCCACATACTGAATCTTTTTACATGAACTTAAGTCAGAAAATGCACTCGGGTTTGCAACACTGATGTCAATCTAAGAGAAAAATAAAATGCAGCTGTAAGTGACTATATCCAACATTTTGCACCAAAACAAAGTAGTGCGCAAATATTTAAAGCGAGTCTGCTCATTTACTAGTTCCATCTAAGCTTCTAAAACTCTATTGATGGGAATATTAGGCTTACTTCATAGTATAGAAGAACATAAAATGAAACAAAATTTATGACAGCTGTATTAAATTCAGCAACTTTACTAAAATCCCACTTGTTTTTCTATAAGTTTCCTTTTCTTTTACTAAGCAGACAGGACCCTCCTCTATCCAGAACAATGTTAGTATTTTGGTCAAATAAGAAAAACAAATATTTACTTTACCTCTTGATGTTGAAGTGTCCCTGAAGTACACTGTGAAGCCTCTACTGACTTTGCAGGGCAAACAGCCATCTGATTTACTGCATCCTTGTTTCTGCAATATATTCAGTTAAAGGATGTAATAAGAAGGTAATAGTACCGCCCCATATTTCTTAGGACAAGTTTAAGTCTGGTTCTTAATTTCTGGCACTCACAGTAAAAATATCAAAACAGAAAACTACAAGATATATTTGACAAGTAGTAAGATTGTCTTCAAAAGTACATCTATGTTACCAAAATTAAAAATAACAAACGCTATGTGCGATGTGAGCACATTAAAAATTAAACCTTTTCAGCCAAATCTTTAACCAGAACTTACCTGATAAAGATTACTTTAACTTTAGATGGTGCGCATTTGATTATTGAAGAAGCATTCTGATGAGTCCTTCCATAAAGGATTTGACCATTAATCTAGATAAGGAAAAGCGGCAATTATTTATCAAAATATTTTAATTCCTTACACTTAAACTAATTTTTTAGCCTTAAAAAAATCTGTATCACTGACTAAACAGCAACTGTATAGAAATAAGAGTTATGTTATGTCTTACTTTCACTCCCTTTTTTCAGTAAAAATATTCACCATAGTTTGACTTCAGACTAACACTTTCACAGTGCTAAAATTGTCATTCTCTGAGTTATATCGGGTTGACCTGGCACATGATCTATTTTCACTTGCCATTGATCACTTCATGACTGATGAGGTGATTAAGCAGGGCCATGGGAAATTCCAACCATAACAAATAAATGAATTGCTTACATCCTGCAATGAGATTGCTATTCTTTATTGAATCTCGGGCACTTCAGATCCCTGAGCCAGGCACTTTATACACAGAAGTCTGAACACTGGTACATTTAGCAGAGTTCTAAACGAGATTTGATGAGGAAGAGGGAAGGGGATGTACTAAGGAGGCTTCTTCTCAGAAGGTGAAGAGGTTGATAATCCAGCTTAAGTGCCTCTACACCAATATGGGCAGCATGGGTAACAAGCAAGAGGAACTGAAACCTGTTCCTCAATTGCACCAGAATCATGCAATTCAAATCTAGCTAGACTCATAGAAACCTGGTGGGATGAATCACACAACTGGAACATTTCAATGCAGGGCTACAACCTTCTCAGAAGAAAGAGGCTGGGAAGAAGGGGCAGCTCAGGAGCTTGTGGGTAAAAATTAAGGACAGCATCGGTGAGGGACACCTTGTGGCTGGGGTCTACCACAGAGTGCCTGATATCTGCAAGTCTGTTGACTTCTTGCTTGAGATACAGAAATCATCAAGCTTGCATGCTTTCATCCTCATGGGGGATTTCAACAACCTGCATGTCTGCTGGAAAAGTGGTACAGCTGACTGCAAGCAATCCAGAAGACTCCTGGAGTGCTCTGAGGACAACTTTCTGGTCCTGGTATTGGCCAAACCAACCAGAGAGGCAGTGTTACTGGACCTGGTGCTCACCAGTGCAGATAAGCTTGTTAGAAAGATTGAAATGGAGGCAGCCTTGGCTGTAGTGACCACGCCCTGCTTAAATTACTGATCTCAAGGAACATGGGCTTAGAAAAAAGGCAGAGTCAGAACTGACCCTTATCTTTATAATAATGGACTTCCATCTGTTAAAAGAATTAGTGGATGAGATTCCCTCAGAAACTGTCCTTAGGAACAGAGGACTCATCAGCGCTAGTAGCTTTTTGAGGATTCTCCATCCCCATGTGTAAGAAATCAACTTAGGCAAGCTGGAAACCAACATGGCTAAACAAGGATCTGCTTCTCAAATTAAGGAGTAAGAAAGAAATGAATAGCCAGTGGAACTAGGGACAGACGATCTGGGAAGAGTACATAGATATGGTTTGGATGGGTTTATAGATGGGTTTTGCGAGGGTCAGGAACCCACGTTTTACAGAGGAACCCACTTGCCACGGCAACTAAGTCCAAATATGGACAACACTGGACAAACCAGACTAGTGAAGAGCTTTTTTTTTATTTTCAGCACATCAGTCTCAGGACATTGTTAGACAATGGAGACAGGATGTCAACAGCTCGCTGATCCACAGGGAATGCCAGGGAGGTGGAGTTATTACAGAATGACATAAAACCACCTCAGTCTAGATTTAAGCCAATCAAACATAGAACAACACATATTGACAAGCATTCTATCCAATCTTATAAAACACACGTAATGGTAGTTAAAACAAAGACTGGTTCATAAGAGACAAAGAACAGAGCTCTATTCATGCTAACCTTCTAAAGATATACATTAAATAACCTTGTTGCCATCCATAAGCCAATTCTACAGAGGCCTATTGTTATTTGTCACGTATGCTCTACTGCTTGGGAAACTTTTCTGCTGTATTTGCAAAGCTAACAAAACTTCAGTCTGAGGCCTATACTTTTTTAACCATTTCCTAAAAACCCTCTAACTTTATGGATTCCAACAGGTTTAGGAATATTAAGGCACAGAAGAAAGAGGCTTTGGCAAGGAATGCGAAGACAAATCAGAAGGGGTTCTATAAGTAGAAGTCAGAAAAGAAAGACCAAGGAGACTGTACCTGCCTAACAATTAAGAATGGACAGTTGGTGACAATGGATATGGAGAAGGGTGAGGAACTCTAAAGTTCTTCACCTCAGTCTTCAATGACAGTCTGGCTTCTCACATCTCTCAAGTTACTGAACCTCTAGGTGGAGTTTGGGAGAAGCAAAGTCTCTCCCACTGTAAGCAAAAAGCAAGTTTGAGACCACTTGATGAAACTGAATACGCACAAGTCAATGGGGTTTGAGGATCTGCAATCCAAGTTCCTGAGGGAACTGCCTGATGTAGTTGCCAAGGCACTCTCCATCCTACTTAAGAAGTCAGAGAAGTCAGATAAAGTCCCCAGTGACTAGAAAAAAAGAAAATATCACTCATTTCTTGAAAGTGGAGAAAGGAACCTCCAGGAAACCACGGACCATTGAGCCCCATCTCTGTACCTGGAAACATCCTGAAGCAGATCCTCATGGAAGCAATGTTAAGGCACATAGAAGACAAGGAGATGATCTCAGCCAGCACAGCCAGTGACACCTACTTAATCCTCTACAAGGACTTTGACAAAGGTCCACACAATGTCCTTATCTTCAAATTAGATAGAGAGATTTGAAGGGTGGACTATTTGGTGGATAACGAACTGGGTGGATGGAGGCAGCCATAGAGTTGTGAACAATGGCTGTGTGTCCAGGTGGAGGCTTGTGACAAGTCAGGGCTCTGTCCTGGGACGGGCTCTTTAATATCTTTACCAATGAAACAGATTAAGACATCAAGTACACCCTCATCAGATTTGCAGATGACATGAAGATGAGTGGTGTAGCTGACACAATATAAAGATGAGGTGCCATCTGGAGAGACCTAGACACACTTGTCAAATGGACCTGTGGGAATCTCATGAGGTGCAACAAGTCCAATTACAATTGGGTTGGGACAATCCAAAATAAGAGTATGGACTGGGAAGGCCAATGTCATCCTGGGCTGCATCCAAAGAGTTGTGACTAGAAGGTCAAGGAAGCTGTACTCTGCCCATGTGACACCCCACCTCAAGTACTGCATCCGGTTATGGAGTTCTTAGCACAAGAAAGATATGGATCTGTCAGTGCAGCTCCACAGGAGGGCCAGGAATATCATCAGAGGGCTGGAGCACCTGTCCCGTCAAGATAGGCTAAGAGAGTTGTGGTTGTTTAGCCTGGAGAAGAGAAAACTATGGAGATACATTACTGCAGCCTTTCAGAACTTAAAAGGGGCTTAGAAAAAAGAGGAAGAGTAACTTTTTATGCAGCGTGATAGGGTTGTGACAAAGGGCAATGGTTTTAAACTGAGAGAAGGAAGTTTTAGATTAGATGTCAGGAAAAACTCTTTACCCAGACAATAGTGAGGTACTAGAACAGGTTGCCCAGAGAAGCTGTGGATGCTCCACGCCTGGAAGTGTTCAAGGCCAGACTGAATGGGACCAGAGCAACTTGATCTCATGGCTGGCAATTCAGGCCATTGAGGAAGACTTGCAAGTAGATGACCCTTAAGGTCCCTTCCAACCCAAGCCATTCTAGACTCCACACTTGTATCTGAAGATGTGACCTGGCAATCTCTTTTCCATTTGGTAGAGCAGATTAGTCACTGTAACACCTTGAAATGTCTACAATTCAGACAGGAGATGAGCTATCAGTGTGAATTTGCAGATTAAGGCCATTATTTGTTTGCATTTTATTAGTTGCATTTTTTCTTGAAAAAATGAAAAAAAATTTCTCAGTGCTGAAGTTAACTGAAGAGAAATGATTGAAAAGGGACAGTCTGGACCTACACAAAGGGAAAGTAATAAAATATATATAGGTAGCACTAACAGAAGCAAAGACACAGCAAAGCAACAGATGCAAGACACTGTACTGAGGGATGAGCATAACACCAACCACCTCCTATGCAGGGTGGTTACAGGGATTCCAAGCCCTGTCCTTTACACTGGAGTTCACAACCCAAATGCAGCACTCCCTCCAGTGTTTGCCACAGCCGTATGAAAAATACATGGTCAGGCTGCCAAGTGGGGGGGATGGGACATGGCCCTCAATGTTGGCCCTATATTCCCAAGTAGCCGACGGACAGCTACTTGGGCATATAGGGAGCAAGCTCAGACGTCTCCTCTCAGAAGAGGTTGACGCAATTTCTTAGGAGTAGTCTGCAAGTTTATAGTGTGGACAGTACCCAAGAAATCACAATATGATAGCTTCAGACAGACATGTGTCAACATGTTTTCAGAACATTCCACCTCTTCCACTTTCGGATTTTAAAAACAGATGCTTCAAGTGAACTGTCACACAATACTGGAATCTGAAACAAAGTTCCCTCCATTAGACTTGGTCCACAGTGCCAAAAATCCCTTAATTTTTTTTATAGTCTGCAAATTTCAGCCAATGTTATTTACTTTCTCAATGTCTCCCTCAAGCTGTTCCCACCATTCCCACTCTGTACCACTTTGCCAGTACATCCCCAAACACTTCCACATAGAGCTTTGAAGTTACACAAAGCAATTCTGTGAGGGTAATGTTACCTACTGCTATTAGAAAGAATGGGAAAAGCTATAGTAGAGAATACATGTCCGAGTACCATCAACTGGGCTGTGGGAATATAGAAACAAATTATGCTCACACATGTACTTGAAATCTTAGTTGCATGTTTAGTGGTTCAGTCACTCTACTCCACTAGAAAACAGCACCCAAACATATAATGAGTTAGAAGTCTATAATAAAAATAGATCTGTTCCTGTTTCCCCAATTTAATTTCCACATTCTGTGTTACACAATAAAAAAATATTCTGCTATTATCACACTTCTAGTAAACAGGGAAGTAATTACAAAGTCTAGAATACTGCACAGATGGATTGGAGGACTTCAATATTTTTCATGGCCTGCAATTCACTGCCATTCCATACAGCTCAGTAACTCAGAAACAGCTGTCGTCCCACATTTCTATTCAACATACCTTCATTCATAATTGCAGAATCTTCTGAGCTGGAAGGGACCCACACGGATCATTGAGTCCAACTCTTAAGTGAATGGTGCATACAGGGATCTAACCCATAACTTGGTGTAATTATTACCAGGAAAAAATCCACTATACCTATTTGGCATAGATCAAAAGGAAAATCTTATAGCATAGTGATATGAACTTGGATAAACTTGGGATTTCAAAGTCTACTGAAAAACTTATGCATTTCAGCAAGAATCTGGTATTTGAAGTCAGTACATTTGGGCTTCAGTACATATTGCAAAAACTCACCTCTAGCAACTCATCTGCAATCTGCAACCTGCCATCTTTTCCAGCTGCTCCATTTGGATCAATTCCCACTATAAAGACACTCATCCTGGATCGGTCTTTGTTACCAGCAAGACTAAGTCCCAGACCTGTCTTTCCTTTTTCCAGCTCAATCATGTGTAGCTCCCCTGGTAGATTTCCATAGCGCTGCACGATCTTTTCTAAATGTAGAAGTGTAGGGTTAGATTTACATTAGAAAGTTTCACAAGTTACCTAGAATCAAGATCAGTGCTCAGTGTGCAGTATCTGACAGAAGCAGCCCAAAATGGATGATAAATTTTCAGTGTAAAGGACACACTCTTTTAAACTAAGCCTTAGGTGATCTATAATAATATTTCTAGCTTCTTGTTTTCCTTATACCTTCAGAAAATATTTTAAGTTTTCTTTAAAAAAATTCATACACAAAAGAAGTAATCTTCTCTCCAGTAACACTTTCAGGTAATAGATACTGTCAAATTGATCACTGCCAAACTGTTACCTGTAGTACACTGAAATTCTTCAAGTTGTCCTACATTGAACTGGAACCATGGAAAAAATCTTTTTTTTTTTTTCTATGTGCATCTGACCAAGAAAAACTAAAATAGCAACCTTAACACCCAAACCATAATGCACATGAGAAAGAAACAGTTCAAACTGGATGCCTCCAGACCTGTGTCTTTTACAGTACAATTTTAATACTTAGCATTTCAAATATTATCACAGGAAAAACTTACTCCAGCTGTAACCATACTCATCCTCCTTCTCCACATCTTCTGGAACTCTGATAGAAGATGACTGTGCAACATCAGAGCTCATTCCTGAAAATGCTGAAGGAGGGGGCAGAGGCAAGTTACAAAGCGAAGTCTTTTCTGGCTCCGTATCAGACTGACCAAATGCCTGTGGAGAATAAGAAAAATGAAATGGTAAAGAAGATGCAGACTCTCTGTAGGGCAAACTAGTACAGAAAAATGTCAAAATGGCAATGACTGTAGCTTCAAAGTTTCAATACCAAGCAGCTGAAACTCTAAATTAATAACAGCGCACAGGAAGGCAGAGAGATCAAAGACAGAAACAAACACTAGGCAAGGTAAGAAAAAAACATCACTCCAAAATGTATCTGGAAGCAAACAACTCACAGTAAAAGCCCAATTCAGTAAAGTTTTATGTGCCACTTTATGTTTCAGAAAAAGCCTCTAACAAAGACTCCAGTGCTTTTGTTTTAATGCCAGATTTGTAAAAGATTTATAAGTCATCACATATCAATTCCTCCCATCATATGCTTAGGAAGCCAAATATGAGGAAAGAGAAAGCAAAAAAAAACAAACTGGGAACTTTCAAAAATACCTACAGGAAAAAAAAAAGCAGTTGGTATATTAACTGAAAGGAGAGTTAAAAACCAAAATTAAACAGAAGAAATCCATAGTGACTGATCTTTTCAGTCTCATTTACTAGTTTCGTATAAGCTGCACAGAGAAGATCAAATAAATGAGGATACAGGTCAAATCACAAGAGACAGATACTTGATGCGTTGTATTCATATTCACACAAAGTTAAGAGGTATAAACACACTACTACTGCAATATAATGGTTAAATGCCCAAATCCACAGCCTTGAAAGCTTCCATTCAAGACAGTTTTCTTGAGGAATATGGACTCTGATAAGGAATTTCGCTACGTGAAATTTGTATAATTTTTCCTTGCTTAAAGTAAACATGCAAGCAAGAAACCTCTCTCTGAATATCATCATTCTTTACTTATGTATGCCCAAGAGACCTTGATACTTGGCAGATCAGCTACTAAAGTAAACAAGAATATTAAATAAAAACCAAGTTTTTACAACACTCAAGTTTTCAGGTGTGTTGCCCTCACTTACTAACCCTATTCTCATAATTTCAGTTCTCACTACTTTCATCACAGATTTTGAACACAGTACATCCGATCGTGCCTTTAGGTGGCAAAATCACTTAGGTAATAATCTCTTCATCAGAGGCAACAGTGAAATGAATAACAACATACACCTTGGAAAACTTCATCAGTTTTCAAATTGAAGGTGTTGAGAAACCTGGGAAGTTACCACTTTAGTTCATTTTGAAATTTAAGAAAGGTCCCATGTCTAAACAAAAATTACTTATCTTCACTCTTAACTCCAAAAGATAAAGATATTGAAAATGCCCTATTTCAGGTCTCTCACTCTGCTTCTGCTTGAGAAAGAGGAAAGGAGTTCCTTTCATTTAGGAACTTCTTAGAGGAACTTAACTAAGAAGTCACTAAATCTCAAAAGTGTGGGAAGTGACCCCAAAGCAAGTAATTTATCTAAGACAATGTCATCCTCCTAAGATGATACCTAACATTCCTAAGCTGAAGCAACAAAATTCTAACACAGGCATTGTCACCTACCAGAATCAGAGAACAATAGAAACACTGCCTAGTAACATTAAACGTTATTTTTCACAATCAAAAATTCATGTGTGCACAAAAAGAAAAGTTGGTAATACCTCCACATTGAGAAGGGGCAAAAGGGAGAACTCTAGAAAAACTCATTTTTCAGAGGTCTTTCTAGAGTTTTACTAAAGCTAAATAATGTCCTGGGAAAATGAGGAAACATGGTGTCACGGCGGGTTTACCCTGTCTGAAGGCTAGGTGCCCACCAAAGTTGCTCTATCACTTCCTTCTTCAGCTGGACAAAGGAGAAAAAATATGACAAAAGTCACCCCCCACAGCCTCCCCAACTACCATTATCTTGCAACACAAATCCAGTACCAGTGCAAGATCAAACCAGATCAGCAAACTTTAGTTTTTATATTTTAAAACCAAAATGAATATATTACTTTAGAGGTACTGTTTGTAAGTGACAGTGTCGAAGAAAAGCAAAACCTAATGAAACCAAAAAAGGAGCAATATATTGGTGTAAAGGATCTCTGGAAGACTTGCAAGGTGTGGATGTAGGGCTACATCCTTACAGATTAGCACTTATTAACTGCTGCCACCATAATATGACTGACAAAAAAAAAGCATCTTTTTGTACCATTGTGAATGTATAACAACATAACATAATCTAAACATTTTTGAGGTTTAAGGAAATACTGCAATGAAAGTAAAAGAAAAGGTCCCTTGTAGGAGGGTAAAAACTGTGCTACAATGCCATTTGGGGGGAGTGGAACATGTCCTGCCTGCAGAACTCAGCCTGACACATTTGAACAGCCAGAAGCAGAAGCCAGTTCCCACAGTTTACACACACATAAGACTTTTGCTCCCTGAATCGGGCAACACACAGAAACCTAAAAGGCTTTAACTCATGAAATACTTTCAGTGTGCCACACCACAGTATTTCATTTAAAATGCAAAGCACCCAACAGCTGCCGAACCCATTTAGCTACCAGGGTCACTCTGATCACAGCCAAGCAAACACTGAAAATTGCAGCAAGTCTGGAACTTGAAAAGATGAAGACACAGGCAGAAAAAGAAGCAGTAGTCCAGAAGTTATCACAGTCCATGTACAAATGTACAGCACACATACAGTAGGACCAACTGATGGGAATTAAGACAAACCTTGAATGGTGTGGGAGCAAAAGGGTTAGTTGGGGAACAACGGAAGGTAACCCTAATTGGATTCGATACCTCCTACAGTAACAGAAAACAGCAATCCACATGTTATAGCATCTTTGGCAATACAGAGTAATATTAACCAATATCTCATTTTCAATTATGGATTCATTTTGCTAACTGCAACAACTTTATTAACTTTATTTATAAATGGATAAAAGTATTTGAGGGGTTACTAAGGAACCCTGATTCATCAAAGTTTCTCACTACAAATGAACTTGAGTTCAGAAAAGGAGAGATGACAAAAGGCCATTCTTAGATCAACGCTAAGAAAGGAATTATGCATAAACTACAGGATCATCAGGTTTTCTCTTAAAATGCATGCAATGTTTTTTCAGAAATACTTTTAAAAATATAGAAAACATAAGTCATCATTTATGTTACATGTCTACTCCCTTTCCTCAGAACTGTAACAAACACAAAAAGAGATTTCAAAACACACATGCAATTACACACCATATATCATAAGTGTTTGTTGCACATGCAATATTTTCAACAACATGAGAAAATAGACAAAGGGCACAATCACTTGCAAGATGTAAAACCAGCTATAAATTATTTTATTAAATCAAAAATTCATGCATATTAGGATAAAGTATTTTATTAGAGATTAATGCTGTTCCTATTGTGAATGACATGCAGTAAGTATGCACTAGCCACAAAAAAGAGTCTAACTTTTTTTTTTATTTCCAAAGACTTCAGCATCCTAATCATGGTGCATGAAAAGAATTTTCAAGAAGCAGAGGGAAAATATTTTCATGAAGCATCATAAAAAAAAAGCTGCAAGTTTGGTGTTTTTTTAATGCAAAAATAAAAGAGAAATATCAAAGCTGGAATGTCATAACCACAAAAAACCAAAAAGAAGTACACAGCACTTTACACTGATGAGTTACACTTAGATATTTTAAAATATACATCAGGGATTGATCTTATAATTGAAAACCTATTCCTTTGGTAGCTCTGAATAGATCAGCTTTAGTGGTTATGATTAATGGAGCTGGCATTTTTTAACTTCTCCGTAACTTTTCTACATATATGCATGTCTGTGTCTTTAAATTCACTACATAGAGTTCTCAAGCTCATCAGCACAGCACATAACTCAAACTAGTATAAAAAAATTTAAATGCAGAGAGACACCAATGGGAGAAAAGCACACACAGGATGTTTGGTGAGTGAAAAGATAGTGTGTCATCATCCAACCTTAGCAGTGTTGAACTGAGAAGAATCAGCAAATGGGTTAGTGCTGCTGAAGACAGCTGGCCTACTGAAAACACTGTTCTGCAGAAAAGGCAGGGAAGGGTTCTAAAAGGTAAGCATAATAGAAACTAAGCAAAAAAAAAGTTTTAAACCAACCCTTTTTAATCATGAACCAAAACATATTCATTTTGTTGTCTGGGCTAACCGAACAAGGTCCAAGTTCTGCACTTGCCAAAGATATGTGAAATTGGGCAAAAGTGTATTTGCCCCATTTTTCTGATGCTCTGTCAGCAGGCTAATCCTCACACCTGTTCTAGACCATGAAGTACATCAAGTGCAGAATTATGCTGCATTTATGTGCTGTTGCTGTGATATTTGAAAATTTTTTCCAAACATATGGGACACTCTTACACATTAATTAATTGTGGATTTCTGGGTTAGGATTAACACAAATATCTGTAATAATGCAATAGCTTTAGTCTTATTTTGAAAACCGCAGATTCTCATAATTTGATTTAACTTCTGTGGTAATACATTCACTGTTTATTTTGTAAAAGTGAGGGCTTAGTAATATTAGGCATCACTAAGCAGATTTCATATCTAATAATAAATTTCACAGAACACTTTGTATACGCACATATGCATGCGTAACTGCCTGAATTTATAGTTTCTTGAAACAAAATACTCCAGTCTTCCCCTGAAGCAAGGTAGTCTCTCATTACTATTTACCAGAAAAAGAGTTTACACATTTAAACCAGATAAAAGGATATAATTTGACCATTTATATTCCTTATGCAGTTTTTGTACTGTATTCTATTTTGAGATCAGAATCTGCTTAATAAGGAGGAAACAGCTTTGATTTCAAATCGTATGTTGGAAATATACTGGTTATATTTAGAAGTAATTTCTACACTGGTTGTATCCATCTGGCAATTACCTGTAAGTCTAAGGGCTGTAAATTTAACACTGCTGGAAAATAGTATGGACAGGAATGTGAAAACCTTCCAGGATCACTCATGCCAAGAGTAATTTAATCAAAAGTTACAGTGCTATTTAAAAAAATTCTTAAAGCATTTGTTCTTTTAAATGCTCCTGAAAATAGTAAACACATCCCTAAACATTTCTTTTCAAATACCATGTTGCAAAAAAGTAATTCCATTTGGTAAGACAGCAAATGCCTTGGCTCTACTGTATCTTCAGCAGTGACAAAGTAATGCCATGAATGACCAAGGTTTCTTTACTGGCAAGTCATTCAAAGTCAACAGGCTGTCTCCCTAGGGTACAAAATTTTCTGTATATGTGATTCCCATTTGGTTTTTAATACGATAAAGAAAGGTTTGTGAAAAGTAAATTGTTACTGTAATCACCCTATTGCACTTTAAAATTACATGGTCTCTGCATAGAAATTTAAAATACATCTTGTTGAAATTTTAGGCAATTAAAATAAGTATCACAAACACTTCATATATCAACAGTACAATCCTAGTAAAACAACAAAAGTTCAGCTACAGTCATTCAAATTCTTGTCGTTTTCATTTTGTCATGATGTCCTAAAATACTTGCCCTAATACTAATCCATGCAACAGCATTGTATTAATATGAACTGATTATTATGATAAAATACAGGGCATTTGAATTTGCCTGAACAGTTCAGTTTAGCATACTTTTTGTGCAGTCTAGGACAAGAGGAGCAAATGCTAAATAAAGGGGGTTCTCTCTTTAACTATCTTTTAAAATTCAAAACACAGCCTAATGTAACAGGATTTTTTCTTTCTGTTATTACCTTTTTTCAACTAACTTCCATTCAGAATTTTATCCATGTGTCCAAGATGCTAAGTTATCAGAAACTAGCTAGCATTTCAAACAGCATAATGCTGTAACACTACTATGGGACCATAATCACAGTGATACATTGTTTCTTACTCAGAAATACACAGAGGGCTATAGGTATGAAACAGAGACTTGATGGGTAACACGCCATTAACAAAACTATCACAATCTTTTCACAGACCGCTTGCATTATTCAGGCTGTTCTGGAGTACACACAGGCTCTCTCTTAACTACTAAACCTTACATGAAACAAATCAGAAGAAATGAACTCATTAGCTACATGCCACTTAAAACCAACTGCCTGGTTAAATACATAGTGGTACCATAATAATTATAGCTCAGGTGTGCAGGCAGCTAGCTATGTGGGTGACTGGACACAAACAAAAGCAGGAAATTCTTACAATGTGGCAGGATCTTACTAAGTACAAATGCAAGCTTCAAAACATGAAAATAATAAACATAATGCCATTTATGATGATCACAACATAATGTATGAGTACAGGAAGAGCATTTGCAATGTTTCTGCTTACAGAGAAGCAAGAGTTTGTTAGTACAGTCAAGAAATAACCAACAAGCTCAATTTGAAAATAGAGAATAAAGAACTACAATCCAAAAATAGCAAAGGAACATTCTCTAAATCAAAGTGGTGACATAGTAATGGCATCATTTCCATCCCAAATCAGCCTAAACACTCAGTAGCTGCAATTCTGTTCACATCACAGCAAATACAAAAGCATTACTTTAGTAGTTTGAGTGTCAATAATCAACATTCAACAGAGCTTTTTCATGCAACTTTACCTTAGATGACTGACGATAAAATGGGTTAGTAGTTTTCTGCCCACAGGGAGCAGAAGCTGAAGAAGGGCTATAAAGAGACTCTGGCTGGGGAACAAGAGTTATGAGACAACTAGTAAATAAACATGCAGCTTACACAGACTCTACAAAGAGGAAGTTTAGTTTCTAGTGATGCAAGCAATTTATATTAAAGCACTGTAGCTTTTGTCTGCAATGTCCATGCAGCTTAGTGACGGAAAACTTCCGTGTACTTCTAGGTCCTTTCATTAATGTCCACAGAATTTTTTAACAGGTGCTGTATTTCTGCATGCGCTCCTCAGACATGCTGTCAATCTCTAACAGATGGTTTTAATTAGACTCCTACTCTGCCCCCCAACAAATTATCTTGAGGCTTTTCAAAATAGTTTGAGGACGGCGTGCTGGAGGGTATTTCCAAATCCAAATCGATTTCATTCTAAATGGAAATAATACTTAAATCAAATCTTTGTTCCTAAAATAGTTGAGGATGGCACTTTCAGGATTAAATATCCCATTCCCAAATACCACTATCCTGAACATTTGCTTCATCTATTACTATGTATTACATCTCTTTTCACATTCTTTATGCTTACCCTTGGTCTGCTTATAATGCTCTGTACCATAAAGACTACAGGATTGCCTGCCTTCCGTATGGCTTCCACAGCTTGTTCGTGGCTGGCATCTCTGAGGTCAATTCCATCCACCTGTAATTGGAAGGCCTCATCTTAACATTGCAAGAAGCTACAAAAGTCATGAGTCAGTTCTGAGTTTTGGTTAGGAAACTTTGACTAAAACCTAAGCCCAACCCTCTGTTTTTAATGGACTTTTCTACAGACTTGGCCTGAGGTCCTTCAAACACAGGTTTGGGATTTCCAAGAGCACGAATAGAACATCAAATAAATATTTTCTTATTCCTCTGTTTTAAAAATGTTTTCCAACATTTTTAGTTCAGACTCCGTAAGTTTTCCCACAAGCAATGTAACAGAAGAGAGATGATAATCTGAAAAGAGTAGGAGTGTTTACCAAATAGTGCTTCCTGCAAATCCCACCTTAAGAAAAAAGTATTACCCAGGACTTTATGAGACTTTAAAACTGAAATTTGTTAGGTGCTGGAAAGTCTTTCACGATGGGGTATTAAGCCAGTACAGTGTACTTTTTTCTTTTACCTTCGTTTTTTTTTTTTTTTTTGTAAAGCAAGATAAAATTAATTTTAGCTACTAGACTTTCTTCAGAAGTTAAATTTTTAGAGCTGAAAAGCTTTCTATCTTCCAGAAGAATGCATGTACACAGGATGGCTAAGGAAAAATTTGCACCTGGTTGTTTGTCTTTTTTCATGTCCATATATGTATGGGTGTGTAAAACATTTTGTCCGGTTATCCAAGTAAGAACAATGTTATGGTGAGGTTAGCATCAGTAAAGCATTGTCACAATGACCACAATAAAAGCTAGAAGCTAACACAAAAAGGTTATTCGTTAGTGACAATTCTAGCACACAAACTTATATGATGAGGATTACCCCGAAAACTTTTCAATAGTCTAACTCTACCTTAAACTTTATCATCCAATGCAAATAAGAGAGCACAAAAAACAATCTGAGAGAAGTTCTAAACCTATGAGGAACTGAACAAAAACAATAATACTCTCCAACTTCCCATGTCTGAAAAACTGTATGCACTGCAGAGATGGAAGTTTACATATGCCACAACTTGAGAAACTAAAACCGTTCATTCAGAAACAGTCACATTAACATAACATTTTGTTTTCACTCACCCATTCCAGTTTCTGCAAGCATCACTCTCAGAGACAACTGCACTCACAAAAATCCAGTTATTCCGGTGAAATGAATGTTTTTAACTTTGTAGCCTTCAAGCAAAATTCCACCTCCCAACTTCTTATACACTGCAAACTGTTCCATCCTGTTATAGAAAGTGCCACCTATACTAAGGTATTATTTCCTCAATATCAGTACTGTAGCAAACAGCAAACTGCAGTTTTAGTACCACCATGTAAGTCAAGCCCAGTGTGAGCCAGAATTACCGACTCCATCACTCTGCTTATTGGGCTTCTTACTGATGGACAGTCAGCTAAGGACATTCAGTAGGGTTACATGGAGGCAGTTTCTATTAGCCTGACACTGGAGATAGGGCAATGTCTAACAGGAAAGATCTACTCCCTTCAGTATGTTCATTCTGCAATATCTTTAAGTGACAAAAGCAGAAGTGGTTGCATGAGCACAGGATTAGCTAAGTAGAAGAGAAATGAATATAAATTCTACCCGGCAATACCACTGGCTACATTATATTGAGGAATGGGCAAAATGTTCTTCATGTCTCAAGTATCAAACACAGATTTCTTCATGTCAGGAGAAAAAAATGTGCCTCCCTTTACTCCTGCACAAGATGCATACGAACTATTTCAATCAGTTAAGATTTCTGATGGGAATAATCTTGGCATTCATTTTACATGGTTTGCATTGGCTGTTTCTATTGCTACCCAGTGAAAAGCTGCAAAGGTGAAAAATCTTTTCGTTTCACCAAACTTGAGCTTTTTCCTACACATTCTGGTTTTCAAATAGGCAAGCCAAACTGCTGGCTTTGTAGACCCCTGCTCACAGAGTCAGTCATATGTTTCACATTGAATATTCAACTTAACAGACAGCTGTTTGCACACAAACATCAGCAGATGGTACTACAGTCTGTGTGGTTCAAATGGTATCAGCTGTGGCAATTCCACAGCTGTCAGCCCACCATACATCCATCTCAGTGACTTCTGAGATGCTGGAGGAATTGCAACAAAAGGCATTCAGATGGTACCTCTACAATCCGATCTCCAGTTTTCAGTGTTCCATTTTTGCCAGCTGGGCTGTCTTCCAGGATGTGTTTGATAAAAATCCCTCTCATCACTTCTCCATTGCTCAGGCGGCTTCCCATCCCTCGTCCTCCAACAATGCTGATGCCCAATGACTTGCTAGGCTCTCTCCAGAGTTCAACCCTTTTGTGATTAAAAAAGGACCAAACTAAATTATAATCTGTTGTGATTATGACAAAGACGCACACTGAAGACACCTGGATTTGCACAATTATTTTGAAAAATTCTTTTGAAAAATTATTTGAAAATAACTCCTCCTTGCAAAGTTTTGTCTTTCAGTGGAAGTTATCTACTGGTTGATCAGAAATTCTGTAAATGAGTCTAGTATTAATCACCTTGTTTTAAGTTCTAATAGAAACTTTGAATCTTTCTCTTCTTCTTTTTTGACTTGATCCCTGCAAGTCAGCTTGGAATAAGTAGAGATAAATTACTATAACAATCAAGACACTTCTAGACTGCAGGGATTCAGCCCATTGGCATCAAAAGTCAATCATTAATTACTCCAGCAATGCACAACTATATAAGTGCAGCAATTCTGTTGTTTTTTACTCTTCTCAAAATATGTTTTGGAATTTTTGAATTTCAGATGACATTTTATAATGTTACTGATCTGCAAGATCTGCACTTACTTTCTGGGCTGGTTCCAGTTACTGAAAGCTGCATTTTGAAGTTCACTTTCTTCTCCCTCCCCCTCTTCACGTTCTGGAAGCTCTGGAAGTTCCCTGATGACAAACACAAGCATGCAACTAATTTCTAAACAATGCACATAATCACTAGATTTTCCTGAAAAACTTCATGTATTGAGTAACCCTGACAGTTTCAGAATTTGTACATTGGATTCAGGTAAGGAACTTGTTTTCTGATGTCTTTCAGAATACATACGGTGTTCAGGGATTCCCTATCCACTTCTTATCTGCAATGAAGTTTCTGTCCACAACATAGAACAACGAAGTACAATTTGGAACTACAATCAAAACAAAGCTAAAGGGAATTTACTGTTTTCAAAATGGAAGAAATTATAACAGCAGCACTCAACTAGATTTACTGCTTTTGGAGATAAATTGCAAAAATCCAATTATTAATCTCTTTGAAAGTCTGGACAGTAACTGCAATGAATTTTTGAAACTGAAGGAAAAGAATGACACAATTTATTCTTTCCAGTTATGTTCTGGAATAACCATCAATACCAAAGTCTTATGTTGGAAGCACTTCAATATTTGTGGCAATCCATAAATCCAATTGCATAGTATTTAAGAGAAATCTAGGATAAGAAAGAATTCAATCTCCTTTTTGGACAGATCAAACAGACTTGTAAAAATGCTTAACAATTTGCTAGTCAAAACAAAAACTCTATTTTTAATAGCTTTTTATTATTTTGCTGCCAGTCTGAAGAAAATCATCCATCTTTCACCTCTTCTAAAATAAAACTTATACTTCCAAATTGTGCAAGGTGTATGGAAAGCGAGCTATTTGGGAGAAAGCTGCATGCCTTTCGACTCACCTGACAATATGTGAAGGAAAAAGTTCAAGTGGCACTGTTCCCTCTGTCTGTTGTCCCAGACTGGCCCTGTACTCGTCTAAATTTTCTGCTGGCACATATGTAATACTGCAATAAAATGGGACATGATTAAACTACCATAGGGAACGCCAGTCCTCCCTTAAGTGGGTGTGAGTTATGGATATGAGGAAGCCACTCAAGACTAGTTTGTTTGACTTCAAAGCAACAGTGCTGGTATGCAGGGAATAAGCACTCGCACAAATCCTTTGCGACTTTCAACAAGTATACATCTATAGTCAAATTATGTAGCTGAACAGCACATAATTTTTTCTAATTAAAGTAAATGGTGCTTGAACAGTGACAGTAACAAGAGACAATCCAGCTTCATTCAAAACATAGATTCCCCATGCAAAGAGAAACATTGAAGGATCTGTGAGGTTTGAGGCATGATTACCACCCTTAATGACTGCTGAAAATGTTTCTGAAAGTTGGCCTGTAGGAGGTTTTGTGCTTTTATGGGTGGTTTTGTATTTATTTTAGATTTCTATGCTTTTGGTGAAGAATGCTTCATAGGTTTGGACATAAAAATGTGTTACAGCACACCACCTACGCCACAGGGACCAATCCCCTGCTCAACTCCTTCCCTCAGATCTTCATGAACTTCTAACCAGTTTAGAACACTCAGACAGTTGTGTTTCATCAGAAAAATGATGTACAGACTCCACTTGAGGTTCGAATGCCAGAAACAGTCCAATAAACTGGGAAGAGTGAAACAAAGAGGGGAAAAAAGATTAAGATGTGGAGAATATTTCTTGAAAAGCTTCCATCTGGGAGGCAAAAGGATACCACAGTACCTTCCACAATATAAGCACGGCTACTTAGGTAGCCCTCCTTTAATGATGCTTTGAGTTCTAAAAAACTACAGTTTAGCTATCATACTAAAGTCTATCAAGAAGTAAGGCTGATGGAAAAATGGCAGGAAAAATGTCTGTTTTGCTATACATCACATTGTTCAAAGAAAAAAACAACATATTTGTCGCAGACATCTTTTATGAAAAATCCTTTCCTTAGGATTTTTCCCCCTGAGAAGCTGAGAGGCCTCAGGAACAAAATGTGAACTTTGATTATTTGCTGCTGTGGAATGCAACAGGTGCATCATTGATTGGCTCATGCTGGATGTTTGTAATTAATGGCCAATCACAGCCCAGCTGGCTCGGACAGAGAGTTGAGCCACAAACTTTTGTTATCATTCCTTCCTATTCCTTCCTATTCTTAGCTAGCCTTCTGATTAAATCCTTTCTTCTATTCTTTTAGTATAGTTTTAATGTAATATATATAATAAAATAATAAATCAAGCCTTCTGAAACACCGAGTCAGATCCTCATCTCTTCCCTCATCCAAGAACCCCTGTGAACACCATCACACATATTTCCCCATAGAAGAGACAGGGCTAAATCAAAAATAAAAGGCCTTGGCCACTTCACGAGGATATGTAAGCTGCTGGGAAGAGATCCTTTCAAGTCTGAGGCTTTCATATGGAGCTGTCTCCTGTCCATCATTCCTGACTGATGCCATCTTTGTCACACCCTGATTACCTGATTATTCCCCCATGTCAGTAGTTTTCTGCTGAATACATCAAGCTTCAGAACAAATGCAAATAAAATTTTATATGACTACTGCCGTCAGTCTAAAACACTACCAAAAACTATTATAAGGGTCATCTTAATTTGTCCATCTGTGTATGTGTCCAAGCACGTTCCCTACCTTCTCTCACACTTACCGTATCTACAAAAGTGAAAAGAAGTGTCTAGGGTGCTGAACAGAAGGAACTTCCTAGTTCTTTTAATGGAAATTTCTAAAACCATATAATCCATATAAATCTCCCTGTTCTGCATTGGCCTTTTTTCAAACATGTAAGTAAGTCTTACTCCACTTGACACAGCATATTTTCATTTTGGAGTGCTGAGAAGTAAACATACCCTTTGAAACAAACTTTAAGCACTATCGGCCTTTCCTGAGGGCATTCTAGCACTGCAAAATGCTAAAGACATGCAGCATCTATTCTGCGAAGACCCAGCAGTAAAACAGGAAGAAGTAAGAGAGAAAAGAATTTTGGAGAATAATGACTACTATTTCTCAGCCATCTCCAACTCCAAGTGCACTGAGCTACAGCAAAGTACTAGTATTACGCTCACAAAACTCTCATGGGTCAGATGCAGCAGCTTCACCCAACAGGTCCACAAGAATACCTTGCCTCTACAAAAACTGTAAAACCTCTAAGTTACATTTCAATGTAAGAAAATGTAACATTCGTTCAGTTACATTCATCACTTATAAAAATAAGTAGGAAATAATGTAGCTACAGAAAGATACAGTAAAGAAACCAGAACTTCTGGCTAGAACACCTGGACCATCTCCTTTGTGCTAAACTGAAGCAGGAAGCTATAAGTATGAAAAGGAGAATGGGGCAGTCCTACCAAGGAAATAGGTTATCCCAGATTCAGCCTGAATATATATAGCAGAGTGTGATCTCTGATAGTACAGTGGCCATTATATATCAACTCTCATCTAGTCCTTTTCTGCAAGGAGCACAAGGCAAGCAATTATGCAGACTGCCAAGGTCCAATGACAGCAGTAGTCTTTACCCTATGCATGAGTACTTGGGTTCAGCTGATCTCAAGGGGGAGGCAAACCATATACATTCCAACTTATGGGATACCCTACTGTGTTTTGTTATACGATTAAATAACTGACATTGTGCTGAACCATTAAAAAGGTACAACTCAAAGGATGCTCTCCAAGAGTTTTAAATGCTACTTAGAAACGTCTCTGTAAAGCTGCCTTAGCTTCCTTTTCTGTGTACAGCACTGGAATTATAAAGAAAATAGGGTTGTTCTACCATTTTTTAAAAATGGATCTAAAACTGAACATCTGAATTATCCTAATTGATTTCCACAGATGGAATAAAATTTAGATAATCTCACTGGCACCTGTTACATTTTAGTTCTTTGGAAAAACCACATTAATTGTATTCTAGTGCTTAACTACAGTTCTAATAGCCTAGTATAAAGCACTCAACATTCAGTATGTTTTTAACAGCTCATTCTTATCTCCATGTTCATTCCTACCTAGGTCTCTGTAACACTTCAGTTGTTTTACAAACATAAACCAGAACACTTGCATTTTGCAAAAAAAATAACATACAAAAAAGAAAAACAAATTAAATGGATCAAATACATGAGGAGTTATATTCTGTGTGGAGTTCATCTTTGTATCTCGCTAATGATTTCTGAAGTCCAGTTAACAGCAAAGGTTTCCCTAACTGCTCTTATTACCTGTATTACTGACGTGTCCTCCTACTCTCTCTGTTCTGCATGTTATTATTGAAATGAAAGAATATTGCCCTTAGTGCTCATGGGCAGACACCTCAACAAGTGATGGATTTATCAAATCCATCACTTGTTGGATTACTGCTGGAGCTCACTTGGAGGTCAAAGTGAGGTCTGAAGACATTCAGCATCATCCTGAACAGCTCAGCCAGTAGCTGGGATGATGAGGGGCACAGAACAATAAGTGTTTTTGGCTCCTCTGGCCAATTCTGTTGAACTTTGTGCTGTAAAGCAGAAATAAAACCCCACCAAGGCACCAGTTCATCTGCAAAACAGACTGGTAATAGTCTTAATACAGCTACAGGGAAGAACATAAGAAAAACAAGGGCCAGAAAACAGACATGAAGGCAGAGAAAACAAAATAAATAAATGTACGCTCCACTTCTGTGTCATATTTCTTTGCTGCAAGAGAAATTAAAGTTCAACAGTTTCAAAGAAAAGTATATGCATGGTTTAACCATCTTCTTCTCTTTTGTAGCTGTACAGCTTGAAAGAAAAGTGTTCTGGTTTTCTTTCTTAAGAGCTATCACCACTTCTCCTACCCCCAGAAATATGCACTAGCAACTACAGCAGTGACAATGGAAACACCAATGGTTTTACTTATGAAAGTATCTTGTAAACACAACACTGCATGCAGTACAGAGGAACATTTATCACATGCTTGACTGAACAGCCACACAAAACCTTGAAACACCAACAAATAAATTACAAAGTATGGAAAATGCTTAGGACAAATTACTGCAATTAACAATTAAGGTTCAATTTGAACCTTTGCATATATGAAGGAAGTAAAATGTAAGTGCCACAGAAAATATGACACTGAGATTAATCCAGATATCAGTACATTGTACTCATGCCAATTCTAGAAGTGAACCATGTACACATACACACAACATGCACACGTGCTCTGAGCACATCTTGGGTGGCTGTCATAGATGAAATTTAAATATATTAGCAATATTTTTTTTCTGGTATTTTCATTCCAGACTTAGAAAGCATGTTCCAATCTTCAAGTTTAAGGCCACATATAAATATATTATACAATTATACACACACAGTTGTATATTTCTTAATTAAAAAATATATATACACATCCACATGTGCAGCCACATGTGCATGCACACACAAATATACATGAGAAGAAAGAGAATATGTACCTATATCTGGATATATCCCTGACATTACTATTGATGTCATAAAAGCATGGAATGATTTTACAGACAAGTTGCAACACAGAGCCATAATGAGTTTCTGAATTGCCAATACTCACACATAACACAGGGCCTGATCATCAGCAGGTGCTGGAGAAGATCTAGAACGTGAAGCATACGATGCAGCATCTTTTTACAATGGTGTTAATTAATATCAATGTCTCATGCTGAATGTGAGAGGCATACTTATGTATGTAGAAGTGTGAGCTGGTTTTTTTTTTTCTTTTCTTTTTTTTCTCCTGTTCCACCTCCACTTCATCTAAATCTAACCCAGAAAACATCTGCTCTTTATTATTGTCTATAGCACTGATTATTAAGAGGCATGGAAAATGGAATTGCAATCTCTCACATTTCTTGATCAGGAATTCATCCCCCCCATTCAGTCAGGTGAATTCTAATTCAGCTTTATAATTATCTGACAGATGCTACAAGCCTCCGCTGTTGAGCACAAAACACTGGCTTTATTACAGAAATACAAGAGTTTCCGGCAAGGTAGAGTGAGAAGTGAAACGAAATACATTCAGTAAGGCACTTTTCTACACATAGAGGAGAAAAAAATTAAATACGCAACTCTGAAACTCAGGCTGCTTGTTCTTGAACTATTCAAAATCAAATATCATTTAACAGAATTAAAGAATGCCTTTACATGGCCGGTAAGAACAGCTTTGTGTTTTATCTGCAAATAATATTTGAAATACAGCTTTGGAAGCAAAACACTTCTGCTTAATCACTTTTTTGGGCCACCCAACTACCCAAAAAATGCTCAATCTACAAGGGGCAAATTTTGAAGTAAGGACTAAGAGGATTGATACCTAGATGGTCACGTCTGAGTGCTAGCATACCCTTGTTCTCCAAGGAAGACACCAAAGAGATTCAACTTAAATCTTTGAAATGATGACCCTTAAATCAAAAATGCTGCAAGGTGATGCACCACATCAGCTCTGAATTGACAAATATGGGAGGGGAATGGGGGAGGGGTGTGTATCCTTCTCAGCAAACAGAAAGAACTATCTTAACGTGAAGCTCCTCATCTCCAAATTTCTGACTTGGGGTGTTAGCCTCATGTTTGTATCATAATATTTTTCTGGGATCCTCTACTGCTCCTTCAAGTTAAAAATTAAACAAAAGTTTTATGTTGAATAGTACTACAGCAAAATTATGTAGTCACAAAAATACTGTCATTTTTCTTGCAAGACTCCTTTAGAAGCTACCAATGGATTTAGTCTTTCTGTTTCTAAAGTGGAGAAAAAAAACTCTCTACAGTGGAGGGAAAAAACTCTAAAACTTGTCACAGGAATGCAAAAAAGAACAATACAAAACAAAAGACAAAAATCTTGAGTAAGAATATGAATAGCAATTGCTCCTTTTCTGCAATATCTTTCAGAAATGGGATGCATTTTTCTCTGGAAAATCTGAATATCCACACCTAAGGCAAGATTTTAGTATTTCTAACATAACTGCAAAAGTTAAGACTACAAAACAAAATTTGTAGTCACACAGCATAAAATAGAGCAGCTATAAAAGCATAAGCACAAACAGTGAACATACTATGTAGTACTATGATTACTAACTATAGCATGAAAAAAGACTCCTCATAGAAGAATAGTGCTGCAGCATTTGTGTCTCTTAGCAGATACACATACACATGCATGTGCACATACAACTGACTTCAATCATGACAACTGGGAGTCATCGTTTGGAACCCTACAGTAATAATCAATGTCAGACTTTATCAACACTGACTCGCTTATATTCCTGAGAGCATTAACAATAATGTAATTCATTTTATGAGCATATTCCTTTATTTAAACAGGCTTACATTAAATCATAATCTTAAATGCATGACAGCTATGGGGCAGGCAAGTAACCCCAGTAGCCATTGTGAAGGTACTCTGCCCACCTGTTCCCAAAACACTAGATCTCTTCCAAGCTAGAATATTTTTGGGCGAGTATGGAATACCCTGCTGTCCATTCTGAGCCCAGTTCTAACCTCAGTTACACCCATAACCACACTAGGACTGGACTGATTCTTTCAAGGACACCCTTACCAATAAGTAGAGGCTTCTATTACCAACAACTCCATTAATCCCTTTCCATATCTGACCCAATAAATCTTACCACATGCTAAACAGAGAAAATAGTCACTAGGTTTTGGAGCTGTAAACTCAGCATTGGTGGGCCTACAGTTCCACCTCATTTCCAGATGCTTCTTGTAGGAAAAGTTAATTCCACAACCACAGCAACTAGAAAGAATTGTACTTTAAGGCAGTTAAAATTTTGTAACTTTGTGAACCTGAGGAAAAGAAACTTTCTTCTCAAAAGGGATTCTCAAAACTTGTATTAACTATTGGAAATTTGAAACTACTACTACCAAGAGCAGACAGTTATGCATAAGAGCAACAGCTTATTCATATGTACTAATAAAAAATTGAAAGTGCCTACAGAAAACAGTGTTTCTAATGTTTGTCATAGACGTACTGAAATGTTTTAAGCATTAATGTTCTGCACTGACATCATATTTCACACTTTCTGTCTGGCACCCAAAACCAAAAGCCATGAAAAAAACTAGATGAAATGACTTGTGCAATGGCTGGGAGAGTTCACCTTCAAGAACCACAAACATCTTGAGAAAATTGTAACTTTCCTCAGAAGAGTCATAATATAAATGCAAAATTCTGTTTAATCCTATTCTTTCTGTAAAACTAGGCAGGACAGTAATAATGATGATACTCATGACAGTGATTTCTAAGAGTATCTGAAGCCTCTCACTTAAATGATCTCATCTTTGAAATCCATGGAAATGTGATCTGTAGGTGAAATATCCATATGACGCTGCAACTTAAAGATGAATTGATGTGTAATAACAAAATTTGCATTTAAAATACTTGCGTAAATTATAAAAAAACAAACTGATTATCAGCTTTTTCCTACCGTAACTCATCATCTACTTTTACCTACTTTATGTCTGGTCCAATGAGCGAATGTCGTCTCAGCATAGCCCGGGCCTGTGCATTGGTTAAGTTAGTGGTTGACTCTTCATTAATGGACAGGATGCAGTCCCCCACACCAATCCGTCCATCGCGACTTATTGAGCCTCCATGGATGACACTGCGAACTATCATTCCCAAACCATCTTTATTGGAACTTACTGTCATCCCTATAGTAAAAACACATGAAACAGTTAATGTCTTTGAGCCACAGCTCTGGGTGCCAAGATAAAGAAATGGGGCACAGGGAAAGGAAAAGTCAGCCAGCCAACCTGCCAATATCAGCAAGCCTATAAACATTGCTCTTACTCTCCTCCTTTGAGACAGCAACTACAAATCACAGTCACAGTAACTTTATCTTGTTATGAGTTCACATTCTCAGTTCAATACAAGAAAAATTAAGACAGTAGAATATTTAAGCAAAAAATAAGAAAGATAATGAAATTGCTTAAAAACCATTTAAAATCACCACTCCTCTAATGGTTCACTGAGTTTATACACATTTACTTTTGTTTATGACAACTCTATTTGGAAAGGTGGAATGATTAAACAGGTAATTAATAGCTGAAAACAAATACACACTTATTTTCAACAGAAAGCATGAATCTGATCCCACTGAGATGCTGGTTGTCTTCCTGCTCTCCTAGGTGGGCCTTAGCTTAGACCCAGAAGAGCATTCTGACTTCTTTGAAAATCTGTATATTGCTGATGGATACAGCCCAATATTTTACTTGAAACAGAAGGGTACTGCTTCTGAATATTTATACCCTTTAACTTCACTTTCTTTCCAGTAATGGGAATAAGACGGATATCCTCTTGGCCCCTCCTCTCCCATGGGGAACCTATAGGGACTGACTTATGATGGCCCTCATGCATCAGTGTGACTGTTCTTACACACATGAGTTGTCACTGTTATCTTCAGGGCAGTTGGTGCTCATGAAACAGACCCTAGTAACAGTTTCAGGAAAAACTTAGTTCTTCACTAAGGCAGTGGGAAAGGCAGGGCTGGAACCCTGAAGTCCACTCAGTGCACTTCCACTATCTTAATACTGCTTAATAAATACTTTTTATTTTTTCAAAATGTTGTTTGAAATTCTGAACCTAACCTTGCTATTTGGCTAACATAGTAACAGACATTACTGAGGGTAGTGTAACAGCACTTTAGGAAAACATCACACATACAACAGACACCCTCTCCCTTTTCCTATGCTGACACCATCATTACAGATCTGAAAGCCTGATGTCACAATTTGGAAACCTACAGTTTCAGATTAAAAATGCAAATTCCACTGTAAAGTTGCCAAACTTTTTTCAGGACAATGGCATTTCAGCCCTTCTGCATTTGGGTGCTTCTCATCTTTTAAAAAATCACAGTCAAAATGTTAGAGCTCCAGCAGCAGCTGGCATTAAAGAGCTGCTCCAAAATACGGGTGACACCATTTGAAAGGAAAAAAGAAGTGCCAGCTCCTAACCCTCAATTATTTAATCAATGCAGCTGCAGCTTGCAACATCATTCACAGCTCTTGACTTAGCTGCTTTTTCAAAAATGAAGGGTTAAAGCAGTGCAGCCATGTGCTTAAACTGGTCATTGTGCTGAAGCTGCTTCCCAGGCCAGAGCACACTCAGACTGGAAAAAAAACGCTTCAGTCAAAAGCCAGAAGAAAGCAATATTCACACTCATATTTTGTACATATCAAGACCAGTCTTATTTTTTATGCATAAAATGTCTGCCAATATGCCCTGCTGAAGTTTGTATTTTCATGCCGTATGAAGCTTGAGATGAAATTTGCTCTGATGTTCACTGCACTTAAAATATTCATCCATAAATGAAAACCTACTCCACTGAATGAAGAGTTTATTGCAAAGAAAACGGTTTTTTTACAAAATCCAGATGCTTTGAAATGCATTGTGACCTACACTTCATACAGCCTGGCAATGAGGCTGCATGAAGTGTAGGTAGTAGTAGTTAACCAAGGTAGTAGTTAACCAAGCCTGTTACACCAATGAAAGACGAACCTTACACCCATATCACCCTTTCCTACATCTTTTTATTTTTCAGATCCTGATTTTAAACCAGATCCATTTTGAAGGATGGCTGTTTCATGAAGGTGGTATATGGCAGACTGAGCATCCAGCCATCAGAAAGCAGTTTATTCCAGGTCAAGATGCCCACCGAAATATAGCATCACAGCTGTAAAAAACTGACATCCACCTCTGCACAGCAAGGAAGTCCTGACTCGGAACTGTTTATAAACATCCAATTCTGTGGACAGCCCATTTTAAACATCTGCAGAGTTATTAGCCAGCACCTACACAAAGTCCTGCCCTACCAATCCCAGAGAGTCTTCAAGATTATGCAGTTGGCTGGAAGAAGCAATACTAGGAACCTAAATGAAAGCAAATAAACAAACAAGCCACTAACAGGAGGCATACATCACTTCCTTTCAACACAAAGCCTTCCCTTTCAACACAAAGCATGGGCTCTCAGAGGGTTCTATTCCTGTTCTCCTCCTCACACTGTCCAGGGCCACACCTGAAAGTTGGATAGGACAATGAAAAACATTATCATCTGTTGTGTGCCCTCTCTCCAAAATAAGTTTCTAGTCAGTATGCTCAGGAAGTTGCAGATATCAAAAAACTTAGAACTTCACTACAAAACGATAATATTATTAAGCCAAAAATACTACCTATTAAATTTATCAATGACATGACTGTTAGAAACATTGAGGCACTTTGGATTCAAACTTGAGGCAAGGAAGCAAGCAGCTTGTTTAGTCCCATCTGACCATCCTCAGGAAGCAAGATCATTTCGTGTTTACAAATATTTGAAAGTTTCATCTTTAGCTCTTTGACCACAGTGTTCCTCTACAGCATTCCTTGGCTATACCTTGGTTTTCCACTAAATTAGTACATTGAAAAATGATGCATTAAAATTGTTCTGTAAACATTTAGGAAACACTAAACTCCTTTATGGGAGAACAGATTGTCAGTTAGACTGCACATTTCACTTCTGTGTTCACAATGACAGCAAATGGATCCAGTGCCATCACTGTCAAACAGGGAAAGAGCAGCAAAGAATGAGTGTCCTGTTCCCACGAAATGGAAAATACTTATTTTTTACTAATTAAACATGGAACGTACAAGAGAAACCAATAGCCATACTCCTGAAGAGTTTACAAAAAAAGTTCACTAACTTACCTAGGCTTGAATTGCCTTTTGCAATAGTGATAGTCTTCTCATACATGTTTTTGACTGAATTTTGGGGTGTGGAATTTCCCTCCAAAGATACTGGGCATCTCTTTTCCATTAAAAGCAATTGATCCTAACATAAGGGAAAACAACACCAGCTCAGTTTACCAAGATAAAAAAGATTGGTCACACTGATCTCAACTACTTTTGCTTTACACAAAACCCATGCACATAAATAAGTCAGATTCCTTTTACAGACAGAAAAGTCAGTTCACCAAAGATCAATATTTTCATTAAATATTATAAATTCTGTTTTCATTCAGGCAATGTACCACATCTATCACAAAGCACGCTTTTAATTTAGAGATATCAAAATCAGTATAATGAATTCAAGGGCTTCACATTCATTCACCACAGATGTCTAACAATTTGCCAGTACAAAGTAACAAATCCTGTAAGAAATTGCAGCTCTTTTAAGCATTTCTTAATAAGTCACTCAATGGAATAAATAAGAAACACATGTCACAGTGACTGTCATATAAAGGAAAATTATGTTTGCACACTGCACTATCACAGATCAGTTTGTGAGCTGAACTGCACAGGTTTACAAGAACAGCATGATGCAAGACATTCACACCACCCCCCCTGTGGTTTCCTAGGCCCAATCCCAATTCCAGCTCTGCACCTCCTACGTGCACTCATGTCCCTGTGAAGGTTAACAAGGGCTAAGAAAACTCCCATCCTGTCCAGGAGGTGCCCTGCAGTGTCAATGATGCAAGGTCTGAGAAGACTTAAGACTTGTATATGCCCCTGTACCATCAGCCTCTGAGAAAATACTGTCTTGATGACAGTAAAATAAATTCTGTCTTGTTTTGGAAAGGACTATGTCCCAAAGTTTTGACGTGAGCTAACATATTCAAAGGAAATTAATAACCAAAGAAATATACATGGCTATTGGCTTGTGACAATTCCTGCAGGAAATTCTTTGGTCTAATTACAGCCTTTCTGTATGTTTTTTAAATGATTGTAAAAAAAAAAAAAAAAAGGCAAAAGAATTTACTTTTTCATTGGGATCAAGCTGTGTAGTAGTAGCAAGGCTTGTATTTAGTACAACTTCTGATGTTGTCTGAGATGTTGCCCATGTTGCTGTATTTTCACTTTCATTCTGGTTGATATCTGAAACCTCCAGAGTCAGAAGATCTATTTTAGTAAAATCACTTGCAGTTTCCAGGCTACTATCCACTACAGATTTTTCATCTCTCAGTCTCTGATTCAGATTCATGTTGTACAGACTCTTCTCAGATACATGGAAATCACCTGTAGTATTTGGGCATTCCTCTCCAACAGACTGTTCAACACAGGAGACAATGAACAATCACTATTCATTTGTAGTATAATTCAAAACCACATTTCATGCTAAAACCTTAAACAAAAATTAATCTCATAGAATTCAAACATATTGCTGTGAGATCAGCAAGACCAACCTTATCTGCAGTTCCCTACAGGCATTCATTCTACTATAAAGTGAACTTGACTTCTTAGACCATTTCTTTTGCTTTCCAACACCAGAAATCAGTACAAGTTACTAACTCTAACTTGAATAACTCCATTAAGTTTTTAAAATTCAAGCATACAGTTGTTTTTCTCAGGTGAAAGAATTCTGCAATACTTTCAGCACACTTAGCAAGCAAAGAGGAATTTCAAGCAGCTCAGACAATAAGAATATACGGTTATCTTCCATTTAACTGAGCAGAAACTTTCATACTTCTCTTCCTTTAGAGAGTGACAAGTAAAAACTGGGTCAAACCTCAGCAAAACGTGAATATGGGGGATTTTAAATGTGACAACAATGAAATACAATAATGCAATTGCAGAAGCTTACTAGTTAATAATTATTGCAAATCTACCAATTATGGCTGCAGTACTAGGACTAAGTTCCCTACACATTTGTTTAGACTTCCAAAATTCTGAGGCCATGACTTTGAAATGTTTCAAGGGATTCCAACAATCACAACATTCTGGAAAAGAAAAAACCAAAACTTCAAATGTTCTCTAGCTGACCTTTTAAAGTAAGTTATTTTAAAAATAGTTAGGCCATTAGATTTTAAAAAGATATATCAAGGACTCAGAAGTTAGACTTAGAGGCTCTAAGTATCAATATTAGAGATATTTTTCTGAAATGCAATAAGAGAGCTCAAAATCAACTACCTCTATCTGTCTTGTTATCCACCAGTCCTATTAATTCTTCTATTGCTTCTCCAAAAATGTGGGGAGATGTGCTTGGGGATATTTTGCAACATTTTGTCTCAAGAGTCCTAGAATTCATTTTTGTCAACTTTCATGAAGTACATACAGGCTTGTTCTGCCCCCAGACAAGAATCAAAAAAGGCTTACCAGTAAATAAGTGGTTTAAGTAATAGCTGAGAAGATAATTGAGTAGAGCCTAAATACAACTAATCTGCATGATACAATCAATGACATAATTTCCTACCTTTTTGAGAACAGAACACAATACTACAATCTATTTAAATTATTTTACAAGGTTTCAAATGCAGCTGGGACATCTACTCTTAAGCTTGTTTCATATCCATTTCCAATTCAGTGAAAACAAGCATCAAATCATACTCAACATTTATTTTGTATGCCATATTAAGAGTTGCATCATACGCTCATTTTTATTTTTGTTTCACTTAAAGAAAAGCCAATGATACAATTTTTTAGGACAAACACAATTCCAGGAATTCATAACTATAGTAACATGTGGCCTCACTAGAGCATCTGCATTATTTAAAATAGGTTTTTCAACACCTATTTTAAATGCGACACCAAAGTGACCTGGCCGAATCTGCCAACTGTCCTGTAGCCAGAAATAACTGAAATATCTTTGCATTCCTCACAGCATCAAACAGTGCTGTTTTAATTTTTACTGCATTTTCCTTGCTTCAAAAGTCTTCATCAGACAAATCCTCCCACTATGTTTGTTTCTTGAATCATGAATAGGCTGCTTGATGAGAACTTAGTACTCACTTCAGACTAGTCTAAAGAGACGGACACTGAAAAGTCAGGACCACTGTATTTTAGTAGAGTATGTAAAGCAAAGCTATTTTTAAGTCAATGGTGAAAATAACTAAAGTCTTTCTAGAGCCTCAATGTGATATATAATGTAAATCCAGTCTCTATCTCACAAAATGCTCCTAAGCATGTAAAATGCATAATCCATTTAAGTAACAATTACGGAGTTAAACAATGCAAGCTGTCCCACTGGCACAGCAGAAATGTGCTCTTCTGTGGATTAGGAGAAACCATTAGAAGATTAACCTTGCTTTCTAACCAGCATCTCATAAGAGCTAAACATATTCCAGAAAGGTTAATGGGAGTTACTGCAGCTCAGGTGTGGCAGAAAAAGCAGCAGCTACTCTATTCAAGACCACAGACTGCAAAGCCAGTGGTTTTCAATGAAGACTGCTAGGAGAATGGAATTGGAAAGCTCTAGGTTAGTGATATTAAAATCTAAAGATTAAAAAAACAATGAAAAACTATGGAAAGAAAGATAACGCAATCAGGTCATTATGGGTATGTGACTAAGAACCAAAAAAGCTATTATCTTCTTATTACTCTGAAATAAATCTTCATTTATTGCTTTACATAAAAACTATTAGCAGAGTTTGGACATACACAGATTTGCTTTTCATGACAGCATCATTATGAAAATTTCATTCAAAAACACAGAAACAAACAAATTATGAAGGATAAAAGTAAAAATAAGGATGAAAATTTACTCTTGCTTTTCATACTAAAATACAGAGCAACAGAGTAATTTTGTGTTACCACTCTTTACTATACTTTGAATGACAACTATTTTTTTCTAGCAGACTGCTCACCACACCTTTAATACTACAAACAGTTCACCATACTCTGGCTAAATCATGCTTTATCTAGCAAAAATCCAAGCTTTGTGCCTACTATGTGCCTCTCTCTTCAACAAAGACATCTGCAAGATATCAGCACTACTTTAAAAACAAATTTTACCCTGCTAGCAAATACAGCATTTTGAACCAGGATGACACAAAACATTTCTATCTGATCATACAGCCTGCTCACACTTAAAATCAAAGTTTGCCATCAATAAAACCATCCTCAATTTTACCTTGGGAGTTGATAAGGGAAGAGAGAAGCTGTCGTTCACCTCACCGCTACAGGCACTGTCGTGCAGAGCTGTCACTGAGTCCTGGAAGACGTCTCTCTCCAGAGAATACCGTGATTCTAAGGTGGACTCATCCGCTAGATCTGCCTCGCCAGAGTCCACCTAATAACAAAAGCAATTCAATCAGCCAGGCTGTTGCCATCACACCACATAAGCCTCAAACACATGCACACCAGCCACTACATACTGATACTTTTCTTCTTTTTCTGTTTCATTCCATGTTTTAAATTGAAATTACATTTGCACAGTGCAGTAGAAAAATTTTCTGCTTCCAGTAAATCTGTGTTACTACTTCTTCAAAGGTTGCAAAGAATATCTGAAGTAATGCAAGAGTCTGAACCAGAATAAGTTGTGGGGCTGAGGCACGCTCATGCCTCTTAATGGAAGTACAAAGTGTTGGGAGAATTCCACTGTACTTTTTGGTGTCTATATTTTGATTTCTTTACAGCTTTTTTTCGTTTTTCTTTTTAATTTTTTTCAGCATGGAAAAAATAGTGAGCTTCACTTGGTACCACATGTCAGGAATGTTCTCTTCACTCAACTTCTTAGGATCAGTTATTTTTAAACTCTCTTAAAAACAATTTTGAAAACTACAGAGCTTTTAAGTGCATTTATACGAAAAAATATTTATGTGATTTTTTTAACAGATTTTAAATTATTTTGCTTTTGACAATAAAATTACAATAAGGATTTGTATATTTCTATTATGCTTACATAAGAAAATTTTTAAAAGTTTCAGAAATTGACACGGGTAGTATTTTTGTCTTTTTTTAAAAATGAAACATATTTTTTTCAAAGACTCATATTCTTTTAAATGTGAGAATAAAATTAAGCCCTAAACCCCCTAATTTATGGTGCTTTGTACAGTACACTTTGATTATTATTTCATCTCCCTGGCAGAGCTCAAGAACATATTGTAAGCCAACAAAATGATCACTGGATTAAAAGCCATGCTCGTATGATAAACTTGTATGAAGCAGATGAGTGCACCTGAGATGGGATCTAACTTGTTTTTCAGCCCCTGTGGTTAATCATATTATGAATCCATTATAGCAGTAGCAACAATCTGCAGTAATTCAACACACTGATTCCTTTTCAGGGTAAAAAGGATTATTTTTTTTTATTATTTCAAGCCTACAGACTTAACTGCTAATCCAAACTGCTTCTTTGCTGTAACTTACTCTCAGATCATCTTCTTGAAAAAGCATATTCGTTTTACCAAAGCTATGCCCTAAAAAATATTGTGAAAATTCAGAACATATCTGAGTACCGATCTGTCTATGAAAAACAGTATCTCATAAGTGCACTCTCAAAACATATCTTCAGCTGGGTGACTGCACATTTAGTTTCCCATTTTGCACATTTAATTAAGACAACTGACAAACTTGACTGACAATTTTATTATGTCATGTATTTTCATTGCTTTTTTCACAAGTTTTTTTTGATTGGAAGCACAGAAGGAAGTCAAATTTTTTAGACAGTTTTAATTTGATCATTTCAACACATATTCAATTAAGGTTATTTAGAATACAAAATCTGTGCTTCTTCTAAATTAATGGAGCAAGAAAAATACTGTTACCTAACTGCTAAAGGTAACAAACTGAAGAATTAAAAACAGACAGTCTTCTTTAAAAGCAAGCTATTAATCAGCTTGCCAAATACAAATGTGAAAAAACAGCAAACCTGCTGGAAGCAGTAATGCAGAGATTTTTTTTCCTTGACAGGATGCATTTCAGGTTTTTGTTCAACTTTGACTTTTTCTCTAATGAACTAAGTTCTCATGTTTAGAAGCTGCTTCCCTGCTCAGGTCCCCAGAAAATGAGGGCCTAATAATTTCAATATCAGACCCAACCATGAGAATACACACTTAGAATACATACATATACATGTGTATTCTGGGTTGTTGCTTCATTGTTGTTTTTATTTTATTTTGTGGGAGGAGAGGTTGGGGGATTTTTTGCTGTGCCCTAGGTCCTGCATCTTTTTAATCTGAGATCTTATTGGCAACTTCTGGGCTATGTAAGGCACTGAATGCTCAGGTAAGCCGCATTGTTCGTACAAGTGAAGACCTTTTGACCTTGTAAATCTCATAATCACTGATTGATGTTGAAGGCCAAAGAATATTACCAGGAGGAAGTATTTGCAGCTTTTGAAGACAGAGTATTCATTGTAAGGCTGGATTACATGTAAAAAGGGAATATCAAAAACCTTCCACAGTAGAAAAGTGATGTATTACGATACATGGAAAAATAAGCACATGAAAAGGTGCACATCTGAAAAGATGAGACTTCCAAAGGGCTGCTCAATGCATGCAAGGACAAGTGGATAGCCATGCACTTTTGAAAACATCAGCAAAATACTTTTTTTTCCCCAGCATTGTACATATCAGAGGCCAGATTCACAGTTCATGCAAAAAGACGAAGTCTCTAGACACCAGTTTCTACAAAGTCAGAATCCATCCCACCTACGGTGGATGAGTAATGTGGAGACAGTGAACACTAAAAAATAAGCATGGACAGTGACAAGGCTACTCCTTTCACTACAAAATGCAAAGATTGAAGAAATCTGTGGTAAGTTGGGCCACTAACCAGAGCCAGCTCAGCATGGAAGAGGGCTGCATCAGCTGGCCCCTCTTCCTCAAGTGACTGGGCAGCGTAGAAAAAGCAATCTTCCTTAGCAGAGACATAGCCCTCCTCGGGTGAAAGCTGCAGAAAGAACGAAGCTCTGAGTCGGATGAGTGGCCTGGACACAGCAGGTGCAGTGTGCATTCTGCGAGAGGGGCAGGGGGTGTTTAGAAAGGCAAATGGATTCCAAATGCAGCAAAGAGATCATTTTAATCACAGTCACAGTATTCAGGGTTTTTTTTTTTCAAATTTACCTGAATTGATTCAGCTTCACACCTCACTCTAAAACCCCAAATAATGAAAAAGGTCTGTCCAGGTATACCACAGAGCCCACAGCTTAAGTCTAGGCTCATTTTCAGTTTCTGGTCCTAATAAAGATATACTAAAACTGCCATCACAGCTGCCAACAGAGAAAGAGCCTAACAGCAAAGGTCTTTATAATCTTGCTAGCCACAGAGCAATCTTGCTTGCAGGCAGGAAAACTTCATCTACTCTCTGTGTTTCACAATTGCATCTGTCAGCCTCTAGAGGACAAAATGTAATTCTGACTACAAACCAAGACCTTTTTCCAACATAACTTGATAGTAGGTGCATTTGTCCAGTACTGCAAAAGAAGCAGGGATTATTTGCAACATTTAATCACTTGGCAAACTCAATACATGAAATATTGAAGTGCAAATGCTGTATATTTACAACTTTAGGGAAACAAAACCCCCATGCATTTTCTCTTTTAGAGTGGCATCTTCAAGAGTATGAAATTTCAATTGCAATTAATATGGAGTCTCCAATTAAAAATAAATTAATTTAGCAGAGCAAGTTAAAATGTATTCTCTTACTACAAAAAGCAAGGTTTCTGGGAACTTAAACAACAGACATTCCCTCCCACTCTCTCCACAAAGATCCACTAAGAATGAAAATTTGGTATCTACATCCATAAGGGTTACAAGATTAGAAATTTATGAAAAACAAAAATGAACCCTTAAAATGTACTTGCACTTACTAATACAGAGAAAGGTATCTTCCTTGTATGTATGAACTAATGCCATTCTCCTGATTTGAACTTAACCCACAAGGGATGCTCGTTCACTACCATTCTTACTGCTATACTATCTCAGTGACCATGGGTAATCTTTAACTACTTTAACTAACAGACTACCTTATAAAACCAAACCTGAAATAATCAGTTAGATGTATACAAACTGAAGACGACACAATATAACATAAACAAAGTGTGCTGTTCAAATACAAAGATTGCGTAGATACTTGTGAGGGGCTGGAATGTTAATGGTGCATGCATCAAACATTTGCCAAAGGAGCAGGCACTTTGCTGACCAAGCACAAAGTAACCACCCAGCTACAGAGGGGGTACACACCCACCACCCAAGGCTACAAGCTGGGTTTTGAGCCAGATAAGGGAAGAGGCTGGTAAAAATCAAATCCTGCAAGTTGCCATAGTGCTTTTTATCATGTCCATGTCCTTACACAAGTGGCTCAGGTGTGAAAATTCCCCTCTAGAGACCTACCAGGACACTCACATGAAGCTGAAGGTGTTCATGCCTTCTCATGGGCTATAATTGGCTCCATCATGCTAACCTGAGAGGAAGTTGTAACATCTTAGGTGTCCTAAACCATCAAAGAGAGGAATGCCCTGTGATCTATGGTGTTACATGAGACAGTGTAAAACTCTTCACCTCACGGGAGGTAGTTGGGCATTCTCACCTAGCCTGAGCGTGGATTAAGTCATTGAACTTTGTGTTTCATGGGTTTCCCCCATCCCCAGCAGATCAAGACTGCGACCAGCACTTTGAAGGGGTACTGAAATTGCAACAATCAAGTCTTTTCACTGGATCCATGGGTAGTGACTATATACCTTTCTACCCTTATCCCTTCTTTTTCTCTCTTTTCCCATATACATTGTCTGAAGTGCTATTTTTTTGCTTTTATATGGTTGCATTTCTAACTAAAATACCTATATTTTAAAATTTGCCAAGTATTATTCTACCTTAATGTTCTTAAGCTTACAAGTAGAAATTTGTTATTGAACCTCTTGAATGTTTTCTTGTTTCTCTCACACAACACCCAGAATAAATGAAACAACCTCCCCAAGCAGAATAGCAGCCGTAACAATACTATACCTTGCAAAGCAAAGGAATCGGTAAATTCCACACAAATCAAAACCAACTTTATGTCACCATCTCACACATTCAGAGAAGCATGTAAAGTGTACAGTGTTCAATATTATGGCAATTTTCAGCCTTGAAAGATTCTGCTGTTTGCAAGGTGCTTTGCTGTTTTTTCATCTGCAAGACAGGTGTGCTAGGTCCTGCAATCACTACACCAGCACTATACTAGCCAGGCAACTCCTACATGTGAGATAATAGTTGGGCCACCCAACTGTACCTCAAAACACACAAAATGTATGGAGAACTCAGGATCAGCATGTACCAGCTTCAATTATATGAAAAATACACACTGAATTCCCAAATCCTTACAGGCAATGGTTTGGCAACTCCTATTTTAACTGTTCCTGTTGGGGCTCCTTTCAGTGCTTGCACCGCTTCCTCCAGGCTGCCATTTTCCAAGTTGATATCATTGACAAACATAAGCCGATCTCCAGGAAGAAGTCTGCCATCTTGCTCAGCCACACCCCCAGGAACTAATGAGCGAATTACAATTACAGTGTTTGCTGGATCAACAGGATCCTAATTAAATAAAAGGGAAGAAAAATATTTAATTGTTTTTACTCTTTTATATCTTGAGAGGAGAATTTTTATTCATGACCTTTTATTGACTAGAGTTGTGTTATTAAGAAGTGTTGCTCTCCTCTAGATGAACCTTCAGTAGGAGCAAACCATCCTGTCTGTACTGTCCATACACTTAGACCCCCATTAATTTCAATTCTTAAGTGCGAAAATTATTACTCCTATTTAGGTGATGTTCCATCATGTATCTCCAATATAAAATGCTACTATATGTGCACAGTGTCATCCATGCACATCAGAAACTCATACTCATAGACTTCCTACTGTAACAACAGTGTTGCAAACTTCATCCTCCCTTGCACTCAGAGGACGCAGGTGGGGAATGTAGATGGGGGGGGGGGGAGGCAAATGTAACACATGCACTCCAGTGGAATGAATTACTTATTTTCAATAACTGACTTATACTTCATGATATTGCTCAAATGAGAAAGCATTTTCAAGAGGCAAGGTCTTGTGCATGCCTAATTAAATGCTTACATGAGAGAAGAACATACCAATATAAGACTAATCAACAAGACAAATCAAAGTGATGTTTGCTTTTAAGAAAGAAAACTGCTTTTAAGTGACCATCCTCCAATATACTGAATTTTATTTAAAAAAACTAGCATCAAATACTATTAACAGGAATATATAATTCTTCTATAACAATTATCACACATGCAAAAAATTTCTGCAATTCTTACAGAACTACATTCACAAGGAACATCATGTTAATACTTCCAACATGCAGTTCACTTGAGAGCATGAACAGAAAAAAAAACCCCCAAAATTGCAACCCTGTAACAGTACTGAAAGCAAAAGTAGAGAAAAGCAAACATCTACAAACCAGCATGCAGCTGTAACAAGTTTTCATGTCAAGATGTACATCTGAAAGGACAGACACCATCAAAGCAACATGAAAATGCCACAGGAATACAGAGACCGCTGAAAGCTGGTGTGAGAGAGAAGTGTTGATGGAGGGAGGGCATCAAGAAGACCCTTAGCACTTGATGACAGTAAAAAAAAAAATGCCATGGAGCAATAAAACACTTCCCAAGTCAAAATATAACTAGCAGTGCTGCTGAGCATTGACATCTTCCTTACTATTTTAACAGTAAATACTTACACTGTCACTTTAGATGGCACTGCATGACACATTTTTTGGGAAAAAAAAAGAAACAAGCCTCTGTGGTCTATGTCACAGTCCTCCTTAGAGTTAGAAATTATGCAGACCTTTCTACAGGCCTGCCATTGTACAAAACATAAGGAATGCATTAGTACAAGCATAATTCTCCTCAAGTTTAGTTCACCCTTCACTGAAAATGAATTGAGAATTTGATGGAAACAGAAAAATAGAAATGCAAATCTCCCTGTAAATTTACTGTTCACAGTCTTATAAGACAGCAAAACTTCGGTGACAAAGTGGAATTTTTAATGCACATCAAAAGAAAGAACATATGACAGTACCCAAATATTACAACATCAAAAAAAAAACTAAGTGTGAGAAAGCTGAGTAAAGCTGGAAGACTAACTTCTATTTGAAAAATATAAGTTATACCACCTGATATTTGAAAAATACATTAACCAACTTAAGGCACTTCCCACAAGCCTTTGGTACTATTATTCATTATCCATAAACAAAATTCAGTCACTAACCACATACGCACCCACCATTTCTGTTAATGCTCAGAAGAGACTGAAGCAAAAATACTTCTACTGCGTGCTGACATGGACTTAAACACTCAGGCTAATCTGTGATGTCTCACTGCAGAGCATCACGAGCAACACTTTAAAGAGTAGTCAGTGCTCAGCGTTCATAAAAGACACTTTACTATGCCTTTATCTTTCACATTACACTACACTGCTCTTCACTTTATCAGTGTGCAAATGCAAAATCTAAGCCACAGCTTAATTGTAAAGAGTGCCCTGGGGCCATAATTCCCCCCTGGAAGTTATCTCAGATGTAAATGCATTTCTATGGACAAGATCAAGTGGAAACCTGGAAAGAGATGTGATCCCCATGGCACCAGAGAACAGCTCAGCAAAAGCCTACATTGGCCTCAGGGAGAAATTACTTGATATTCAATTAAAAATTATCCACTGGAAAACTGGGAACAGGAGGAATATTTGTTCTGGCATCCTTACCAAGTGAAGGCAAGAGACAGGCAGTGAGCTGTTGACTGGGACACACCAAGAAACATATTTTAGGTATCCAGGAATTCTGAAGTCAAACACAAAATGAATGGGGATGTTTAAGCATGTCCCCGACAGACAGCAGCTAAGCAAGGGATTTCAGAATTACAGTTCTGGATTTTAGTAAATCCTGCTTTAAGCATTTAAGTCCTTTATTGGATCTTGCCCTAAACACCTCACTGCAGGTGCAAAATACATGGCTAAATGCCTAAATATGCTGGCTACATAATTTGTTGTCCTTGGGTCACTAGAAGACAGGTTTCTGAAAACCCTAGCATATAATGGATTACCTGTTTTTCTGAACCAGTATTACTATCATTAGAAACTGTAGTCTTAATACAATGAGAGAAATATGTAATGTAATTACTGGAATGCTTACCAGCTGTGATTAGTTCTACTCTATTGCTTGGTTTCAATTAATGTTGACCCTTAAAATGCATAGAACATACTGCAAGATCCAAACAATACAAAGTATTTTGTCCTGCATCCAAAGAAGTGCAGAAATTACCTGATAGTCCAATATGCTAAATCCAAGCCCCATACTCCCTTTCTCCAGCTCAATGTGCTGTATTTCTGTTTCCCACATTGCCAGAGATGAGCTTTGCACGTCTTCCATACTCTGACCCTCATCAGCTGTTTCCAAAGTTGTTCCCTCTGTGTCTGAGGAGCCGACGAATCCAAGTTCTATGTGACCCTGAGAAAAACAGTAAATGTTCATCAATAAAATGTAAACACTTGAGAATCTTAAGAGACAAAAACCTAATTACAAAAAAAAAGATGAGACCTAAGTGATTATCTCTAAACACAGAAGAAGTGCAAGCACTCAGGAGATTTAACAAACGCTAATAAACCTCACACAAAATTCAATTATCCTTCATAGCCAAGCTGCAAGTATATTAAACTACTCACAACAAAAATATTTACAAAATTCTGTCAAATAAAAATCTTCAAAAAACTTTTTTAGTATATGCATTCAAATATTGGGAAATATATGTTATTAAATATTATGTCTAAAATATGCCTTCATTAAATGTAATCATACTGATAGTAGCCAGAATATTTAATAAAAGTAAGAACAAACAAATATGTACATACATATGTACACTCATATGTACACAGACTTTTCTTCACTTGGTTTCATAGAGAAGTTTAGAAACTATAAGCTGAATTTGGTGCCTTGCTCAGAACTCAGAGTTAACTGCTTCTCTTTTCATACAAATGCTATTGCTTTGTATACTACACCCTAGGCCATTCCTACATGTTTAGTTCACCAGGCTGCCCAGAGCTGTGCACTTGCAAATGACAGAAGTGTCAGTCAAGGAAATCAAACACTGTTATGCAATGCAAAGCCAAGTAGCAAAGTTCAAAACTAGATTAAATACATTCAGATTCTAAAGAACCCAAGGTCAATTTGCTATATTCCTATATCTCGCCTACAGAACAAGAAGCATAGTACTTAGAGAGAAAGCCCCACATCCTACAATATTTGGCCCATGACCAGCCAGGATTCATATCTTCTGAGGGCCTAAAAATAGCATATAAACATTATTTGCTGTTTCCTATTAGACTGGCTCCAATTCCAAAAATATTAAAATATATTTCTAATCATATAGAAGAACTTAATCTTTTTTTTCTCAAGGAAACTGTTATTTTCAGTGATTGTTTAAAGACAAAATACCTTTTCTGTGAGCTGAACTTCAGACAGGCTTAGACTGTCTAGTATTTCTGGTTGAGTGACAGGTGGAGCTACTGGACGACAGCACACCATTGTCACCTTAATAGGCAGCTCTTTCAAGATACTGACCACATCCTTGTGGTTTTCTCCAAGCAGAGAGATGTCATTCACCTCAATAAATAAAGAACACACACTGATTAGAACTAGAGTGTATTTGAAGCACAATAACAAAAATGAGTAAAAAAAAACCCAAGCCAACCCCAACTCACTAATCACCTCATTAAAAAAAAAAGTAAAATAAAAGCAACAAAAATCCCCATGCTAATAGACACCTCCAACCCTTAATTTCTACTCAATTTGGTTCTCAGTACCAAGATACATATTGAAATAAATGTATGTATGGTCTTTTAAAATGCATGACACTGCCCTACAAACACCATATACAACAAACTTTCATGTTTCTTGCATTAATATAAACCAAATTCACATCTTAATTGTAAAAGAATAATTTAGAAAAGTAATTAGATGTTTAGTCCATTCACTGAGTTGGGATAATCCTATTAAATCTTAATACTTTCACTACATATTCTTTTTCGGTCACTGCCTTGGTTTCAGCTGGGATAGGGTTAATTTATTCTCACTAGTTGCACAGTGGTGTGTTTTGGATTCAGTTTTGGATTAGATAACACACCAATGTTTTGGCTGCTGCTAAGCTGAGTCAAGGAGTTTTTGATGTTTCATGCTCTGCCTGTGAGGAGGTACAAAAAAGGAAAAAAAGCTATGAAGGAACACACAAGGGATAAGTGACCCAAATTGGCCAAAGGGATATTCCACACTCAAGAGTGTCATGTCCCCAGTATATAACTGGGGAGTTAACTGGAAAGTGCACTGATCAGAGCTCAGGGACAGGGTCTGGCATTGGTCAGCAGGTGGTGAACACTTCCATTGTGCATCACTTGAAGGTTTTTCTCCTTTCTACTAATATTTCTATTATTATTATTATTATTATTATTATTATTATACTTTACTTTGTTTCAATTATTAAACTGCTGTTATCTCAACTTAACAAGGTCTTACTTTTGATTCTCCTCCTCATCCCAGCAGACTGGGGATGAGGAGGGTAGGTGAGCAAGTGGCTGCAAATGGTAGGGAGGAGGGTAGGTGAGCAAATGGTGCTTACTGGCCAGCTGAGCTTAGACTATGCAAGAGACCTTGGACTATCAAAAAATCAGCTGCCAGCAGAGAAATGTATGTAAGCACATGTACTCACATAAATATATGTAAGTACATATGAAGTGACTACTCAACCACTAACTGGCATGCTGTTAGGCATACATCACTCCCACGGTCACAGCCTATGAGAAGAAACTTACTGCTCAAAAACCTTAGTAAATGCAGACTAAGAAAAAGCAGTACTTATTCTTACTTCTAGCAGTTCATCTCCACTGAACAGCTTGCCACTTCGTCCGACTGGCCCTTCAGGTAAGATAGATCTAATAAAATGATGACCCACTGTAGCTTCAAGGCTTATCCCTAACCCACTGCTTTCACTAAATTTGTTAACCACAGCCACCTAAAATAAGATGAAGAAATGGTTACATTTGTCATATTTACAGCCAGATCTGTTACTTTCCACTTCAATTTACATGCAATTAGGTCAAAATTCCAGACGTGAGAAAGCAGAAGTACTATCATGTAAAATGCGGAGTCAGGTAAAAAGTGACTCGTTGATCATCACTTTGCAATACACAAGTGGGAACTGCTTATGACAACAACGTATCTAATAATACATAGTTCTGCAGACACTACATCTGTGACATGTGATCTCCTAAAATGAGATACTTCTTTTCTTCTGTATCTACAGTATATGTTCTATGCATTATTTAGATCATTACGTGAAATCATTTATTCAGTAAGCAGAATGAGAATGAAGGTTCAAGTCCTAGCTAATAAAGTGAGCTTTGAAGTTCACATTAAATATTTTTTCTCTAAACACATTTATTCTCCTGAAACTAGAAAATAAGTGAAACAATAGTCAGGGGCACAGTAATCATCCAAGTCTGCTATGGTTTTGATAAAATACAGAAAAATACATATCTATTTTCAAAGTCTATAATTAGAATAATCTTCAAGATACTAAGGAGCATATGTGTTATTTTCATACATGAAGGAACAAATGCAATACAAACATATTTCTATCCATATGTTGTCAACATAATAGATGCACAGATGAAAGAGATGCATAATTAACAAGAGTAAACAAAATTTACCTACCACTATTTCATAATTCGAACCCATAATCCTCTGCCATTTTATCTTTGCAGCTGCTTCTTCTGTACTAGTTAGCTGGAAATCTAAAATTTATATTTAAGATTATTGTGACAAAAAATTAAAAAAACTAGTCAACTCCTACAACTGATAAAAGTATATGGAACATGCACAATGACACAATCATTCCCATGATGCCAGAACTCTCCTAGATATGACTAAAAACTTGGCATGTTTAGTCTCACCAAGCTTGGGGTTACCACAGCAAAAACTCGCAAAGCAATATAAAGATTCTAATCGTGAAAAACTAACTGTGTATTTTGAAAGACATGAAGTTCAGTCAAATAGTTTGGTGGCTGGGAAAAAAGACACATACTAGCCTCAGAGTTGAGTCAACTATTTGCAATTTTTCAACATAATAGACACAAAGGAAATGAAAACGTTGTATTCAAGCCCTATGTTAAATCAGACTACATGTGTGCTGATCAGATTATTTCAGGGGGACGGCTAAAATACTTAAAAATGCACACTGATCCTTTTGGACAGACCCTGTATTTTACAGAGAATGTCCAAAAAACACAATCTGGAGATCTTTTTTTTTTATTATTTTTAAAACCATGAGCACAACTGTGAAAGAGCTTTCTGAAACTGTAAGCCCCTAAAGGTCAGTAACAGAATGCAAAAAGTCCAAGTTCTTTGCTTTTTTTAAAAAAATATTTTAATAGCTAAAGAACAGGAACAAACTTGGAAAGGAAGGAAGCGGGAGAAGTACAGTCATACAGTGACAGGCTAGGTAGAAAACTGTGACAAATCTTAATTTGACTGAAGGTTTATTTGCAGGTTTGAAAAACAGAAATGCTTTCTTTCTGCTCATTTCCTCCTCATGCACATTGTCTAGGCTCTATGGCAGAAACCAATAAAAAGCAGTATTTGGATACAGCAGCCAGCAAACACAGCAAGTTTAACAGGATCCTACATACTCAAGGTCCATGGTCTAGGCTGTGTCTACAGTAAGTATCAAAATAAACTCTTCAGAGTGAATGCTCATCACAAGCAAGGAGAAGAATCTTCATCACAAAGTTCTCAAAGTGATTTTTATAAGAATAGAAAATTACTAGGAGCCTCAGACTGTGTTTTAAGTCTAGTCATTGCCCAGAGACATTACTAAATATAAAGTCAGATGTTGCATTGTATTCAAAGAGGACAATACTTTCCCCAAAGCCAAGATACAGCAGTATCTGAAGGGAAGAAGTTAAAAAGAAATTCCTTCACCTATCCAAGAAAATCAGAAAGCACGAGTTATGAAAAGATATATGTCGCAGAACTTTTCAGTTCCTCCTTTTACTTCAGAAGCACAAAAACATTCCACAACAAGTTGACCCATCAAGTTATGTCTAAATCTGAAAAGCATATCATCACACAGGACTTCTGAAAATGCTGAACAGTGGTCTAGGAGATCAAGCAGGAAAAACATACACAGTAGAAAATAGGAATTTTGACAAAAAGTATGGGAAAATTTGGAGAGTATCAGTAAACTAGAACTGACTGAATTTTAGACATTATCAGAGAATACTAAATTAAATGTAAGCTCAAGAATTTGGGAAAAGGAAATTCATCAGAAGATGCAGAAGTGCTGGAATGTAGTTGCACTGCTGCAGACAACTGGAAAGATAACGGGGAATGTGAAATAAACATTTTTTTTTCTAGGCTACACTAAGAGTAAATACACAAAACTAGACTAGGAGAGGGTTGAGCAAGTAGCCAAAGCAGACTGCTTCATGCGATATCTTCAGAATATAATTATTTTCAGTCACATACAGTAGTCCTGTTCCGACAAAACTTACAATTAAGAGCCCATGATTAAATGTATGACTACTCTGACTTTCTAGTTCTACCTCAGCTACAGAGCTTGCAGAAGATGGAAAGACACACAAAACACCTGATCTTTGTGTAAGCACATAGAAGGGCATTTTCACAGAATAAAATGTTAAACCTTGAGAACCTGTTTCCTGTTGTTTCATGTCATCTCCAATATTTACCACACTGGCACTGCATGGCAGTGATGGGGATTCCTGTTCTGTTTCATTGTTATCTGAAAAAAAGAAGAAATCTTTTCAGCTATTTAGCTATTTTATATGTCATAATACTTATCAAGCTCACAGGTATGCTCTGGGACACCAACTCTCTCCTTCACTGGACTTCAGAGTACTCATATTTGGCGAATGGAATCTGGCATGTGTGGCCCAAAAAAAAAATCACATTTCAAAGACATTGTCTTCTGTTAATGCATTGCCTTCTCCAGTGAGTTCATCCGACAAAAAAACCCACCACAATCATCAGTACCTGCATTTCTATGACTACCTAAAAATACATCTAAATATAACATTCTTTAACATTTTTGTATTAATTTCTTTTTTTTTTTCCTTTGTGGAATTCAGAAAGCTGACATTGAAAACAAAAATGCTTCAGCCTTGGAGAGCTGCATACCTGGCACACTTTTCATACATAGGAAACCTCTCTTACCACCAAATTCTATTATGTCTGTTGTGACCTGTCAGATGTCTTGAATACCTGTTGGCTGGAGAAACAGCATCCTGAACACTGGCCTATACCTTTTGTTAATGGTGAGGGTGGGAGGATGAAATACAGGTAAGATACTATTGGCTCTTTGAAAATCTTGTGCAAGATGGAGATTAAGCCTCTGTTGACTACTTGTGACATATTTTCACTGACATCAAACTATAACACAAGCAGCTATTTTGTGCTTCCAGCCCCTGAGCAGATAGATAACTTTCATTCAAACACTGACTTTCAAGACATGGCACATATACTTAAATATGTGCAGAGTATGTAAGATAAAGCTGCACTAATCTCAGCAGCAGCAAAATTACTACTGGTCTTTGGCATCTGAACATTTTACACATGCATTGTCAATATCCTATCAGCCTCTAAATACAGGCTACTCCTCTCATTCCTCTACCTTGCAACAAGCAAGAGTAAAAGGGGATGAGATTGATTATGCCCATCAAGGAGGGCCTTTCTCTGATTGCTTTTGAATGCAGCTCTCACTCCTGAGTATGAATAAAACATCTGCTGCCTTCTTACCATTCAAAGATTTGCAGGATCAAAGGCTTGAAGCAATTCAGCCAGAAGTGCAATGCAGGAAAGAACTTTCAACACTCACTTTGAAAATGTAGCAAATAATACCACTATGTCTAAAAGATTAATCAAACCACTGCAGACAAAATTCCACCCTCATGTACAGCAGCTACCCATTACCACCTGTAATGGCTACCCAGAATGAATCTGGCCCATTTTACTTACAGTTTGCAATTGAAAAGAAACATGCTTCAAGCCAACTTAACAGCAAAGCCAGTTTTAATTACCTTTGGCTGTGGTACTATCCCTTGTTTGGAATAATAAGTCCTGCTCAACAGGAGCACTGAAGTCTTCCTGGGGTGGAATACGATTTTCCTGTTTAAGACCTCTTCTGATCAAAGTAAGCCGAACCGTTTGTCCCGTGTGCCGCAAAACATCAACTGCTTGCTGGTTAGTGAAACCCTGAAGATTTGTTCCATCCACCTGCAGGATCAAACAGCTTTTCAGCTCACCCACAGAGAAAAAGTTCAGGGCAAAACAATGCAGTGAGCTCTAAGCATTTGTTAGCCTAAGCAAAAAGCAAGTGGAGGGGCAAGAACAAAACCTATACACTTTTATGCAATTGGATATGCTAAGCACACCCACTAGAGTAGCCCAGAGCTAGGCGACAACCAGCACCACAGCAAAGAGGGGAGGAGCACCCACCATGGTGCAGCCAGGCAGATCTGCTCTGCAAGGTGGGAGAGGGTATGGCATGTGCTGTGCAGGGCATATTGTACAGCTTGTCACTCAACCACTTCAGCCATCCCTACCTCTGAGGGATAATACTGGGTGAATAAACAACACAGCCATGGCTAGGAGTTCTGGAGAAACAACAAGGAGACACACATCTATCCACTAGGGTAGAAAGACCTACAGAGCCCAGTCGTTCTGAGGTCAGCTAAACTTAGATACAGAGAAGTCTACCAATGAACACCATGAATTCCAATTTACAAACAGAACACTGTTGTAAACAAGTAGACATTATCGCTGGTTCATCATTTTAAGAGTTTAAAGAATAAAATTTTGGCCTCCTCTGTTTGAAATTATTTTATTATCTCATTAACTTGAGTTTTTTTCTGAAATTCAAAACTTTGACATTTCTCAGTTCTATCCCATTACCCCTACCTAGCATCCACCATATTTTATTCTTCTTCTCCCTGCAAACTCCATTAATTTCTATTATTTCTACATCTACCTCACAGTGCCTTAAATTTCTCAAATACTTCTTACAATACTATGCTCTGTAACTCCTATATTTGTTTCTGCCTATCTACACAATCTTCATTATTTTAAGTCCTCCTAAATGAAGAATAAATCTCCTGGACCCTTAGTCATTTGTTGTCCCTCTCTGAAATTCTTCTAAAGTAACTAAAAATCAGGTGTGACTATTTAATTTTTCCTCCACACTTAAACCATATTTAAAAAACATTTTTTATGCTTCAGTGTCTGGGATTACTCAAATAGTTTTCTCCTTCTGCAGCTGCAGTAGAAGAAGAAAACAAACTTTGGAATAATCCATTTTAGCCATTTGTATTCAGCATGTAAATCATTAGAAAAAATATATGTACTTCCACAAACAAACATGCAGGCACTTCTGGAGAGAGATCATAATCTGTTCTTAAGAGCTGTTTTCACACAAATGCAAGGACAGACATATGAGAGACACAAAAATGCACTCCCTGCTTTCAGGACCTGATTTCCACCACAAAACCAACAGTTTATGGATGAAAATATGTTCTTATTTCTCTGAACACCTAAAACTTTTGGACACAACTTCTTAAAATAATTTTGAAAACAGTTGCCCAATTTGAATCAGACTTTGAAATTTCACACTTACCAACCTTGTACTGATAAGGAGGATATATAATGATATAGTCTCACATACAAGATTTTTTTTAAGAATTACAAGTTACATGCAGGTAGCATAATCAGAAAACTTGTAGTGAGATACTCTGTCAGGAAAGGACTCAGAACTGCAACACTGATCCTGAGTATTTTAAATAAGTACTTCATGAGCTTTTCTTTGCAACATAAAGAAGCAGAGTCTTGTAGACAAGTGATCTCAGTTCATACCGCTTTTACTTACAGCTATAATTTGATCTCCCACATGGATTCTGCCATCATGTTCAACAGCACTGCCTTTTGTAATGCTTTTCACAAAGATACCAGAAGGTTCTGGGATAAAAAAAAACAGGGAAAATTAAATTAACTGATTTATTTAGAAACAATTTAAATAATGCAACTAAAGGCACCAATCAAAAAAGGGGATAAAAAAGAAAAAACAATCTCTAAGTAAGATAATAAAAGAATCATAAAGAAGGCAATGATTTAGAAAAACATACATATTATTATCATCTTAAACAATGAGCCAGATTGTCTGTCTGCATTGGCGCAGATTTCATTCAAAACCTTACAATGCCAAATACACAATTCCTGATGCAAAACAAGAAATATTCTTGATGCAAAACAAGAAATATTCTAACTTCCTTTAATCTAAACGTTGAAACCAGCATAGACAAAAAACATATTTCTGACTTTTGCCAGATTTGGACAGAAAATTCAGCTGGAGTACACTAATCTGGTAATTTCTGAATTTTCTATGTACCTAATAACAGCTTAAAACAAATGCATGTTTGAATTGACATATTGATAAAATTATAAATGAACAGGAACACAACTTTACGTTTGAACCAATTTTTAACTGCCGTTATCACTATTTAATAAAAAGGTTACAAAGTTTTAAAAACTCAAACAGAACAACAAAATTAAACAAAAAAACACCCATCAAAAACATTTTAGTTACTTACTAGTCACTACTTTTGAATCAAAAGGAAAATAATACATAGAAAACACCTACAGAAGAGACATTTTACTAAAAGAAAACATTTCATGAAAAACACACTTGCTTTGAAATAACTTCAACAGCCCAATAAAATACAAATATATGGAGTTCCTACATGCACATTTTGCACAGCTTACATTAAATCAGGAAAAATAACAGCATAAAAAGGCATGAAATCACTCTGATGGTCTCAGGCCTGTAACACTGGTATCAGAAATCCTAACAGCATCTACTTTTTCTCAATAAATGTTCTTACTCTGTTAAATGAATATGCTTGATGTGAACAATACACTACAAAATGTATTTTGAAAGCTGTCACACCCTTTGCAGACCTCAAGCCATCTTTTTACTGGCCCTCAATATGACAAAAGTTATAAGGAAGGAGGGTTAATGACTCAACTCAGCTTAGGAAAAATAAGATTACATATATATTCAAGTCACCTCATTGACAAGTCTCTCTATTTGTGTCAGGTTTTGGGGGTTTTTTTTTTTTTGGGGGGGGGGGGAGGGGGGCAGGGGGTTGGGATGGGTTTTTGTTTGCCCAGGCTTTGTGCATAATTACATGCCTGGTCCTCCTAACTTCCAAGCATTCTTATATCCTGTAACATCTGTAAGATAACATGACAAGTTATTTGTCACTTATAAAAAATACAGAAATGTTATTTGTTGTCCAGTAGCTTTATTGCTCCTTCTCTGACAGCCAAGTTCTTCCACAACTGTTATGCCACAAAATTGAGTTACCTAAGTAGTTCCTGAGACACGGATATTCTCTAACATAGCTACATGCAACACAGTCATTTCAAACCGAAGACCAATGACACCCAAACACTAAATCAGTCAAGATGTGCTCTCAGATCTATACATGTTCTACATCTCAATTTCAATTTGTCTTTTGAAATTCAACTGGAAGCTGCTAAAGAGTGGACTTTTGTGAACTCTGACTGTCTTGGCCCATGGAAGTCCAGTTATCTCTCATCCAAAAAATTATAGCTAGAATTGCCAAGAATATGGAACGTACCATAATCCATACATTTTTCAAACAACATACAAATCAAAGCAACAGCTCTTTGAGAAGTTTTATTACACATTCAAGAGACATCCCTTCCTAGCATTACTGAATTTGCCAAATTTCCCCTAAGGAAGCTTAAGAGAGTTCTAGATTATTTTTGTGAAAAATGTAGTGGAAATTACGAAGTAAAAATAAGCAACTGTCCATGAACATTTCTGCATTTATTTCTTTAAATAAACTTATTTATTGTCTGCCACAGCACACAGATGAAGAAACATTTATTACATCCAGAAGTCAGTAAACAATTTGTGATGTGCAAGCAGCATTATGCACATTGTTTAAAAATTAATAACAATCCCTAAAAACTACTCAGAATGCTACTGTGTTGCCTTGTAAGAAGACTACTTCTAACAGAAAGGGCTCAAACTATTTTACCATTGCTTTTCAAAAACACGCAACTACGAGTTTAGCCAAAAGTGAAGATAAAAAGAGATTTAAAAATACTGAGGGGTGATTTTTTAATAATATCAATTGCTTTTATTCTGAACATCCTTTTTACAAAATGAAAACCATTCTTTCTCCTTTTCAAATTTCAAATATATTTTAAATGGTTAAGGGTTCTTTTAAGAGAAGTTATATCAAAATTAAGTCATTGATGCACATATACCATAGTATGCAATAGACTGCATAATAAAGTGCAGGAATCAACAATTACCTGATGTCTTGTCTCCAATGTAACCAGCAATAGTTATTCCCAAGCCCTGGTTGTTTTTAGTGAGTTCAACATTGAATTTCTCCCCATCCTCACAGCTATCAACAGAAGCATCATCCTAAAAAGAAAAGGGGGATTAGAAAGGAAGCTCTTTTTCTTTAAAGATTCACCACATTCTTTAATGTCAGTAACACATAAAATTAGATAAAACCACAAAAAAGGAAGTATGAAATTTGGTTCTGTTCTTATTTGCTGTTCATCTGTCAAGCAAGAGTAGGTAACATTCCTCACAGTAAAGCAATGCAGGGCAGGTCATGTCCTCCTTCACCCCACTGTTCTGGGATATTACCTTCAACCTATCAAATCATTATTTAATTAACAAAATGATTGGCAAAATTTGCCCAAATTGAACAATTCATTTCTTGTACCGCAAGTTACATTTATATGTATATGAAATGAAGCTTGCCGATTTTCTGGGACCTCCTCAGAACTAGCTTTAGACTGCTGTGTTTTTAAAAAGAAGAAAAAAAACAAAACTAAATTGTATTTTCTATTCTACTTGTCTAAATTTCTGTTCATTAACTATAGGTGTCTTTTTAAACCTTGCTAATTTAAAATATGCTAAAAGCTATCACGAGTCAGGCAATTATATTTTTTGCTTTTGAAAGACTTAAAAATTTCATTTTAGCACATAACAATTATATTTCCAGCTAGCTAAATAATTACAATCTTCATTAATACCTGCTATAACTCTCTGAATTTCAGTACCAATGGATTTTGGGTCTATTTAATTACTTGTTGTTAATAAAAGTGGAATATGTATTAAAATCCTATTTTAACAATGGAGGTTTGTATCAAAAATTTTTATTCTGCCCCTTCTGCATGCCAAATAGCAGTTATTTTTTTTTTTTTTAAGTGCCAATATGGAAACCAGGCAGATATTAACTAAAGCCAGTTTGACTAGGTAAGTATGCGCCAAAAAAGATTTCAGGAGAGCTATGATGCTACTTCCCAACAGAATCTGACTTTAGCTCTTTATCCAAGCAACTCCACCAGAAACCAAATTGAACACAAGAAAAAAACATTTCTAATGTATTAATCATCCCTCTCATTGATGATTAATTATTTAGGCCACAAGTAGTGCCACTAAAAAAAGATCCAATTCCTGTAGCCTCCTGAATTTATACAAGATAGACATCTGCAGGTAACATGACAAGAAGTGCCCATTTTGCAAAGCCATTCTGGTCCCAATAATAGTTTTAAGAGCATCATGAAGACTTCACCTACATCACATCTGATAGGAAGAAACTAAAAATCAAGCTGTTTGAATCATCATCTTCACTCCAGACCCAAATCAATGAGTTTTGCATGACTGTTAACAGGGGTGCTCCTTCCGAGAACGTGACTTTGTGTACGCAGGAGCAGTTTAAAAATAGCCTGCCTCGTGCCAGGAAAGAAGTACCAGGAAAAAGGTTTTGAAAAGTATGAAAATTGGGAAGGTGGCAAAAACCCCATATTGTGCCCCTTTGCTATTTTGTCAGTATTAGAAATCACATATATTCTGCAGCTGCAGATAGATCTTAAAACATTGCATCATATAACCTCAAAAAGGCAAATACTGCAGAAATAATGCACAGATTAAATTATCAAATTCAGCTTTTATTTTGAGAGATGCATTTCAGACAAGTAATACTAGCGCTAAATATTAATCTCTTTATCTAAAATGCAGAAAGATTTTACATCTCTGAGCTGTAAAGACACAAAAGTACTAGTTTGTTTCTTATCTTTGATGCTCAGAAATCTCAATGTTAAAATTAACTTTCTTTGCCTTATAGCCACAAAACAAGGGATGAATATTTGTTAATTTTTCACAGATATTACTACAATGGACAGAGACAAAAGGATGGTAACACCATCTAAATTGTAACATAATATCCATGCATAAATTGCAAGGACTTCTCTTTGTATGTGACTTGACTCAAATCTACATTGGAACTGAAGAAAATGTCCAGAAAAACAACAGGAAAAAGTAAAACAAAAAATTCTCTCTAAGGATAGGCTCAAAAGCAATAAACCTTTTCTTCTCTCATTAATTTACTTGAAATATTTACATTTAAATGTATCTGGTCATAGCAATATATAGCAAAACAGTACTGTTTCTGAATCCCATGAAACCAGACTTTGTTACAAACATGCAAATTACCTATTTTGTAGAGGTTTTGAGCTGACAAGTCATGATAATATTTACAGCATTTTTTAAGTGGCTGACACTTGTAGAGGAGTAAAGATACAAAGTACAATCATCAGCAGGGGAGTAAGGGCAGCAGCTGGCTTACTTTTTTTGGAAAATATCTAGCAAATGAGCAGTGACAGGTGATGTAGGAAAGGATTAGAATCTGTGTGCTGCTTGGCACAGGGAGAAAAGTTCTGATGAACAGATGAAATTATACAGAAAAAAGGCAGACGGAGAAATGCTAAAGACTCAACTAGCTCAGTCCTGAAGAAAAGACTGCGTTGCTTCAGTTGTCCCAATGTAATAACATACCCTTACAAGCAACTCAGAACAAGTTGTTAATCAGATTATACTTATTGAAGTCCTAAACCTTAATCCCAAAAGTCTTCAAGAATACAGTTCCTTGCACTGTGGACTCATTACATTTAAATTCTCCCAGAATTGCACTACTGGGGAAGAAAATCCTAGCTTCTGAGAACATTAACACAAGACATTCAAAGAGCAGTTAAAAAGAAAGGAAGTTTGCAATGGGTTACATATGTTGACTGTTGCTTACCCGTTTCTCTGGTGTAGAGGTGGGTACTGGTGTTCCTGGAGGAACTGCGGGTAGAAGGGGTTCCTCAACAGGACCTCTTGCAATTACCAATTTCACTCTATTTCCACACTGCCTTAGAACTTGCGCCACCTGCTCACTGCTCATTCCAGCTAGGTCTGTATCACCAATTTTCAAGATGTGATCTCCACTACACAGTCTTCCATGCTGAAGGAAAAATAATGATGAAAAAATGCCATTTCTCCCATGTACTATTCAACTAGAAAAACAGCACATAGCTTTAGTCACTTCTGACATATGAATCAGGTGACTTTTTCTGGATGCCAAGTCAATATCCTGATAACACAGAGAAGAAAAGAAGGCTGCCTAATGGCACACAAGTTTTATTAGGAATTTCCCCAGAGATATCCAGGAGATCCTTTTTCAAGACACCATCCAAGCACAGAGAAAAAAATGTGCTTAGCTACAAAAAATGCGCTACAGCTACCAGCTCCTACTGGTATTTAACAATTGCATGTAGATTGCAGAACTTTGGGTTCCATTTTGAAGCACACGTCCAAAAAACAGAATACAAATGCATATTCAGGTTTGCACTGATACTAAAAAGCTACTACTAGTAGTAACAGGATTAACCATGATGTCAAAATAAAATTAATTTCTCTCTTCCTGTGATCCAGCTATATAAACTGATTTACACTTGTTTAGTCTCTTACTGATTAACCTTTAATTAATAAAAAAGCTTCATATGCATTTAGGACATATGATGAGTGTTAAAAAGACAGGTTTGTAAAAGGAACTTATCTACCTGTTCAGGGGAAAGAGGACAGCAGTAAATACTGTCCATGCCCCTCCAGGCCCTGTTATCAGGCCACTACTACTATTGTTGGAAGACTGACCAGTCTCTGTGCCTACTCAATCCTTAACCATCATAAATGCAGCCCAAGGTACCTGTCCAATGAACAAGCTTGAAATGAGGTGTGATAACCAAATTCAATTCATATGACCCCTTCAGGCAAGAGCAGAGCCCGTGTCTTGAAGCAGACACACAAAGCCACATACCTACTACAAACTTCAGTAAGCTCAGCAGAGAAAAGCAGATGCTCTTAGCTATTAGGGCACAGAAAGTCAATCTTTGGAATCCTCACTACCCCTGATTACAGCCTCGTACACTCGTGAAAGTACACTCGTGAAAGAATTAAGATTGTAAATGCACACAACATTTATAATGTTACTAGATTTGAAAATGCAATTTAGAACCTAATTAATCTTTAGATTTCAAATGCAGACTCCTGCATTAAAGCCACTTTTACAGAGGAAAATTTTCCATAATTACTGTTTCTTTTTCTTCATTTATTTGGATAAAAGCTACTACTATTTGGTCTGATCATAAAAGTGATGAATAACTTCACACCTTACTGAACACCTTACTGAACAGTAACAGAGAGGTAGGTTGAACTTACCTGATCGGCCACCCCTCCCGGAAGGATGGTTTTAACAATCACGCCAGTTGACTTTCCTCCCACTATCCCAAATCCCAGACCTGATCCATCATTGACCAACTCTATGGTCTCCACATGCTGCCAGTGAACCTAAAAGGAATAAATAAAAGCTTGCAAATTATTAAAAACATAGCATCATAGAATCGTTCAGGTGTAAAAAGGCCTTTACAATTATCAAGTCAAAATATTAATAAGTATATAGGAATTTGCAGCATATTTTCTCTTATTTCTTGAGTATGTTTTTAATAATGGAAAGTTGGAGGAAGATTTACATATAATACCTTTTTAACATTTACTATTAGGTGTGATATTACATAATATTTAATCAGTAAATAACTAATTCTATAACAGGTGGAACTTCTCTGATACAAACCAGAGTTGAATAATGAGTCAGAACTTCCAAGAACTCATTAAATGAATACAGGCAGCAGCCTAGCACTGTCCACCTTCATGCCCCTTTGTAGTCAGTAAATACTGCTTCTACAAAATCACACAGGACTGGAAATTAAAATTTTTAGGTCTGTTCTTCAGGCATGTTCACATCAGCCATTACAACAAAGCAAAAGAGAAACCAAAATCCCAATTCAGTACTTCTAAGGCTGAAAGCAGAACCAAATATTGTGAGGCAGGTAGTAAGAGAAATGCCCCATGTAGTATTCTTCTGGGCTGTCTGATGGCAACAGCACGAGAATGAAGTCATTCTGACGGCAGACTGTGTTCTGAGAGGGGCAAAACTGCTCTGAAAGAAAGGCAAATCCTATCTCACTCGCATGGGGCACTTCTTGAAGGGACAGCTGGAAGCTCATGGTACTCTTTCTTCTGAACAAGAACTCCTACAGTAAACTCATCTGAAACTTAAAAACACAGCTGGTGCTACACCAGGTATAATCTTAAAATAAGCTTTTCTTTTGAATAATCAAGGTATTGCAAACTCAAAGGCCTGTGGTACCTGTTTGGAAATTCAGTCTTAACATAAAGCCAGTATAATAAAGCAAAGCCTGAAGGGAAAAGAATGGCTCCTAGTATGTTGCATTTGAAAGCAAAGAGAACATGAAAACTGGGAAAGGTATGCTAAACAAACCAGAAGCAGCTATGGAATGTTTGTAAAGAACATCTTTTCATGCAAGGGAAGCTGTTCAGAGAATACAGAGGCAATCACACAGATAACAATTTTGTCACAGCAATACTGGAAAAGAGCAGGCTCCCCGTATGTGCTGGCAGGAAAAGTTAGGTCAGTCAGCTGCCCTCCTGTACACAGATATAAAGAATATTTCTGACATTCCTCCACTAAAGGCTTTATACTAATGATTAAAAAAACAGTTCCCTTTTCCAGAATGATTGCTCTCTACACTTCTGGTAATTGACTCCCTTAAAGAAGGGCCACAGAAGACTGAACTTGAATAAAAAAAATTGAATATAGGCTGTTTCATCTCAGGACAATCCATTACATGAGTGAGGTAAGAGGAAGAGAAAGTACAGTTTATATCAGCCTGATACCACCATGTTTCTGAACTGTGCTGTCTACACCTAGATGTGCAAAAGCTCTCATAAGAAAGGAATTGTAGCAGAGCTGCTTTTTAGGGAGTCCTTAAGCGCATCTTGTAATTTCACTGGAGCTCCCATGCTAACAGATAACAGAGAAACAAACATAAAAGCACCCATCCAGCTGGTGGTGCAGATCAAATTACAAAGTCTCAAAAAATTGTTTGCTTAAGCAGAATGCAAAGAAAAAACATCCTGTTTAGTGCAACCTCAAAATAAAGCTTCATCAAGTAAGGTAAACATGCTGCCTTTGCACTGGTGGATACAGATAATTTGGCAGATGGGAGCAGAGAATACATCCAAGATTAAGATTTTTCCCCCAGCAAGCAAGAATATTTTCTAGTCTTGAAAGGGAAAAGGTATAATAAAGATAAATAGAAGAAAAACCTCAAGAATTGTGAAGGAATGTACATACAAGTTACTCAAAATACTATATGCAGTAAGTACATGCACATCTAGGAATGAATACACAGATGTTTGAGCTATACTCACCGGGTTGGAATGGGCTGAAACTGTGCTAGCAGCAGATGGAGACCGGGAAACTACAGGACTGATGATCTGAGGAAAAGTGCCTCTAGCTACAACTAGCTGGACATTATCTTTTGCCTTCTGCAAAATGCTGATAGCCTGTTGATGTGTAATTGTCTGATCAAGAGCTTGTCCGTTAATAGCAAGGATTTGATCTCCTTCCTTCAGCTTTCCATCTCTGTCACACAACAATGTGATGACAAAATAAACAAATAAGAAAAATCAAGGAAGCATTGACACAGAATTTGCAATATTTTGACAATTTCACAGGATTTTTAACAACCTCAATTCCCCCTACTTTTTTAATCTTCCCTGCAGTGTTGCTGAAAGGAGCTGATGTGGCACCCTGGTGATGGTTTCCCTTTGAACCTAATCCCACTGCTACTTTCCCCTGGTGACTACCCCCTAGCCAGCTTTCTCTCCCTGAACCCCCATGCGAGACTAAGCATATTAATCTCAGTTGCTCCCAACCACAGCCTGGGAATTTATGTTTATCCTTGACTTTGAGCCTCTTGCTTTACAGACCAAGTGCTCCACTTTGTTCCATGCACCCATTCTGAATATTCATCAAACCATGGACTGGAACACACTTTCATCAGTATGTTACAGAAACAAATTTTGTTTTGCTGAAAAACAAGGTTGGGGGGGAGGAGGAAAGAAAAGAATAAATGAAAAAAAAAGGACAAAGAAAGAAACCAAACAAAAGCCCTGAACAAATTAAAAAAAACCTCTTCACTTTCTGACAAAGAAAGCATCACTGTAAAATCACATACTGAGTCCTTCCTCAGATCTACTCCAAAGGTAGTGTATGAAGCTGAATTACCTTCTCTTTCTTCCACTACTTCTTTGCATCCCAAAGTGGGAATGCTTTGATAAAAAAGGGCAGCAAGGAAAACAAGAATCTCTATTACAACACCCTTTGTGAGCCCCCACACTCAAGAAACCCAAGTAGAGCACCAAGGTAGGGAAAAACTATTTAGCTTCAACTTACAAGAAACAAGCAAACAGAAAAAAAACAAACAAAAAACAAACAAACAAACAGAAAAAGCCACCTCGCCTAAACCAAAAGAAAACAAAACAAAAAGAGAAAGTGGAAATTGAGGAACTAAAAAATATCGTAGGGTATAAAGCAAGCTTCATTTTATACCTGATTAACTACAATTAAGTCTGTATACCATGCTCTTGTCTCTCTTGTCCATGTTCTTATTAGACTTACAGTGAATATTCAGATCACAAAAAATCCAAAAATATCTCCCTAAAGCACAGTGAGAAGCAGCACCAACATGACTCAGCCTCTCCACGCAACGTACAGAGTACACCACAAAGCAGCTTGGACCAGTGACACACTTTACTAGCCTGCAGTGAATGAGTGCTGCTGCCATTTACCTTTGAGTTTGTGTGGTTCCTCAGCAGTTCTCTCAACAATAGCTGTGGAATCTGAGTTTAAGTCTGAAGCATAATTTCAGCAAGGCATTATTGCTGAGCTTCTGTAATATCAGCTGAGTATTTCTGTGAATATCCCTGACTTTAGATCAAGACTTGCCTGATGTCAAATATGGGTTTCATACCTGCTCTATGGGACTCTACCTAATGAATAACACTGCCAGATACAGCTGACTTTTTTGCATCAAATTGTTCCTCAGTGCATTCAACAATGGCAAAAAATGTATTCCTATTTTAAAAGACATGACACAGAACAGTAGCTTCCTCTTTTTCCCTATTTAAAAATCCCAGGGAAAGTCATCTGTAATTTCTGTAAAATAAGAACAGTTCATATGATGCCTGTTTCAACATCATATCAATTGTGGCAAGTAATTTTACCTCTGTGATGATGCTCAGAATATGAAGAGAGAAACATGTAAACATGTCCTTGTACCAGAAGGTCAAAAATAACAAAATAACAAAAATAACAGCAGTAACACAACTGAACTGCAGCGTCACATACACACTTGGTATAGCAAAATATTCAGTAGTAATGTTACCTATGTGCCACACTTCCCTCCTGGATTTCTTGCACAAATATTCCTAGTTCTCCTCTGTTTTCACTCTTGAGTCCCACAACACTGAAGCCCAGACCACCACTTAGAGGTTTAATAAGGTCAATTGTCTCAACAAGACGACCCTGTTCAGCAAAAGTTAAAAAATGGGTACAAATGTTAAAGGGTTAAAAATTAACAAAGGCTAAATATGTTGAAAAGCAGCAACAATAAACGTGGCAAACAACTGGAAATTAATTTTTGAAACAAGTAAGTTGTCACTAATTAATGACAACTATAGCTGAGCAAAACTGTACAAGCTAATAACTGAAACACAGTTGTTCCTTTCCAATTTCTTGCTATCATACAGAAAATGTTTGAGAACTAAATATTATTACAGCCCAGAAGAGGAAATCAGGGAAAAATGATAAATATGTAAAGTTTTGGTTTAGTAGTGACTGAATAGTATACATATATAGTATATATACTATATATATATATATATATATATATATATATATATTTTAGAGGGTACAGGACCACAGGACCACTTTCAAGCAAAACCAGAAATAGATGAATTTCAGACAGATGAAAAAAATTTGGACTATGCAAAAAGGCTCTCCTGTACACCACTAGGCTTCTCCTATCCTGCTCTCTTACAGATTAAATCGATAAATCCTAGAAAATATGCTTGGGCTCTCCCAGCTCCAGCCACTGAAGGGACTCGTGCACCACTTCTGCCTACTACAGAAAAGTAGTAAGATTAGAGAACAATGCACAGCAAGGTTAAAATTTGCCATTTTATTTCCAAGAAACACATAGATTTCGTTAATTATGCATACAAGAGCAGGCTCTGACAAAGTATCTCCCTCATGCACAGAGCAGCAGTTCTACAATGAGCATGAAAAATAATGGCATGCTGATCTGTAATACACACACTGGTCAGCTAAGGACAGTAGCTCATGAGTGACTATGTCAGGGCTAGTTTTTAAACTGCTTTCTCATTTATTAATTGTTTCTCAAACTAAAAGGTTACTTTTATTTACACATAAATGGTATTGTGGTTTGTACAGTAACTCAATTGCTTTTAAATAAATGTACGTGTACCTTAATCTTCATATAATCAATAATCCATATTTTGTAGTTATTATATGATAGGGTTACCTGGGACATGTTTCTGATCAGCTGCTCAAAGTCATCACTGGAGAATTTCCCATTAATCTGAGGAGTAATGGACCTCATTGATGTTTCTAACACATTAGCTGGGTTGCCATTCTGCTGAGCCAACAAATATGACTCATTAAGTGGCAAGGACCCCATGTTCACACCATGATGGAGAAGCTGAGGGAATTCACCACTGGAATGTATGGAAGGAGTAATATTTACCTGTAAAAGATTGAAGGCAACACAGATTTATAGACACAGCAGAAACCTCCTTAGGTAAGGACATTATCATAAGCCAACTGACCATCAAAAGTACTTGAAATTCCAATTTGCAATTTTAAACAGACATTTTAAGGAGAAAAATTACCTTCAATATTTATACTCAACTGAGTACAACTGAGTTGCACACTACAACCACAAAACAAATTGATTAGAATAACTTAAAATTATTTTCCATACTCTGTCTAAAATTCATTTGTTCCCATCACGATAGCATCTTGAAGTACTCCATCACTATGCTAGAGGTAAACAAGAACAAAGGTTTCCTACAACATCAGTATTTAAGGAAAAAAACCCCAAAAAACAAAACAACAAATGTTATCGCTTGTTTTACAATTTTAAAAAGAAGCATGCACATATTGATGAAAAAATAAGTAAATCACACAGCTACATAGAGAACAAATTTCACTGGTCAAAGTTTCTGCATCACTATGTACTACACCTACCAGTGTTACTATCTGCATGACCTAGGATTAAATACAAGATTAGTGAACAAGTCTGAAATCACCAGGCTGATCTGTAAGTCACAATCATACATTTACACAGACTTTACAGCCACTTTTCTCAGAACAGAAAGGAAAAAAACCTCTGTTTTGCACAGCCATAGTAAATCACCTCTTCCCAGCGATCTGTGCCAACCAATCTAATAGCTGCTGGTGATATAAAGCTCAGGTAAAGCAGAAACCCTCATTTGTCTTTTGTCCCACATGTCTGTTGACTTTCAATTGGTACTGCTTTACTCCAGATAAATTTGCTTCCTACTGGCCTGGCATACTAACTATTATATTGCAACTTCAAATACTTTTCATAGTTTTACAATGCACACTTTCTAGCATTCTGCATCACAGTACAGAAACCTAAGGTTCTCCCTCCTTAAAGTCGTACTTCATACTTCAAGTATCAATAAAAATTTCAAAACAGTAAATATATTCTAAAATATCTACTGCACCAGTCTCAATTGTTCAAGCATTTTACATCTATTGGGTTTATCATATCAGTTCTCCAACAGTCCAGTTATTAAAAGGTCAATATTGTTCTCCATCATACAATTCCATCTCATCTGAGTGTTTTAGGAAAATGCAATAAAACAAACATAATTTGTTGAATAACTTATATGGCTGGGAAGGCCTCAAGTTAAAGAAAAAATACCACAAGTCAGCATTAAAAAGAAAAGTTTTCATTAGCATTTCTATGTCAGCTCTGACCTAAAAAAACAGTAAAGAAGAAAATTTGGATGTTTGGAACTCAGTGATTTTTATATCCCAAGAATTATGTTCTTTATCCATACTTGTGAAGAATCATTTGGGTTATGTTTCAAACAAATTGTAACACCTAAAATGTGCACATATGCACTTTCTTTGATTGCATACATTCGTGTTGGAAAGCTTGTAATGCACAGATAGATAAACCTTGTTTCACAGTTCATCACACGTAACATAACGCAGAGACGTAATCAAATTCTACCCTTTGGAGAATGTAAGACTTCCCCTTACATTATATGAATGGACTTGAAACTAGTAAAGTCTACAACATACTTGTGTTTCTTATCTGCTTAAGGCCATATAATAGGTTAATTCACTTCCACTTTCACAGTGTTGTCCATTTCAATGTATAAAACTGTATAGCTGAACTTGGTCAGTTATGTGCTTTATTTCTTATTCTCCTCCATCTTCAAATCTTCTTATAGAGCCTGTTGCTATGCCTCTTCCCACAAAATTTGGTCATTGGTAAAATCATTAATCCTAGGAGTATCTAAAATTATGGCAACTAACCATTCATATGAAACAGCCCAACAGTATATGAGATACACACCGAACTACCTTTCATGTGCATCTAAAGGTCATAGTATACAGGTCTGGTATCACAAACGTTAGTAAGTCATAGATTCAAGTTCTCTTTCTAAATTGCAGTGGTCATTGCAGAAAATAGCGCAGAGTTACCCTTTCTGCTGTAAGTTACCATCCTCAGAGCACTCTTGGTCAAAGCAGTCCCTAGAGAACTTATCACCTGCTCTGGCAAAGCCAGCAAAGTTAGCCTAAACAAAGAACAGAACAGTACGAGTAAAAACTACGAATTTTATCCAATGTCCATTAGTGAGGGCTCACTAAACTACTTTTAGTGGTAACTTCAAACTAAGTGAGCCAGGCTCAGCAGCTGAGCATGGTAATGACTTCAATCAGTATGATTACACCTAGAAGAAAATACATTAAATGTCTGCAATTTCATTTAGCACCGTTCTAACTGCATTATTCTGTCCTGAGGGCTCCTTCATCCAGGAGCTTCTGGATGTTTCCCATTTCAGGGTGGCAGAAGTAGAAAGTCATTGGTATTACTGATAGTCTTATAAAACCCAACTGTGTGCAAATTCCCTACTTTGAGTAGAGTGTGTAGTCAGTTTCTAAGACAAAAAAAGGAAAATTCTGTAACAATGCTAAAAGCAAAATTTGGAATGTACAGAAAGCTAGAGCACCTTCTACTTTACAAAAAACAAGCCACATTGGCCAAAAAGGAGAGAAACAGAATTTTATGTCACAGAAACTGACTGCAGCTGAGAGCCCCCTGCTTTGAATTTATTCTACGACACCACACAATGTTTCAGACTGCTAATGCAGAGACAGTCCCAGTTTGTGAAACCTCTCTTTGCATAAAAACCCTATGTTCCTCATGTATCTAAAGTACTTCTTTACACACAAATGTGTAGGGAGCAAATTGCACTAGAAAAATCATACATAAAAATCTACATCAAACCACAGCAAACAAAATTATGTCCGTTTTAAAATAGTATGGATTTTATAAATGGTGTTTGCATTATGATACGGTTTTTCTCTAGTATACCATAAAAGACTCTCTGTATCTATAATCACCAAAGAACAAATGGAACTACACATCAAAAATAAAACGTTTTAGAGTATGACATATTGCCATTATGACTAGTATTACATGCTTAATCTGAATCCAAAATACTACTTGTACCACTCAAACTTGTACTGTGATTTAAGTATGTTCTCCTAGTACTACTGGACAGTGGATTGATTGCTTTAGGTAGCTCACTGCACTGTTTACAGTGTTCTAAGAGCAGAGTAATCATGATGGGCACTTCAACTTCCACCTGAACATCTATCCAGTATCACCGTGCTTTACTCTACTCAGGTTTGAAGGACTTTTTCAAAAAAGGTAGGGCAATGTCCTTAGGGAATTCTGGATTTCTCCCTGGTAGAGAATTTGCACATTCTCATGCTGAAACAGTAGTTGTTTCACACCAATGATTTTTTTTAGTTTCTACATTGTATGTTTTCACTGACCAAGTCCTGTTCAAACTGGCAAATACAGTGGCTATTTCCTCCATTTGAAAGTTCATCCTTTCTCCATACTTTTCTGAGTATATAGATATATAGAAATAGATATACAGGAATAGACTGACTTTTCCCATTGTCTTTCAAAGCAAAAGATGGAAACTGTTCTTGTTTTTCTAATATACATAATGCAGTAACAACTCCACTATTCTGAAAAAACTGGATTATATTTATTTGCACAATGGTTAAAATACCACTGAAAGGAAGTCTTGCATACTATATACATTGCAGGAAAAGGAAAAAATAACCTTCCAGTTCAGACTAGGTTAACTAGAACTTTAAAACCTTCTCCTCAAAATTTCAGTACAACAGCAGAGCTACAACACAGTATTGAACACAGTCACATCAATAGCAACTGACAGCAACATCTCATTTTCATTACACCCTTTTTAAACAAACACAGCTCATATTTAATGGAAAATGTGCTTAGTGCATGAAGCCAACCTCATATAAAATTTCATCTGACCTCTAAAACTCCAAGAAACAATTAAACTAAAAAAAAGTTAAACTGTTAACAGAATAAAGTTTTCTCTGTGTGTGTGCAAAAACCTCACATTTCACATCTCCTCTTTGGAAACAGATATGGTTACACCTTAAAAACTATAAAAACATTTATAGTGATATTTACAATAGTTCTTAATGTAGAAGTTCGGAATTCCAAGACATATTTATAAGCAGAAATGTGATGACCACTCTCTTCCACATGCCCCACGAAATCCAGGTTTATAGCACGAAAAACTAGAGCGCAACTGCTATATATTCTTGGTAACCACAGCAGTATGGGTCATTCCAGGGGGAGCAATAAACCTCAAGCTCAAATCTTAAAATGATATATTTTTCTTAACTTATAAATTGCACTACTTTCTTAATTTACATATTGCACTACTTTTGCAAACTACCATAATTCCATTAAAAAGTAGCTTTATAGCCCCTTGACTGTATAATTACGGAATGAGACATTACTGCTTTGTTTTATAAGCTTGCTTATGCTGTTTTTCCTTGACTGGCTTTCTCCTTATGGTATAAACATCTCCAGCATGGACAAAATTTGCATGAGATAAAAAGGAAAAATCATAAATACCACTTAGTATGACAAAATATATGTTTTAGTCACACAGACAGACACAGAATACAATCAAGTAGTGCTTACAGGCAGTAGCTCAAAATACTTTAACAAAAAAGCAACACAATCCATGTCTGTACTGTATCAAAACTTAAAGCAATATCCTCAACATCTCTAGGTCTCAATTTATTCAACAAAAAGAAATTTTCAGTATTTTTGCACTGCAGCCACTGAACAGCAACCCTGGACACTGCAAGAAGCACAAGACTGATTGCAAGATTCCTGAGTAGCAAGGCCAGCTGCAACTGCAATCACACTGGAAGTGAGGAAGCACAAGCCAGAGAACATGCACAACAGCAGGAAAGGGCCCTGAGCTGCCAGGAACAGGAATTGGCACCAGCACCACTCTGCTCGCTGCACCTTTATGGCTCCATCCACAGAGCAGATGAAGTAGATCCCAAATTAGCATTTCTTGTTATCACTTCATTTAAAAGCACAAACAGTATTGTTGCCAAGAGGAGCTCAAAACATGAACTAAAAATCTCTAGTTGTCCAAAATACAGAGTTGAGTTAACAATGTTAAGTGTCCACCAACAATAGAAAAAGACAGTATCCCACTTCTTCCCTAAATCCTCCCTTGTACAGACACCCAGCTGCTACCCACCACTACATTGTGAAGAAAAAACTATGGTCACACTCACAAGTAAAACAAAAAAAAACAAAACCAAAAAACACAACAGAAAAACAAAAAAAACCCAAAAACCAACAAAGAAAATCCAAAACAAACAAAAAACCAGCAAAACAAAACAAACTATCAAACCAAAAAAACCCCAAAACTGAGAAATGCAGCCCTGCCATCTGAGCCAACCACTAGATATTTTGTTCTGGCACAGCCCTGAGTGGAAAGGAGACAGGACAAGGTGTAGAGGAGGAGGTGAACAACTGAGAGACAAAAAGGAATAGAAAAGAAGCAGGACAGGGATGCTAACATAGTCCAATCATTTTCTTTAAAATATTTCATGAAGAAACTAAAATAATATTAAGATATTTTAAACACCACAATCTCTATTTTTCTTCTCTGTCTCTGTCTTAACTTCAAACAACAAGACTGCTCTTCAACATCAGAAAACAAGTATTAACTGAAGAACAAGGACAGAAAGAGACAAGAAAAAAATAGTTTTTTCCTTCAGTGCTCCCCAGTTCAAGAGACTTCTGAAGTCAAAACAGTAATTCACAAAAAAACATCCCTTTGTTGTGCTTAGACTTTTCCACTTCAGTTAACTTCACAATGACAGTTTAGCAGTACAAACAAATCCTGTTCGCTCATTTAGAGAAAAAAAATACTCCTCAACATTAAAGCCTACTAATAAGAATCAAGGCATCAGATTTTCTGACTTTAGACCATGTCTCAAGATAAAGCAACATACCACCCAGTCCACATACTGCCCAAATAGAGGGCAGGACTTTCACTATCATCTCTGTGCTTTCAAGACACAATGCCTCAAGCCAGGAATACATCTTTACCTTGAAGTTTATTGATGACCCTAGAGGTCCACAATGAAGTCTCACTGGTTGACCTACATCTGCTGTGATACTTGCAAAGAATCTGTTTGACTTGTAAAGTAAATTGCCATTCTGTCTTCCCTGCTCCTTTCCCCACTTTCAAACTACACTGTCCTAAAAGACGACCTCCTCAAGAATTTTGCAGTAGTCTTGTACCCATTTAAAAACTCATTGAAAAGAGAGGGGCAGTTAAACAGACTGTCACACTTCACCTCGAAAAGAAGCAAATTCCCATTAAACTGTCACTGCAGCTCATCATTAAACATAAAAAAATTAGCCATCCTTATCTCCAGTGGGTAGAAGCTGCAACATCTTGTCATTGCACAAGCCAGCACCATTTGTCATCCTGTCTCGAACAGGGCTCTGACTGCAACTGTATGGATACAACTTCTCTCCTTATTCTGACACAGCTTGGCCAAAAAAACCTGGTCACTACTCACATGCCTTGCAGTTTTCATCAACCTGTTGCTTAAGAGCTTCAAGAGCTCAGTACCCTTACAGTTGTGAAAAGGGTGTCCTTGAGTGGTGTCCTCAAAAGTGCACCTATGAAAACACAGGTTTTTTAACATAACTACCTATTTTATGCTTTTATTCTGTGTCCTGTTTCAGTAGGCCTTGTAAATATTTACCACAAAATAAAAACAAATAATCTCATGTCATATTGTAGGGAAGAAATTCTACAGAAAAAATATAAGATGAAGAACTGACAAAATCTAAGAATGCTGGAAACATATATTTACATGTGTAAGTGTTCATATAAGCACACATAAAAAAAACGGAATTCACATCCAAATAGCTCCCCTGTCAAATAGAACAGGGTACATACCATGCAACCTGCACAGAGCACTAAAATTACTTCACAGACAAACCTGCAGTCAGGACAGAAAGTGAAATTATTATTTGCTTTTTAAAAAATACATGCCTTAAATTACCCATCCTAGCATCTCCTGCTTCATTTTCTAATTTAGCAAAGTGTATTTACAAAGATAGCCATCCTTTAACTTCATAGCTAATGTCCAAAAGTGAAAATTTAATTTGCCATTTAAAAAATATTTATTAATGTTTCAGGCATACTTTTACTTCTTACTACATGTTCCTAGGGTCTTTGCCATGTAATTCACACAATTTCTGGATGTCACTGTTAAATTCTCATTTCCAAATGGCAGTGCAAACAAACCCTCAGGACAGCTTTTTTTTCCTGAGATTTTTTTAAATTACTCCAATGTCATTAAGTCTCTAAATACTAAACAGACAAAATTTGAAAACCATTGTGATGAATACAACATAGACACCATTCAAATTTACTTCTTGTCTGTGCAAAATAGCATCAAGATGATCCACAAGAAGCAATAAAGGGCTACAGTGCATTCTTCTGCCGCACAGCTGAAGTACTGTGAGGATTGTGAGGAATCCATCTCATCATAGTCTGGTCAGAGATCAGATGAGGCTCCACACTGATGATAAGGTCCATGCGCAGAGTCTGCTCCCTCCCACCAGCAATTCTGCATACCAGACAGAGCTGGCCATCTTGGAGGAGTCAACAGGAATGACAATTTGCAAAGCCAGATACATCGTTTGGTCCTAATTCAGTTACTGAACTACTTTCTATATTCTTCAAATTCTTATTCTGCTGACCAGAAAATTATAGCAACAAATAAAGTCAATCTAGCCAAGTTGCTGACCCTTTTCTCAAGCTCATTGAAAACATGCAGAAAATTAATACTTAATACCCTGAGCAAGCAAAAAGGAGGCAAAAGCTCTGGCTTCTCTTTGATCTTTTATTCCTATACAAAGTACAAAATAGATCTTCGTTTCCTTCAGAAGTCAACCACTCTACAGCTTCCCTCGACATCCTTATTTTAGCAGGGTAAGACACAAAGGAGCAATAAAAGGCTCCTAGGAAACAAGTTCTAGACCTCATAGAAAACACGCTCCTTTTGAAGGTCAGAGAAAAAAGCTTTATGTTACCCCCCCACCCATATCACCATTTCCCTACCCTGCACATTTTAAGTAAGAAGGATACACAAAAAAATCACATATACATAAAAATCACATACACAAAACATAGCTTCCCAAAAAGTCCATGTGGTATGTCTCCAAACCTTTGGATCAGATGTTTAGTTTAAGCTATTTCACTGTTCAAAAAGCAGACACACAAACATATTTGCATTACCTTAGCAAGTTTCCCCTTGCACTTGCAGGACTACTTTTCCTACCTGATCTCTCAGTTGTTGAACAGAAGTCTGAAGGCTCAGAATTTGATTAAAAAGAGGACTCTGCAGCACTGATTTTAATAGGCTCAGTTTCTCCTCATTTGCAATGTCACCTCGATCCCGAAGTTTTGTCTGTAAGCGCTCCATGGCCTGGAGGGCCCGATGAGTATCTGCAGCAATAATCATTCCTAGTCAGCACCAGTTTCTAGACTGCATAAATCAGAAGCCAATGAAAATTGTATTTTTGTCCATCAAGAAGTGAGTTACAAAATGAAAGAGCCTTCACTGAAATTCAGTTACAGGAACTGTGGCTACAGTCCACTGTGAATAAATAGGGGCATAAATAGTCATAACAGAAAACATCTTTCTTTTCCATGCAAATTTTTAATTCAAGAAAAGATTAAAACAATGAAATCAAGACAACAGGCTCAAATTCAAATACATTAAACATATGATTGTACAAATTTTGTTTTCAAATACAAAAACCCAAACACAACAGCATTTCTAAGCACAGTATATTATTTTTTTACAAAACCTCTCTCAGCAGTATACACCTATATCCCAAATCTATCACACACACTCAATGTGGCCACGAAAATATTGTGATACAAATGAAAAAAAATTACCAATTGTTTCCAACATGTTCTCTGCTTCTCAGCTTCTATTTCAAAACTGGAAAGAGACTGTAAATACTTCCCTGAAAAGTAACAGAAGAAAAAAAGGTCACATTTATAGAAATACTAAGCTCTAAAGGGAAAGAAAAAAGGTTGACTTTTGAAAACAATAAACTGCAAAATAACGATCCACAAAAAAACCATCTTCACAGATAATTAAAATAACCTCAAAGTCAAACTCTGACTCACTTTGGTGTTCAAAATCTTCCTGAAAAAATTGCTTTAGGAATATACTTTGTAATTTATTTGCATTTCCATATCAAAGTAGCTGTCTGCATACTGTTGCACAACATGTCCTGCACTGCTTTAATCAGACACTATGAATCATAGCTGCCACTGAAATTTTACAGTTTCATTGTCTTCCTTTTCAGTGATTCACAAAAGACATTCCCTGCGGGATCAGTTTTCAAGCTCTGTGTTGACAATTTCAGGCGCATGAGCCACAGCACACTTTTTACAGTCACCTTTGAAAGAAAAGTCATATAAACCACAAGGCTACAAGCTTGTAGGATTCTCATACTAGAGCCTCCACTATTAATATCTAATGGAATTGACACTCAGATGTGGATGATACCTGAGTTTTTATCAGTGTGGGTTTCCAGGAAGGAAATTCCACACTGGGAGGAAGAAATTCTGAAATTGCTTTGCTTATTCTTTTTTGCTGCTTGTTGGGGTTGTTTGGGGCTTTTAAAAAATGTACATCTGCAATTGCTCAGAAATTTGCAGCAACAGAACATGTTTGATGGAGATGGATAGGTGAGAAGTGAGGAGCTCAAATATCATTGCAGGTGTATGAACTGTTGATTTTTCTTTCATAGTTTGTTTTCTTTATAGTAGGAAAAAAACAGTACAGCATCCCCACTTGAATCTGGAGAACCTAAAAACATGCAGAACTGTGATCTCAAAGCACTCAAGAAAAGTAATTCTTTCTTGAGACATTGGATAAAAAGAGGAAAAGGAATGACGTTGACAGATCACTAAATAAGACAGCCTAACAGGATCATTAGTTATAGAATCTGATCATTTTGTCAAGCCTATACTGTTTGCAGTTTGTGCAGAAAAAGCAAACCAAATGGATTTTAAATGGTTTCAAGTTCCATCGGTATGAATTCCCTAGTTTCAATACGCCTGAAGCTTCCTAGTTCCAACCTTGCCATGGGCAGAGAACTTTCCACTAGATCTGCTTACTCAGAGCCCAGTCCAGTCCAGTAAAAGAATGGGGAGTACATAACCTCTCTGAAGACTGCATTTGAATTTGACAATACATTGATACAGAATCACTGATCATCCTTTTTAGGATTATTATTAAACCCCTTAAACCTGACTTTGTCAAAGTAATGTTACTCCATGGTTCAAATTATGCTTTTAAATAAAAATAAGCCTTTATAATTTTTTTTCTTACTTGGCAAGGAAAATCCCAAAATATGATTACTAGATCTGAAAAACGACCCAAATATCTTGTTTTTTCACCTTGTCACTGTACAAAACAGGACAAAACAAAGTCTATTTTACATGGTAAGGGCTGGATGAGATTTAAATGTTATGAAGGAAGCTGACTTCCCCAAACCCTTATCACCCACAGCTTTTCTTTCTAGATTAAAAACTACTATCACTTCCATTCAGAGCCACTATTTAAAATCAGAGGTATTTATACCATGGTTGTAGATGTTTTCCTCAGTACCAATGCAAATCAAAGCAGTTCTTTCCTGTGTCACTGTTCCATTTCTTTCTCAATACCTACCCTTGGGGCTGTGTAGTGGATGGAACCAGAGAGCTGTGCAAAAAATCAGAAATTTAGTATTTTTTCAGTTATTTTATTTATCACAGCACTATATGCACAAGCATATGACATCTTATGTTCAACAGATGAAACTACTCAGGAAAAAATAGAAGGTTACTGTTCTGCTTTAGCTTTGCAAGAATCTCAAGAAGAGATGCAGTTGTAAAATGTCTCTACCTTTTGGGGTAGCTGGATATTGTTTTATTTTATGACTCAATTTGACTAAAATTTCATTCTTCTTGTGCTGAGAAATGTAAATTTTACAAGTGAGAGTACCCACAATCATCTTTGTGTTCATGTAATTCTGAAGATATGAACTCTAACAACTTATAGTAGAGGATTCTACAAGCAGACACAAGTCCTAAACATATCTATAGGTTGAGATTATGCCATGTAATTTGCAATGAAAAGAAGTCCTTAGCTCTGCTAAGACACTCATTACTTACTTTCTATTTATCTCATGCTTTAGAGAGGAGTGAATACTGCTCTAGTGCCATGCTAGTATCAGCAAATCTATTTTGAACTCTCCATTTATTCACTTTATTTGGGTTTCTATTAGTAGGAAATCCCTTCCCAGCTGGCCAGCTTAATGCTTTTGTCAAAGTCAGCAATAAGCATGAGAAAGACCAAAACTGTCATCAGAATGTTTTCCCTCAGACACCTCCTCTGAGGCAGATGCAATGCACTGAGGCACTCATGTTTGCCTCTACAGTGTTGCAGGCCAAGCTGACCCCTGTTTGCTCCACCTGCACTCTGAAAGGACAAATGGGACACATGACTGCTCCTGCTGTGCCACATCAATGCTAACAAGTGGGATCTGCCAGCACCAGCTTAATGGCACATTAACATAGTGAAGTATTGGAGAAGCAACCACACATCTCTCCAAAATACACTGCAGAGACATATCCATAAACACCACCACCCACTACAGGACACACTGGCCCTTAAACCAGCTTGCTTCTAAGTATTTTAGCAACAATGTGCTAGTGAGAAGTAGAGTGGAATGCATGATCACTTGTTGAAAGGCCTAATTCTATTATACTGAATATTTTTATAATGGCATTGTAGATTTCTAGATGCAGAGCGGGGAGTTTAGCTCTGATTTCCTCATTTTGCAATCTCCTGGCAGTCTGTATCACAGGAACCTGAAGCCAAAACCAACCCTTCTATACAGGATACAACAATCTTCACACCTCAAAGAGCTTAGTAGCTTAGCTCAAAGTAGATTTAACTATTTTTGTATTTCAGTGCTGAAGTTCATTAATCTCTTCACAATAATAAGAACACAGGCTGTCTGAGTCAAGACTTCATAGGCAAATCGAAGAAAGACAGTTAAACAAATAGCAAGTTAAATCTATGTTCAAGTTCAAAACACACAGGTAGCGGAAAGCTGTGATGTAAACAAAAAACAAGCAGCCAGACAAACCAAAAAGGAAAAAAAAAGGAAAAAATCAGACCTCATCATCTTCTCTTGCTTTCCTGCTCTTTTAGAACATTAGAATAGAAAACACAAGGAATTTTAGACAGGTATAAGGTGACAAACACACCATATTCACTCTAAGAACAAACCAAAGTTAAAGATGATCCCTTTCAAGTTTGCACTTTTGAAATTTGATTCTTCCAACGCTAACGAACAAAAATGGGGTTTTTTGCCACTCTTCATGCTAACCTTCTTTGATAACATTGGTTGCCACAAAACAGCTGGTATGTTGCAACTCTGGTTTCTATCTGTCCACTTCTGAAACACTAAAATGCACAGGTGGCAGAATTTTTTTTAACTTCTGAAATTTATTTGATCACCTCCTTTCCACTACAATTGCAGAAGGCATTTAGCTAAACAGACAAAAGATTTGTGAAAATAGTAAGGCGACCCATTTCCATTGATCATTCTTTCACATCTATCACTTGGTTTCTACAAGGAAACCTACTCTGTTTCATTGACGGATACTCCATCTACTGCTTCACAAAGCCATTTTAGATAATACCTTGGAAACTAATGGTCATAGCATGGATTAGGAAGCATGCAATGCCAAAGATAGAAAACATAGTAATAGGCTTTGCCCCATAGCTCCTGCATTACTTGAAATACTCTGAGCATACAAAAAAAATGCCTATCTTAAGAGTGATCTCTAGGCCCAAACTCTGGCTTGGAGTTGCATGAGATTAAAATTAAATCTATTTCAATTAAGCAGCAAGGTAACCACAACATGCATTTTATAGCTGCTAAAGAGAGTATTTCGGAACTTCTAATCCAACACTTTGGCCTGTGTTTGTCTGGGCTAGAGATATCCTTTAGTACATGATTTTTATCCCATGCCATCTTCCTCCCCAGTTTTCTGGCTATCACTCAAATAGGCATATCATGTTAGCACCCGTGCGGTGCAGGAACAGAAACCAAACCACACAGGAAGTGGAAGATGCTCATTACTGCTTAACTTTCTGCTTTGCCTGCAGATTCTAACAGCTCTTCATTTTTCCCACTTACCTCCTTAAAGATGGCTACTAACCCCAGGAGGAAAACTGAGGTGGATCCCCAGACACTGAGCAGTCTTGTGAAAATTAAGGCAGTGGAAACTATTCACAGTTAATTCAAAGATCTCATGCTTTTCTGGTTTTTTTTCTAGCTACTTTTCTACCAATGCAATTTTGCTGTTGCATACAGTACTTTTTTAAGCACACAAAGGGTGTGAAAAAAAATGCAAGACAGCAATGACCAACAGGGAAAATAGAACAAAAAGAAAAAACAAAATTAATGTGCACTGTTCCACAAGGAACAAAGCAGATTTCCATCAACTACCTGGAATGTAACAAGCAAACAAGAGATGCCTGACATCTACATTTGATAGCTATGCTAATGAAAATTGTTCTGAAACATTCAAAGCAGAAATAAAAAGGCAGTATTGCACAGCCTATATTAAGACTCTAAGCACTTTGAAAAAACATTACTAGCCTCTTTGAATTTAGCAAAATGACAAATGCATCAAAAATACATATAGAGGTAGTGGTTCCGTATGTTGAAGAAAAGTTCTGTGAGAGAGCTGATGAACAACATCATATACTTTGAATCAATTACGAAAACAGAATTTTGAACATTCAACTACTTTTAATCTTCTGTATGCATCACTCTAATGTATTAAAGAAACTTAAAATCCTTTTCCATGAACCGGCAATCTGTTCCCTGCGTATAATTAATAATTTTCTGTAACATGTAAGAAGCCCTACATCAGCATAAAATATAATATCCATGGTAACTGACATGCTAATAATTGCAACCGGGAAATGCAACTAAACTATCCATAATGATTGCACCTACTGATAAATGTGTGTGATATAGTGTATTTAAAACTGATTTGCAAAGAGCATTTCAAAAAGAACAGCATAGAAGGTAGGGTGTTTCTGGTGGGGTCTGTTGGGGATTTTTTTGTTAATGAAACAAATGGATCATCTTTTTAAAAAAATTTTTTTCAGTAAATATCTTAAATTTAGATCAACTGGCATCCTTTCACATTAGCTTCAGGAAGTGAAAAGCAACTTTTAGCATATACAGAATATAGGGGACGCCAGTGAATATACTGAATTGATGAAATACAGTCATGGTTAATATTGGCTCTTTATGTTTTCAAGCATAGGCAAATGATAACCATATTCATTAAATTCAATTAAACCTGATGAACCACAGATTTTACAACAGTTGCACCTCAATGTATATTGGATTTTCACAGAGGTGACACGGCATACATAAATGAATAAATACAAAGCCTCTCCAAACAGCTGCTAGTAAGCATCAACAAAGAGTCATCATTTTCCCTACAAACTGAAAACCGAAATTTCTCTTTGTGACAATAACAAGTGACTTATACAGAAAATCATAACACTGTTTAACAAGACCACTGTGCGAGGGGTTTCAGATATAAGGACAGGGTCTGAAAAGCCTACAAAAGAAATATGTTATTATTGCCAAGGCAAAAATACCACATTTTCCTACTGACTTGTCAGGAACACCAGCAGTGAAACAGGACTGTCCTTATCAATGATAATATAGTATCCTGCCAGCATGGCATTATACTAGCCAAAACTGCTTCACCAGGATGCTCAAATATAAAGCCAATTAGAAAGTGTACTGAATGCACTTCACAAAATTTTAATTTTTTTTTTGTGTTGGAAACATGGAGCAGAGATTTAAAAGGTCTTTAAATAGTTCTCAATATGCTGAATTAAGTGCTACTTGTTAAAACAAAACCATCTACAGCTATCTGCATGACTGAGAAGATCTAAAGCATTCTTGCCTGAAGAATTCACAGACCAGGGCCTCACCAGGGCCAGGCGGAATGAAAAGATCCATTAGTATCTACGTAGTGCAGCTCTCTTCCCGTAGTGCTGACAGCTATCTAACTTTCCTAGTGCCCTTCCGCACGAAGGGGGGAGAATGTATCCAGTTCCTAGTGAAAGACTCTTCAAAGCACTAAGGAAACCATTAGAAACACCACAGCTAATCAGTAAATGTTACATGCATGTTACTGTTAACAAGATAGGAGACATAAAAATCGGCAACTAAAAATTGATAAATTTTTTTTCTAAATTATGCTCTCTGTCTAATAATGCTGCTTGTTAAGGTGGGTATGTCCTTAGTTATTTTCCACTTGCATTCTTTTCTTCTAGTGTTACAATTACTTTCAATTTCCACAGAAGCATCAAGTAACACTCCCAAAAAGTATTTTACCACTTTCCCCTTTTCCAGTTTATTCCTCCCTACCAAGGAGTTGCTGCTTCCTTGGGAAACGCCGAAGTGATATGGAAACCACAGGGCATCACACAACACAAGTTCCGCAACTGCAGAATTCAGAGCCTTCCTCTTTATCTCAGTAAATCTCTGCTTTCCTTCTGCGACAGACTCCCAACACCCTTTCAGGGACCAAAGCCAGTAAGGACGTTTCCTATCCAACAATTTTAATTAAAAAAAAATCTTCTACACGTATTAGGACACAAAAATATAGCTGGACGATGCAGTGTTTATAAAATCAAAAGGAAAATCAAGAAAAAGGAAAAAAATTATAACCAACGTTTTTCTGCCAAACGGCAAATCAAACCTCTTAAATGCTGTACACGGAGTTCAAAAGGTCGGCTTTGTGAGTTTTTCTTTTTCTTTCTTTCCTCCTAATACTCTTTCCAGTAACACAGGGAGGTGCTGGCAGCAAGGGGGAACACGAAAAACGAACCATCCCTTTCCTTTGCGCACCCAGACTCATCCAAGAGCACATCTCCGTTTCCACCCAGCCAAAGCTGTTACCGGGGAGCTGCTGGAGGGGTCCGACCTGCAGGCAGCGCCGACACCCGCACGGCAACAGGTCCCGAAGAACCGCGGTCACCGCCCCGCCTGGAGCCCGAGGACACGGCCAGCGTCGCCGGGGCCTCCGGTCCGGCTCTGGCTGCGAGCGAGAGCCAACGCCGCCGCCCACAAGTGCCGGCCGCGGGCCGCGGCCGCCAGCAAAGTCGGTGGCAGCGGGGGCAGATGAGGAGGACCGCCTCCCGTCATGAAATGCCCGCGGGGGACAAATAAAGAATGCGTGAATGGGCAGCAGGGCTTCCTGCAGATGTCAGGGGAGGTTCGGCTTTTGTTTACGTGAGGACGACGCCCCGCCAGGCCGCCAGAGCCCGCGAACCGCCCGCCCGCCGCAGGCCAGAGCCCCGGCCCAGCCCGGCCCTCACAGCCGCTCCCGCCGCCCGCGGTCGGCTGAGGCGGAGGAAGAGGGGATGTGCCGGGACACAGCAACAGGCTCAGTCCCCCCGGCCCGCGGCTCCACGGCCTCTCTCCTCCTCCAGCCCCCCGCCCCCCCCCCGGCAAAACCCTTCGGATCAAATGAACAATACTAAAACTTCGAGAGGCAAACGCGTTTTAAATGGTCGCTCGAACTCCAGCGACGCGGCGAACCCTCCCCGCCCTTCCCGGCCCGCATCCCCGCGGGACGACTCGGGCGGGCTCGCCCCGCTCCCCGCCGCCCGGCCCAGCAGCACCCTGCTTACCCCAGCGGCTCGGTGGGCCCCGCCGCCCGGCCCGGCTTTCCGCCCTCCCCGCCCCCGAGTAGCGGCGCCGAGCGAGCCTCGCCGCGGGGGCAGCGCGCTCGGGCACGCCCCGGCGGCCTGAAACCTAATCCGGCAGCCCCCGCCCGCGGGTCTCACCGGGGCGGCCGCCCGCAGCGACGGTGGGCGGGGGTATCCGGGGGATAGCGGGTCACGCTCGGAGTGCCCGGTCCCGTCCCTGCCGGCCTGTAGCCTCGCGGCCCTTCCCGCCGAGTGTGTCTCCCCGCGGCTGCCGGAGCGCACGCCGTGCCGGGATGACACCGAGAGGCCGGGCTGGTCCGGCTTAGCTCTCCGGTTCGCCTGCGAAGTGAAGGCGGCGGCAGGCTGGCCCCTGCCTCTCTCCAGCGGTGCGGTGCCGCCTGCGGCCGGGCCTGGCCCCGCTTGCTGCCAGCCCAGCCACCGCCGTACCCCTTCTGGTGCAACAAGATGAGCCTGGCCTGGAAAGGAGGAAAATGGGAAATGTTTGGAAATGTTTAAAAAAAACCAAAACAATCAAGATCACCAAGCAACACGTGATGAAGTTAGACAAAATGATTTATAAAGTCTTAGAATTTATAAGGGGATGACTTTTCCCTCAATGCAGAAGCTGGTAATTGTGTTAACTAGAAGTAAGGGAGATGCTATGTGTTTCACATATGTATATCTAAGACTGAAGGACATAATGCAGAGATGTTTGCAGCAACCACAAAATACCCAAAAACATAAGCTAAAATAAAACCAGCTAAAGCTGGTATTATTTTGGTATTTGTTGACATTGCTTCTACTAATATTATCAGGGTCATGGTTTCCCCTATTCTTTTACATAAGACATTTTTTGGTGTCAATGCTCTCAGGCAGCTCAAATGAGGTAAAGCTCCTGCAGATGGACCACGGCTGCTCCACTGGGCGTGTTGGCTGCTCCTCTGCCTCTGCAGAGGCTCCATGAGCTTTTTATCTGCTTCTTGCCTTCTGGCATGGTTTGGTTCTTTTTCCAAACAGAGGTTAACCTTAAGTGTCATCATAAGTTCCAGTAGTTTGTGGCTGAGGGGTGGTGGTGGTGTTTGGTTGATGGGCTTCTTTGAGTGTTTGGTGGTTTGGATTTTTTTTGTTTTTTTTTTTTTGCTCATACAAAAATTTTAAAGAAACCTAATGTTATGAAGCTAGAATGGAGTACTGCCCTATCTATTTTCAATAGTATCAATAAATGCAATCCCAGTACCAACAATTTCTTATGCAGACCACTTTACATGTTAACTTTAAGAAACACAGGTCTTTTTACATTGTATGCTTTGGTTGTTTTTATTTTTATTATTTTATTTGGAAAACTAAATTCTGAAAAAAGGTTGAATCACTAAGGAATATTTCTCTTGCTTGCTCTTATTACAGCTGGTGGATTGAAAAACTCCAAATATTAACTGCCTTTTCCTCTGCTGAATACTCAAATATACATATTTATATTATGTTATACATATTTATGTTATATATATTTATATTATATAATATATATTTTTAACAATAATTCTTCCACTTTTTAACTAAGAAAAGTACTTTTCAAGATTTTATTCACAGGTTCCATTTAGCACACTGTCATGTGCTAAAAGCATATTGCTTTTTTAATCAAACACAGAGGCTCTGCTATAGCTAGGACATTGAATGCTCTATAACTGTCCCACCAACTTTATGTGTTACATGAGCCTTTATTAAATCCAGAATAAAATTTAAAAGACAAGTTACACTTTGTTTCCATGTATCATTGTTCAATGAATAAGCCACAGTTGATTAGATAAGTACAAGATGAGAATGTTATTGTTATTTTTCCTGTTGCTCAGGATTTAACTATGGGATATGACTAAAACAAAATGCAGTGATTCTATTTAGTTTATTTGGACAAAAAAATGGTCAAAAGTGCAGCAGTACTCATGTTGTACAACAGCATCACTTGTGTAATAATTCTTCCCAGTGCAATTTGGCTTTGTATGGGATATACCTTTCAGAAAATTTTTTAACATACAGACTGCTTTTCTAAAGTAGACATACAGTTTAAATTCTATTCAGATTTTGTCAAATCCTTGGAGTATATATTAAGTAGATGATAGTTAGTGAAGTTCAGAGCGTTGTGCTCCATTAGGCCTTGCCTGTATTAAAAATATTTGCATATTTGCAACATAGCTGTACAGAGAAATTGAGCCCTTTCAGTAAACATACAACTGTACATAAAATAAAAATGAAACTGTAATGGGAATTAGCATCACAGTAATCTAATGCCCTCTTGCACACAGTAGCTGATGACACTGATGAAGAGCCATGCAGGCACAGTTTTAGCAAATAGCAAAGTAAATTCTTAGGGTTCAGAGTACACAACTGGTCTCATGCACATATTTGGTACTAGCTTTAGAAAGTTAATTTGAAAGACATCCACCATTCATATTTAATTATTTCTTCCTTTTGTTATAAAATAGGACCTCTCCAGCTCCCCCTAGAAAAAGAGGGTCACAACCCTCTTTTTTAGTTAGTGTGTGTTACATCAGGTACAATGACACACAATGTTTTAAGTTATGTCAACGCTTTTTTACTGTAAGGAGTGTGGCCATTGGTGTTTTAGAATCTTGTGGGATCCTTCAAATGTGAGAAAAGAGAATCGACTTTGTATTTCAAGGCTAAATGTTTTAACAAGCTACAAATAGTTGATGTGTCTACACATGGTATTCAAGTGATTGTAAATAAAAATTGCAAGAAAATTTTATATCATAAGCCTTCCTCAAAAGATTACAATGACTACAAAAATATTCTGTCAGAAAGAACTCTTAAGGAGAAGATGAAGGGGATCTAAAGAAACCCTCATTTTATGTTCTCTAATATTAACATTCTGATATATTTCATTTCTCAGGTCAATTTATAATATAGTCATGGCCAAATCAATATTGAATGAGATGCCTGCCTTGTTGATTTACTTAAATACATAAAATATTAATATTAATGATTCACTGCTGAGATTTTTTTGGAAAACATGAAGGAGAAGTAAACTGAGAAAAGAAGTCTTTACAGATATAACAGGGTCACCAGAAACAAGGCTATGTGTCCATTAAATCATTCATTACCCTGCTGTTGGGGATGCAGCCTTTTAAAATAGTAATGGGAACAGGATCTATCCAATGAAATAAGAGTCTGATTCTGCTCTGAGTCACAAGTACTAACTTCACTTTGAGAAGATTTTGCCTATGAAACACATTTGGTTACATTTATGACACAGAACTATTTATTCCCTAAAAAAAGTGTTCATAACAATAATTGTTTAGTTTCATCACTGTGTGTATCATATTTGGTATGGGCATTGTTATCGCATGCTCCACTGCAGAATGGGTAGAATAAATATTTTAGGGACCTAGAAGTACCCTGAGAGGAAGGACTCAGGAATATTTATAATTTTTTTATCTATGCTTGAAGTATTCCATCCCTGAACTTAGAAATGAACCTGAAAAGGGACCAATAAACACTTTTCATAAGTACTACCTTGATTAAAAATTGTATGTACTTCTCTTTTATAGCCTTACTCTTCAATATTACAGCATAATTTTCTTAATGTATATTCATATGTATATATGCATACATAGACACAATATTATACTTTTCATTACAGCATTTGCTTAAATTTCAAGTTAAAAAACACTAATTACCATTTTTCTTTTTAGAGAATGGTAATAATTTATTATAGATCAAATTTTATTCCTGGCTCGATAAAGCAAGAGTAATCCATTGCATTAAGTGGAATTAAGCTGTAAAGAAAACCAATCTGAGATCAAAGGTAACTGTGATCCTAACTGTTATAGCTGCGAATCTAAATATATTAAGTATGTGGTTATGCATTTTTTCTTTATCCAAACAAGGATGGATCACCATCTTTTTTCATGCAGCTCTTAAGAGTAGAATAAGTTATACTAGCAGAAGCATTCAGTATTACATATAACACTCTTCTTCATTTCAACATAAAAGTTACACTTCAAAAGTCAGATGATGTTACTACACAGTTACTTCTGTTACTGGAGGTAGCCCCATGTATGTTGTTATACAGAGCTAAAATTGGAAACTTTCTAACTTCTGTTTGAAATTTACAGGTTTTGGATTATTATGCTGCAAGTAGCAAATATTAGTTTCACTTACAGAAGCATGCATGTTGGCAAGAATGGTGCATAGATTTACATTTTAAAGATTCTTTGGGAAATGGTCTTCCCTGTGGACATACTTCGTAGCTGTTATTATTGCTATTGGAGGTTACACGTACAAATAGAAGGGGAGTATGCTCTGTAAGGTAAAACAGAGTAAAAAAATCATAGAAGGTACATTAATTATTTATAACTACAAAACAAAATACTTGCAATTATGACAAATTAAAAAGGCATTTATTTACACACAAACATGATTGTTTAAAGCCACAGGCCTTCCCCATAGAGGAGAAGTGAAGCCAAATAAGTGCCAAAGCATATTAACCTTATCATAATTCTTCAGACACATAATACCTACAAGGAGTGTCTGGTTTTTCAGATTATGGTGTTTTTGGTTTTCTTAAAATGTTGTATTTTGCTAGAGATTGCCACATATTTGACAGACTCCACTCTCAGACAATCTAATTTTAAAAGCTTTCCTCAGAAGTCTTTCAAGGGACGTTGTCCAGAGCAACATGTGCTCTGGTATACTTGTCAATGCAACAGTTGTTCCAATATTTGAAAAGATAGGGCAGTATCTTATCAGCAATTCTTGTGTTAGCAATATTGGGAGGTCCTGCATGACATATTCTTTAGAGTTAAAAAAATTAGAATGGAAGGAACCTGACATGTCTAATTCAGGAGTTTATAGACAGATGAATTGGTAAAACTAAAGTAAAGCACAGCAATACGTACAGAATGATTTGTTGTATGGCTCTGCTGTTTATCATTGTCCAAATAGTATTTAGCTCTGTATGCACTATTTAACCAATCAAAGTATCTGGTATCATGCGCTGTTCAGTGTACGATGCAGATTGCATTCAAGTCTCTGCTTCTGATCCAAATG